TTTGGACCCCCTAACGCCCACGCCGGTCCAAATGCATTATAAAATAAGGAAATGATCAGTGAATACAAATAATAATAATTTAAACATCCTACAAACCAGGCGTTGTAGCCATCAATAGACGATAGCACACAGGCGTCAACGGACAAATATATGTTGTGGCAGAAGGAGATATGCAAGCGTCTTGCATGTATCATTTACAATAATATTTATCATTACGCAAATACATGCGAGCACATCAATTTTACATTCTGCACAAGTGTATAGGTTTCACATATGATTTTAATGGATGAATTAAACCTTTGTTCAGTTCCAATATGTTCCACAGACAGTCTTTTAGCTTAGATTTATCAGGAAATGGTTACACATTTGTATACAATTGTGCATAATCGTTTGTTAGACAGGATGTGTTGCAAGACTTCTAATTCGCAATCGGAGCACTTTGTTGAACGGAACATGGACATAACTCCACCTCCTGATGTGTGTACACATCCAGTTACGCACTCAGCCAACTGTAAAAGTTTCCAAATTAACATTCTGTTGAAATTATAAAACGTTTATGAGGGAGTCAATTTGCACAATGTCAGTAGAAAGCCATCAACGCAAATCAAAAGTAATTTCTCAGAACCTGCTTTCCCAACTACAAATAGCACATGCTTAAAACGCATAGGAAGTGTCACTATACATTTGTTTAGAATTTGTTTATGCTGGATCGATTCACTGATATGTTACATATCATTTAATTTCGTATTGCCCCAAAGGGGAATAACATCTATCCAGTAAACCCTTGTTAATTCGACACATATGGGGATCTGGCCTTGCCGAATTATCCAATATTCCGAATTATGTACAATGGTACTCCCAAGTGCCTCCTGCCCCAATAAAACATTTTATCCAAAATTTTTTCCAAACTCTTCACACACCACACGCGTTGGCAAAACCTACATCAATTCTATCCAAAACTTTGGATTTGTCTCGCAGACTAAGGGTTTTATACTTCAGTCCTATCTGTGGGTGTAGACGATATTTCTGAGAGAGTTGGCTTGCACGGAGTGCATAAACAAGGTAAAGTCCAAAGCGACGGGTCTGCACTATAACGCTCACCACGCACGCTGCCACATGACTGAGTCATTGTTTTGGTCGTGGTGCGCGACGTCGCTCCACGTGTATGCCGAAATTGAACCATTCGGTACGGCAATTCGGCTCGTAGAGACTTACTAATACCGAAAGCGCAGCCGTGCCGAATCATCCCCAATTACAAATGATCAAGTACCGAAATAACGAGGTTTTACTGTATCAGCACAAGTTTTTGGGAAGATTTTTCTCATTAAAAAAAACGCCATAACACAATTATTTCAGACGGTCTTTAACAGCCACTTGACACAAGTAGCACTGGTAAGTTACAAACACATTACTGAGAGGCAGTGGAATTAAAAAGGTTATAGTATTTGGCTGATAAAATGTCCACATGATAAGCCACTTCACTGAGCTATCATTTGTGGCCATGCCGCTTCTAAAAAAGAGCTACATAGCTCAGTGGGCCTTAGCTGGTAAAATCATTTTAAGATTATGCACTGTACAATCTGGCTCCGTGGTAACAAACATTATTACCAACCTAGCCAGTAGTCAAAACATTATTTAATTCAACAAAGCTTAAAATATCAGTGTCACATATGACATGCTTTTGTTTACTTTAACAAGATTATGAACTTCAATGGCACCTGAAAATAGTGCACAATAGGCCTCTCAGTGGCACAGCCTCAAGCCACTTGGGAAGGCAAAGTGAGATTCATGAAATCATTACTTCCAAATGCTCGGGTAGTTTCCCCGAGTTACTACAATCGCTTCACACCACGGAAAGTGCCTTCTCACGCGCAGTCACTCAAATCGCTATCTGCTTTTATCCTGATATTGACCAATTGATTTTGCAATGAAAACTTGTAAAAATAAAAACGTGTTAAATGAGTATTCTTGGTTCTTTCGGTAAAGTCACGTAGAAGGGAAACAATAAAATAATAAAAATATAATATTGTTTCCCTTCTACGTGACTTTACCGAAAGAACCAAGAATATGAATCCGTGCAGTCACGAAAGCTTTAAATCAAAATTTAGTGTTAAATGAGGTTAATTCCTGCATGATGTAGTTTTAATGAATTTGGCTTCAACGCATCTTGTACCTAGATACATTATTTTACCTCATTAATCCCAGAATTTTATTCCAATTGTGCTTTCGACATCTTGTTATGAGACAAAGCATCCAATTCCGAACTCTAAGAGTTCAGCCCGTAAAAGGAGAAATCACAGAACTACTAATGAGATCCCTTCAAGTGACCTCTTTTAGCCACACTAGGGGTGCTGGCTTGGATTCCTTTCATCTTTTTCTTCTCGGCCGAAGTATCGGCATCCTTTCGCCCGACCGTCCTCCTTTTTATCCAGGCTTGGGACTGGCTCAGAAACCCACCGGATTGTGGACCCCCAAGGCGGACCAATGTTGAAGTAGACAGTAATTAGAAGGATGGACACCAACGGGAACATTTTAAGTCTGTCGTTCGGAAACATGGAAGGAACCAGAGAATGGGCTTGACGAAGAGATTGGTGCCAGAAAGATGTGCACTACTTGAGCATACTGACACAAAACAGAGGAAAGTGGAAACAAATGACGAAATATGCAGTGGACACCAACGGGCTATCTGTCCATTGATTGCGATGATGGGTGCTGCCATTTCCCACGTGTCCCACTACAGGAGAATGTTTTTATCATTACTCCATGCTCCAGAGAAATGTTAATCAAAAAGCAGCAAAACAGATATTTTTTATTCCCCGTTGGAATTTTGCCAAATTAAGTATAATAACATAATTAATATGATGGGTTTTGTGTGTGTGTGTAGTTATTCGCTTACCTGGCTGAGACCATCAACCCAATAGACTTAAGAATCTGGCTTTATCACGAACACCTATGAACTGAGATTGTCAGCAAGGTTAGCCGAGTGTTCTGACCACCGAGCCACTCAGCCAAGTCATTGTTGTACGTTTTAAGTAATTACTAAATTATCAGTAAACACAATGCACGATGCATCAGCACTTACAGCGCCATCCCCTTTAACACGAGGCTGTTTCACACTCTTTCATCTATGGGATCCTCCTGCTGCTGCAAGCAACAGTACGCTTCACGAAGCCCACCAAAGATCAATACACCCAGCTCTCCGATGTGTATTTTCAGCAAGTACCACGTCTTGTCCTGCATTGTGTTTGATATTTAGATCTGAGTACTGGGAACTTTGTCAGGAGTTTCCGAAACACACATTTGAGAGCGCAACTAAAAATGTACACAGATGTATAATGCACTCGCACACAAACGCGGCACTCATGTGCACACAGCCGCATTTCTTTGTTACCACTCACCAAGAAGGAAAAAATATAAACAATAAACCAGCTGTTCCAACACTACTACAATGTTGTGCACCGGCCATTGCGCTCAGAGACTCTCAATCGGCTCAAGTCAAATAGCCGTCTGTTCTCTGGGTGCCCAAGGTATTAATTAATTCTGAGAATGATGGCCAAGCACAATGCAACGACTCCCAGTGGATGCAAATAAAACAAACTACAAAACACAATACTATTTTTCACACTCGTGCGCCTGGGGGCCCGCAGAAACAAACACATGTTACTGAAAATAACATTTTGGCGGCAGAAAAGCTGGAGAGCTGGACATAAATGTTCAACAGCGACCAGCTGCACCTGCAGAGGTGCTCTGGTCCTTTATTTCCTCACTTATTCATGGAACATTGAGGGGTTTCTTTTTCTGCATCGAAACCGACCTCGGCAAACGTGTGGTTGAATATTCATGTATTGTTTTCATGCTGTTTATTGACAGCTTCTTTTGCATGTTTGATATAGCCTATTTATAGGCCACTTAAAGTGGCGGCGGCAGTAGTAGCAGCAGACTGTGCATGCATTTTAAATCAGCGACTTTTCCCATCACCAGTCTATCCACAAGGTAAATTACATTGCAATTATAGGCAGCATTGATATTTGAGCACAACAAAAGAACACACAATATTCAACTATTCTAAACAAAACTGGCTAATAATAAGATAAGGTTCATTGCTATTCATTGATTTGTACAATAGTCTTATTTTTGTCCTGCCAATAATGCGACTCCAGGTAATGGACGTGACAGATGCACAAATGAGCTCTCTGATTGTGAAATTGTCTGCAGCTTCTTTTAAAAGTAGGCCAGGGTAACATCTCAATCCGTACTGATCATAAATATAAAGGACGACCCACTTAGAACGAATTTAATTCATATTCTTGGTTCTTTCGGTAAAGTCACGTTGAAGGGAAACAATAAAATAATAATATATAATATATTATTATATAATATATAATATATTATTATATAATATATATAATATATTATTATATAATATATTATATATTATTATATAATATATTATTTTATTGTTTCCCTTCAACGTGACTTTACCGAAAGAACCAAGAATATGAATCACTGCAGTCACGAAAGCTTTAAATCAGAATTTAATTCAGTTCTGGATAGACTAGTCCAATATGGCCGATGTGCAGACACAGAGAAAAAAAAACAAATAGCTCATCTGGCTGCAATGTGAAAGAGCGAGTGTCACTTGAATAAGAACAGAATAACTCCATTAAATTTTTTCTTTATATGTAGTCACAGCTGCTGATGGATGTACTGCTTAGCTACTAATATATTTTACTGCACAGGTTTGGTCATTCGATTTAGATGACTCTGTGGTAACGCCATAGGCGGTTATCAAAGATCCATGCGAGTTAGATATAAAAGACCCTGGATTATCTGTTGCAAAGGCAGGCCACTGCACGCTGTCACGACTCGTGTACAACCGCAAATAAATCATCAAAAAGAAATCCCCTACGTAACCACAGCTAGCCGCAACCCTCTTGCCAAAGCGACGACAAAATCCTGGTCAGCTGCCAACCTGATCGAACAAAAGACTTAGCGCTCACCTCCTTTATGCGCTGCGTGAGCATGTTCTGGTCAAAGGCGACCGCCTCGGCACACTGCTGGAGGTGCTCCTGGTAGCGCAGACACAATTGCAGCACGCGGCGCGAGTCCATGCGCTCCAGACGCACACCCGCTGCCCCTCCGGCCACCGCCTCGCCAGGTCCAAGACCTGCAGCGCATGGATAGCACAGACATCACTGGTTTCCCACTACACATTCTCATGTCACCCGGCCACCGGACAATCGTCACAGGCAGCAAACACTGGCAGTCAGAGGTTGGCTCAAAGCTACCACCGAAAGCAACACTGCTCGCTACTTTAGAATCCGATTAATTTTGTAGAGGCACAAAGAATAATAATAATAATAAGTCACTGGCGAAAGGAATGGTAAGTTCAAGGCATGTTAATTTTGTTAATATATTATCACACTGTTATTATTAATTGTTATAAATGCACGATATATTTTAAAATAATTATACTTCGTTTTTCCCCATATATACAAGGAGATGTTGCTGTCAACATTCATTGCAAATACATAAAACACAGTGCATCCACCTAAGCCTAAGCACTTAAAAAAAAAGAATCCAAATATAGAACTTCCATTTCCGCGGTCACACACAGGGTATGGAAGACGTACATTTAAGCGCAAAAACAGTCCGGCTAAAGGTCCATCACCGGCACCTTGCTTTGCGTGAATAATCATATATTAAACAACCATACTTACTCAGAGACTTTAAGTACACACACCCGCACATGCGTACGCATGCACACAAACAGAAGTAAAGCATCTCACGGCAGTGGCAACGTGATCGTGATTTCAAATTAACTGCACAAGGCTGTCTGGAATCTGTAGAGGATGAGGTACAGCGGCAATAGGCTGGGTGCGTCTCCAAAACCCCGGCGCCCAAATCTGCAGCAGTGAGAACTGCAAAGTCTCCTGACGTATCACATTCCCGGCACACACTGGGCCTCTGTAAGACCCACCGAGTGCGCTACATTCATTTTGCACAGGTGTAATGACAGATTTAAAATGCATGCATATACTGAGTGCAAAACAAAGAACTGCTATGCGACAGTTGCATCTTCATAATTTTGTCACCATGAGCTTACATTTTTTTTTAAGATGTGTAACATTAAGGAGTGAATTCAATTTACACTCTTTATAAATTCCAATACAGCCCCAGCATGGCTTTCATTGGACTAAAGCGATGCCTGTGCTATCTGCAGGAAATTGGTGCCAGCTTCACATGAGACCCAAAATGAAATAGAATCTATTTCCATGGAAACAAATGCAACATATATTTTAGAAAATAAGAGCCATGAATATAAACCATTATAAATGTAACTGCATTAATTATTACAGTGTCATTTTTTATCTCGTACATTTTCAAAATAATATTTAGTTTTTTCTTTGTTTTTTCTTCTAATCAGCAGCAATGTGACCGCACACAACAAAAGCTCGGATTACACGTGACATTTTACATCTTCAAGGCTAAACCTTTACAAAGCGTCAGCAAAGATGATGTTTAACAGATAATATTTCAGCTTAGTGCAGAAAAATAATGCATGCCATTTAATGTTTTGTCGAAAAAAGTGGAGAATAAAATCCTATTTGCCATCTTTTCACAATGTGACGAGAAGGCTATTAGCCATAGCGAGAATAGATAGAATCGGTATACTTTTGTTTTCAGGAATAAATTTGTCCGTTAATGACCGAATTTATTTATGTTGGCATTGATAAAAGCTTAGTTTCTAAACATTTATATTAAGAAGATTTTCAAATCAAAATTACTGGGAAGGCAATGATTCAAACAGATTGTGAAATACAAAAAATCTCCGAGATCAATTAACATTAATAAAAATGTCACAATTACATGCCACACAGATATTTTCGGGGTTTTCTTCAAACGATGTAGTAAGCATAAGATTGAATGCAAGAACACCCTTAAATTTAAGCTGCTATTTTAGCACTTTTTGTCAACTAAAACGAAACGATGTGTGCATTCCGGGCAGCCTCACCCCGCAGCAGAGGAAAGAAGCGTGGAATCTCCTGGAGCTTGAGGAGCTCGGGGTCACTCCAGGGGTCACGGGGGGAGGTCTGAACGCCCGGTGCCACCACCACAATGTCCTCCATGGTGGCCCTCTCCTTTGGACGAGCACCCGACAGCGCTACCGTAACAGCCAGAAGAGCAGAAACGTGCGTTTAATCCTCAGAGGCGCTCCTGGTAAAGGTACAAAGTTAAAGGTGCAGCCACGCAATTGCTCGCTCACACCACTGCTGTTGGAAGGGGCTTCCCTAGATGAAGATCTAGAGCAGTGGTTCTCAACATGGGGGTACGTGGACCTCTCGGGGTATGTGGAAATGTCACGGGGGATACGTGAGGTGATTTATAAATGTGTGAAATTATATCATATGAGTGTCATTGGTGAATAATCATGTATGAATCTGACAATATAAAATAACTACAATAAAATGTAAATCTATGTGGTAATCTAGAACGATACAAAAGACCTTTCTAAACTCATTGATTGTAAACAATGTGGTTTCTGAGAGTAACCAGCGAGCTCAAACAAATTACGTCATGCATGCAGAGCGTCCATTGCATTTTTTTAAATTCGCTTGCAATTACTAGCGAGGATACCTCACAAAATGGACAATAGGTGAAATATTGATGTTCATTATTCATACACTTATTTCTCAGAACCATGTTGGGTCAGGCAAGGGGACATTCGTTTTATGAAGGGGACATTCGGTTGAAACAAAATTCAACAAGAGGCACAAGAAGCCAAAAAAGATTGAGAACCGCTTATCTAGGGAGTCCCTCAAAAGGGTTATTTTGGCCTCCTCTTCCAAACCAAGATGCACAGACATCTTGGAAGAGGTGGGATTATCCAAAATGTACCCCGCCACACACAAGCTGCGATTGGCTGTGGTGTACTCACACCCAGCTCGGCTGCCAGAGGCCGGTGGCATTCAAGAAACCTGGCCCTTGTATTACCTGCTGTACAGGCACTCCTTGACATACATGACAGATGCGTTCCTGGAAAAGCGCGCGTAACTCAAAATCACGTATGTCATAAGCAATTTTCCCATAAGAAATAAAGGTAAAGGAGGGGGGTTAGGGGATTTCACTCACACTCGCCTATATTATCCTAGCCTAAATCAATACAATACATATACACACACTATAATACTTTATACTCTCTGGTTCTATTCGGTAAAGTCACGTGGGTAAAAAATAAAACAACAAAAATCACGACGTTTCGGCCACAACACAAGCGGCCTTCATCAGGTGAAGGGACCAGGCTGTCTCGAGGACAGCGCTGGAGTGAAACACAGCCACGCTCAGACCGCGACCTTTAAGCTGTGTGCGAGGAAACAAGGTCCCTTGACAAAGGAATTAGCATAAAAATTAGCATTTGATTGGCCGACTTAGCATGATGAACGGTGTAGAGGTGGTGTACATGCAGGTGCACATGCCGGTTGGCGCGGGGGGGGAAGGGGGAGTTTACCTATTGATGGTGTGAAAAGGGAATTTTTAAAAGCTGCGAAAGTTTGGGGTACCACTACTTGAAAAATATACTGTACCATTGAAAATTAGTCTAATGTTTGGTTCGATTTAGAACATCTTAGCAATGGTTGCTTAATTTGAAACCATCTTCTCGGTTGAAATTGTGTCTGTGTTTGTAGATCTGAATTGCCTCGTGAACAAATCTCTGATAAAAACCCGTGGGTTTCATGGAGAAATTTGAATCAGACGCCTTCCAGACTTCCACCCTCAGACCTTCCCTGTGGAAGAGATATGTGGATGACACTTTCGTCATTTGGCCACATGGCCTCCCAGCTCTGAAACTTTTCCTACACCACATCAATTCCAGACATCCCGCCATCAAATTCACCATGGAAGTGGAGAAAGATGGCAAGCTACCATTCTTAGATGTTCTGTTTGAGAGACCTGATGGCTCATTGGGGCATTCTGTCTACAGGAAACCCACCCACACAGATTCCTACTTGAAACCTGATTCCCACCACCACCCAGCCCAAAATAATTCTCTCATCAAAACTTTATACCATAGAGCTCATTGCATTTCGGACCAACACCACCTGACCAGTGAATTAAAACATGTACACCTGGCCCTCAAAAGGAATGGATACTCTGACCATACCATCCGCCAAGCTGTTTTTCCCTCCATACAGAAACAACCACTTGATACTCCGGTCAAAACCATCACACTACCATACATAGCAGGCGTTGCTAAAAAGATTTCCAAAATTATAAACAAACACAAGATCCTGGTCCGGTTCAATACAGTACACAAAATTCGTGATCTGATCCCATCCGTGAAGGATGTCATTCCTGACTTACAGTACCCCGGGGTTTACAAATTGAGTTGTACCTGCGGTGATTTCTATATCGGGGAGACAAAGCGACATGTCTCTGACCGAATTCGCGAGCACAAATCAGATTTGAAACACGGCAGAACGAATTCTTCTGCCGTAGCTGATCATTGTTACAACGCTGTGGGTGATCACGATATAATTTTCTCCGATACCAAGGTTCTTTGCAAACCCACGGGCTTTTATCAGAGATTTGTTCACGAGGCAATTCAGATCTACAAACACAGACACAATTTCAACCGAGAAGATGGTTTCAAATTAAGCAACCATTGTTAAGATGTTCTAATTCGAACCAAACATTAAACTAATTTTCAATGGTACAGTATATTTTTCAAGTAGTGGTACCCCAAACTTTCGCAGCTCTTAAAAATTCCCTTTTCACACCATCAATAGGTAAACTCCCCCTTCCCCCCCCGCGCCAACCGGCATGTGCACCTGCATATACGCCACCTCTACACCGTTCATCATGCTAAATCGGCCAATCAAATGCTAATTTTTATGCTAATTCCTTTGTCAAGGCACCTTGTTTCCTCGCACACAGCTTAAAGGTCGCGGTCTGAGCGTGGCTGTGTTTCACTCCAGCGCTGTCCTCGAGACAGCCTGGTCCCTTCACCTGATGAAGGCCGCTTGTGTTGTGGCCGAAACGTCGTGATTTTTGTTATTTTATTTTTTACCTACGTGACTTTACCGAATAGAACCAAAGAGTACGGATCCTTGCGGTCACGAAAGCTTTAACTCTAGAATATAATACTTTAAACTAAAAGGAAAATCATGTCAATGCTAATATACTTCTCATAAAATAAGGACGCTTTCCTGATATGGGCACAAGGGTGAAACAAAAGCGGTGGACGCAACACAAGTACATTTTACAGCGTACGATCACGAGAGACGTCAGACAAAGGGAGCAGTGCCGGCGTACGCGTAGCGAGATGCTGTACGGTGAAGCACACGAGTTATCGTATCGCACTGGCTGCTGGCAACGTCTTTGGGGCGCGGTGCCAGGCTAGGGTGGCATATGTCACGTTGCGGATGACGTCATTCCGAAAATGACCTCGCGTATGTCAATAAAAGGTCTAAATACAAAGCGCGAGTTATTCCAAAATGCCTGTACTGGAAGAACGAACCGGCAGTCTCTGGATTGCAACCCAATGCGCTAACTAAAGCTAGCCAGAACCCTGAATCTATAATAACTAATCAATTACTTTCCCTTCACGAGTGGCTAGTACAAGGGATGGAATAATGGTAAGCCAGTATGTAAGACTGGATGTAAACCATACTGTTATTGTGCCTTCATGGTTTGCATTGGTATTGGTCTAACATTGAAGACAAACTGTTGGTTTGGTACAACAGCAGATGTGGTATATGGGTTTGTAGACCATGGGATGGGGCAGAGACAATTTCTGACATCACAATAGCACAATTACCCCAAAGTAGAGCATACACTCATAATACAAAGGAAATTGCAAAACTTGTTCTATAACGTGTTACTCATTGCAGATATTAATTGAAAGCTGCTAATATATGGAACTGTGGCAGCTATGCATAAGCAGTCTGCCCGGGTGATACACTTTCTAAAGACCTTTGTCAATCCACTGCTGGTTGAAGGCACCCCCCCATGCCGTGTCAGTCAAGGGGGTTATTTGACCATGCTTGAGCACGCTGGTCAGTGCAGGATGAAGGAGGCAGCTTGGGGACAGTTGCCACTGATGTGAGCCGTGGCCAGGAATAAAAGCCAGGTAGCCAGATCTATAGTGCAACGTGCAAACCACGGCACTACCGCTCCACCTCCAGGAAACCCTTTAGAGGGGGCCACTAGCGGTGGTCTCACCCTGGGCGGGATGACTCGCTGCCTCAAGGCTGCCCTCCTTGCCCCCCTCGGCGGTGCTTTGATCGGCCCCCATTGCCTGGCCACGAGACGAGATCAGCTCGGCCGCGATAAGTCCCTGTGAATACAAAGCAAAAACGACGCAAAAGCTTGGAGTTTATGGATTTTAATAGCTCTGATTGACGCTGACCCCGTTATAAATTCCGGCCGTGATTAGTCTCTAAAGTAGTTCCACACAATATATTTTCCTCCCTTTGACAAGTCACTGCAGACGATCTCTCTCCATGTCGTGTTTGTCATGTGGGATGTTTGAACATACATCACCATGCTGGTCAGTGCAGGTTAGTAAAGGAGGGTGAATGTCAGAACCGGTTCAAATATCACTCGCAGGTAATTATAGCTTTGACCAGGAATTGAACGCGGGTCACCAGTTTTATAACCACCATGCCACCCACCGCTCCTCCGGTTCCCAGTGTACATAACTAAATTTATCAGCTGCCCACCATTGAGATTGTGCAAGAGCAATCTGGGGAAATCATAGCTCTGCTGAAACAATTCTTAATTGTACTGTACATCGATTCAAAGGTACAATATTTTCAAGTAAAATTATGCATTTTGAAGAGCGACATATTATCCATATCAACAATTTTCAAACATAGTTTGGCCCTTCACTGAACTTATAACTGTAGAGAAAAGGCTGTTGTGCATTATTTAATAACTATTACACGAAAGCAAATTGGAAATCCAGTTGAACACTCGTGGCAAACGACCCACTCTAAATGAGGATCGGTTTATTTCGGGTTAGGCCCATTGAGCTTAACAGCCTTAATAAAGTATTAAAGCTTTCGTGACTGCATAAAATTACTCATTGGTTTTTTCGGTAAAGTCACGTATGTAGAAATACAATAAATTATATTAAAACAAAACAATCACGACGTTTCGATCACAACACAAGCGATCTTCATCAGGTGTCAAGAACAAATCACGGAGGTAAATACAACAAAAAGATGAGAGACGAGAATTCAATAAACCTGAAAAAACATTATGTGAAGCACATCCAGTCAGGCCAACAACACAGTTAGACACTTCCTGGCGGACCACGAATTTCAGAAGAGTGTTACATTTCGTGTTCAACCTTTGGATTGCACATACCAGCATAGATAGAATGAAAAATACGAGGTACACGGTCAGTAGAAATACATATACAAGTCCACCAAGAGGTAAGGAGGGAGGAGAGACGGACAGAGAGGCCAGGAGGGAGAGAGAGGGGAGCCGGAGGGATGAACACTTACAGACAACTGTGCACCTTCGGGCAGGCTTTATTCTTAATGTTAGCACTAATTATGGCCGCAACACAATTGAGAAAAACAATCGACTCTCCCGACAACGCGTCTAATCGGAGTTAAACGTGCGTCTTTTGCATCGTTTTATAGGTGAAGTGGTCAGAATGAGACGGAACGATGTTGGCGATCCACTGGGGAAATAAAAAGATGCAGTGCAGTAAAGACGACACAGTGACGTTACGGGCTGTACACACAAGTGACTAATACCGAGACGGTAGTTGTCTGAGCAATATGCAATACTGCACTGCGAACGACAGCACTTACAGACAACTGTGCAAACAAGATCAACGGTGCATACGAGCCAATGCAGATGTGACGTGTTTTACACAGAGACGGCATAGATTACTAAGATATAGTACGTAACATAATCCGTACAGACGATACATTCAAGAGCGTAGGCGATAGTACATTAGTACACACGAGGCAATGCAGACAAAAAAACACAATGTATTCTTAAATATAAGCGTGACAATTCACGGAATCGCTATGGGAGTGTTAAACCGTTATATGGCTATACTGTATTGGTAACTTCAATTACAGTACAGAATTAAGTTCGCCGCCGTAATTATGAAGCGATAGCAACACTGTAACATCAACAACCCACACAAAGAATCACTCCAGTGCAGTCAACGACTGGAATCTAACAAATGTGTGGGCTCGGGTATTAGGGTAAGTAATCCAAAACGCAGAACGGGACAATACGTGACTGAATAACATACGAACGTGACGCGTGTGTAATAAAAAAAAACACACACACCTAGGCGTGCTTTAGGGTTTGTTTGTTTTAAAGAGAGCCTAGTGGCGAAGACGATGTGAGCAGGAAGCTCCGAATCAACTCTGCCTCCACAGTGTGAAGCAAGCCGGGCGACGAACAAAAAGGCGCGTTCCGGCCCACAGTAGGGGGGGGCTCGCGTCGCCCAGAGGTACGCAGCGACGGACACCGACTGACCAAACCCCACGCGCATTAAATCGAGAGGTGGCGTTTGTAAGCATCGAGTCACCGCCGCCGCCGTTGTTGTGAACGTGTGATGCGAGCGACACACACACACGTGTTTACTCGGAACCAAAAGTCGCTTCCTGTGTCGCGCGCCTGACCACGGTCCGTGGGGAAACCGTGCGCTCGCGTGCGATTCTTGGGTTTCGAGTCTCAGCAGCAGGTTGCGACGTTGGCCCAACATTGACCCATGAAGCCACGTCCACCCGTACAGTTCAGCCAGAATTCTTGTACAGTGCACAGGGAAATTTGAGTTTTAAGGTCTTATACGGCGGCGTGCAGGCGTTTCAATACGGACGAACAAAAATGTGCCTGTGTTTCTCCGTCGCGATGGTGGCTTTGTAGGATGAACGTTGAGATTTATAAGGGGCACGGGGTGACCAATAAGGTATCTGCATTGGTCTGTAATAAGGGAGGGCACTGATAAGGGGTTGACAGGAATGTGTGTGGAACAGGAGATCATACAAACTCAACTCTGTACATACCGTGTCAACCCATACGGTTTAGCCCGTATTCTTGTACAGGGGAATTGAGTTTACAGGTCCATACGGCATACAGCCGTTTCAGTACGGGCCAAAAGGTCCTTACGATCTTCTGATCTCCAAATGCTCACCACTCCCAGGCCGCGGTTACGCTCTTTTCATACCTGTGGACCCCGTGTCAGTGCTGCCTAACTTATTACAGACCAATTGAGATACCTTATTGGTCACCCCGTGCCCCTTATAAATCTCAAACGTTCATCCTACAAAGTCACCGTCACAAGGTAGAAACACAAACAGACACAAAAAAACATTTTGCCCGTATTGAAACGGCGGTACGCCGTATGAACCTGACAACTCAATTTCCCTGTACAAGAATACGGGGTGAACCGTATGGGTTGACACGCTATGTGATTTTGGTGATCGGGGCTTTTGTTAGCGTGGCACCCAAGCTATGGAACGCATCGGCAATTAAAATCAGGGCAATCAAGAGTCGGTAGATACATTTATGTCTGCTTTCAAAAGCCATCTCTTTAAACTGAGCCTTCCCTCTTTAGTTTGGTCAGTCGCCCTGGTTCTAAATAGTTTTTTTTGTTAGATCGCGTATTCTAAACCCCCCAAAAAACTATATTACGGATGATATTTGGTCACGAAAATCTACGTGTTAAACTGCCCTGGCTCTAAATTTTGATTTAAAGCTTTCGTGACTGCAGTGATTCATATTCTTGGTTCTTTCGTTAAAGTCACGTTGAAGGGAAAAAATAAAATAATATATATAAAACAATAAAATTCTCACGACGTTTCGACTGTAACGTAGTCATCATCAGGTGTGAAAACCCAACGGCAAGAAACATTTGAAAGAAGTGGCTTTTTTCACACCTGATGATGACTGTTTGCGTTACAGTCGAAACGTCGTGAGAATTTTATTGTTTTTTATATATATTTTACTATATTATTGTTTCCCTTCAACGTGACTTTACCGAAAGAACCAAGAATATGCCCTGGCTCTAAATTTTGATTCCTGCTTTTCACGCATTGCGCATTGGGATCCTAGGATGGAATGCGCATTGCAAATTAGAATTATTATTATCATTAACAATCTCACATCGAACCCGCTCATTTGGTTTGTCATTCCCAACACATCACACAGTCTCTGGCCATTGTCCCTTCTCGCGACGTAGCCCTCTGATGTCCCCACCCACCCACCCCCAACTTGCTCCACGCGTTCCTCTCGTGGCATCGTACCGAGAGGAACGAGTGTGTTTGATGTTTTTTTGCGAGCCTTTTCACATTATTTTCCATTCTCATTTGGCAAGAAGCCCCCAGCGTCTAATGATCCACGCCGAAGCAGAGACTGCTGCGTGCAACCCGAGTGATAACGATTGCCACCTAGCGGGGAAACCTCAAACCTGGCAAGGCCAGCAGCATTGTCAATGTGGAACCACACACACACACACCGATTTTTTTTTATCACAGAGACTTTAGAGTTTAGACTGCTACTGCACTGTATCTTATAAAAGGTCGGAACGGTGCTCAAGCTGGAGGAGAGTGCGGTGTCAAGAATCACTCCGGGCCGCCTTTGTCTCCCCCTCCCCCCTGGTGACTGAACGAGAACAGAAACGACAAAGCCGCCACACACACAGGGAACGCAACCACCCCACAGCCATCACAGCCTCACCACTCAACACAGCCTCACCACAGCCTCACCACTCACCACAGCCTCACCACCCCACACAGCCTCACCACTCAACACAGCCTCACCACTCAACACAGCCTCACCACTCAACACAGCCTCACCACTCACCACAGCCTCACCACTCACCACCCCACACAGCCTCACCACAGCCTCACCACCCCACACAGCCTCACCACTCACCACAGCCTCACCACTCACCATAGCCTCACCACTCAACACAGCCTCACCACTCAACACAGCCTCACCACTCAACACAGCCTCACCACTCAACACAGCCTCACCACTCAACACAGCCTCACCACTCAACACAGCCTCACCACAGCCTCAGCACTCACCACAGCCTCACCACCCCACACAACCTTACTACCCCCCTACACCACGCACAGACAGCCTCACCACCCCCCTACACCACCCCACACAACCTTACTACCCCCCTACACCCCCCCACACAGCCTTACTACCCCCCTACACCCCCCCACACAGCCTCACCACCCCGCTACACCCCCCCACACAGCCGTGATGCCCCTCACGGAGTTGCTGGCGAGGCAGCTGTGCGGCCCCACCAGGAGCGCGTGGGGCCGCGTCGCTCGCCGCCTCTTCGAGCTCAGGAACGCGCACCTGGAGCTGGAGGCGGCCGCCCTGAGCGGCCTCACACCCGGCCTCTCAGCCCTGGAGGTCGGCTTCGGGCCCGGGCTGGGTCTGGTGGCCGCCTGCCGCCTCCTGGGCCCCGCGGGCACCCTGCTGGGTCTAGAGCGCTCCGAGTACATGCTGGACGTGGCCGGGGCCCGGCTGAAGAGACTCGCGGCCAAGGGGGGCCCCGCGGGGCAGGTGGCCGCCCGGGCCGAGTTGATGCTGGGCGGCGTGGGTGGCCAGGGCAGCGTGGCTCTGGACGAGGCCAGCGTGGACCGGGTGTTCCACTGCAACTGCTACTACTTCTGGCCCAACCTGGAGGAGGCGTGCGCCGAGTTGTTTCGAGTCATCAAGCCCGGTGCGTGGTGGTGCTGGTGTTTGTTGTTGTTGTTGTGGTGCGGGGAGCGGTGGCGCAGTGGTTAGCGCTGCGCTTGCACTATGCGAACCCGACGACCCGAGTTCGATTCCCGCTCACGGGTAACATCACTGACGAGCATTTGAACCGGTGCCGGGGTCGACTCGGCCTCAAATTGGTCCCTGGTGCGCTGTGTAAACATCGCCAACTGGGGAGACAAAGACGGCCGGGCGTGGTGCTGGCCACCCACCCCCGTCGTGTGCCCGTGCCGGTCTTCATAGGGTGCTCGCTAACAACAGCACTTGCCCTCTACAGACTGTGAAGGCTACACGGGGGATCTTTGTGTGGGGAGCGGTGGCGCAGTGGTTAGCGCACTACACTTAAAACCCGACGACCCGAGTTCGATTCTCACCCATGGGCAACATCACTGACGAATATCTGAACCCCCCGGTCTGAAATGAGTACCCGGTGCACTATGTAAAATATCATCCCTGGGAGGGGGGGGGGAGAGACAAAGACGGCCGGGCGTGGTGTTGCCCACCCGCTGCTTCCCTCGTTAATAGGAGCTCGCCAACAGCATCTTGCCCCCAAACAGGCTAAGGTTATACGGGGGATCGCTGTGTGGGGGGGGGGGGGTTGCAAGGTGTACCTAGTCTGGCACGTCTGACTGATGAATAGCGGTGATGGCAGGGTGTGTTTGTAGCTGGCGAATGAATGGTAGCTCCTCTGGTGGTAGATACATCCATCCATGCAGGGCTGGGTAAATGTTGAGGTTACCAACATGAAGTTACAGTGAGGGAAAAAAAGAATTTGATCCCCTGCTGATTTTGTACGTTTGCCCACTGACAAAGAAATGATCAGTCTATAATTTTAATGGTAGGTTTATTTGAACAGTGAGAGACAGAATAACAACAAAAAAATCCAGAAAAACGCATGTCAAAAATGTTATAAATTGATTTGCATTTTGATGAGGGAAATAAGTATTTGACCCCCTCTCAATCAGAAAGATTTCTGGCTCCCAGGTGTCTTTTATACAGGTAACGAGCTGAGATTAGGAGCACACTCTTAAAGGGAGTGCTCCTAATCTCAGCTTGTTACCTGTATAAAAGACACCTGTCCACAGAAGCAATCAATCAAATCAGATTCCAAACTCTCCACCAAGGCCAAGACCAAAGAGCTCTCCAAGGATGTCAGGGACAAGATTGTAGACCTGCACAAGGCTGGAATGGGCTACAAGACTATTGCCAAGCAGCTTGGTGAGAAGGTGACAACAGTTGGTGCGATTATTCGCAAATGGAAGAAACACAAAAGAACTGTCAATCTCCCTCGGTCCGGGGCTCCATGCTAGATCTCACCTCGTGGAGTTGCAATGATCATGAGAACGGTGAGGAATCAGCCCAGAACTACACGGGAGGATCTTGTCAATTATCTCAAGGCAGCTGGGACCATAGTCACCAAGAAAACAATTGGTAACACACTACGCCGTGAAGGACTGAAATCCTGCAGCACCCGCAAAGGTCACCCTGCTCAAGAAAGCACATATACATGCCCGTCTGAAGTTTACCAATAAACATCTGAATGATTCAGAGGACAACTGGGTGAAAGTGTTGTGGTCAGATGAGACCAAAATGGAGCTCTTTGGCATCAACTCAACTCGCCGTGTTTGGAGGAGGAATGCTGCCTATGACCTCAAGAACACCATCCCCACCGTCAAACATGGAGGTGGAAACATTATGCTTTGGGGGTGTTTTTCTGCTAAGGGGACAGGACAACTTCACCGCATCAAAGGGACGATGGACGGGGTCATGTACCGTCAAATCTTGGGTGAGAACCTCCTTCCCACAGCCAGGGCATTGAAAATGGGTCGTGGATGGGTATTCCAGCATGACAATGACTCAAAACACACGGCCAAGGCAACAAAGGAGTGGCTCAAGAAGAAGCACATTAAGGTCCTGGAGTGGCCTAGCCAGTCTCCAGACCTTAATCCCATAGAAAATCTGTGGACGGAGCTGAAGGTTCGAGTTGCCAAACGTCAGCCTCGAAACCGTAATGACTTGGATAAGATCTGCAAAGAGGAGTGGCACAAAATCCCTCCTGAGATGTGTGCAAAAAACCTGGTGGCCAACTACAAGAAACATCTGACCTCTGTGATTGCCAACAAGGGTTTTGCCACCAAGTACTAAGTCATGTTTTGCAGAGGGGTCAAATACTTATTTCCCTCATTAAAATGCAAATCAATTTATAACATTTTTGACATGCGTTTTTCTGGATGTTTTTGTTATTCTCTCTCACTGTTCAAATAAACCTATTCAAATTATAGACTGATCATTTCTTTGTCAGTGGGCAAACATACAAAATCAGCAGGGGATCAAATACTTTTTTCCCTCACTGTAAATGTTTTTTCCCCCCAGCTATTCGCCTTAAACTCGGGTTGATTGGGGAACCCACGACTTGCAACTATTTCATTCGATTGAGACCCACCACAGTGAAACGGACTGCAAATTATATTGGTCAAAGGGTGTGAGCCGCACTAATCGAGTACGAGGTTTTTAATTTACTTTAGCCCTCTCATTTACTTTTGCCATTGCAAGTATATGAATGTCCTATTTGGTCCCTGAGCACTCAGTACATTGAGCGAAGCCTCCGACATCATGCCGAACAGCACGCGGGGCTACCTAAAAGCACATCGGAGAGCCATAGTTGACGAACCAATCCTGTTACCATTCTGTAATTGTACAGGACCCACAACATGACACGGTGGCGACTGTACCTGTGTTGTCTCTCAGGTGGCCTCATGGTGACGACGCTGAACTTGGCATCCGTGAGAAGAACAGCGTCATACGGAGCGCTCAAGTACGCCTATAGATGGGAGCCGGAGCCATACCTGGAGGCCTTGTCTCAGACCGGCTTTGTGGATGTGCGCATGGAGGACCGGCAGCATGGATCAAAGCCTTTCCAGGCCATCTTTGCCACCAAACCAATAGTTCCAGCATCGCCGGCTAAACAAACATGACACCTGCCACTCATTCAGATACCTCTTTCCTGCTGTACAACTGATCCACCCCAAAGCTGTGTCGAGCTAATTAGGAATGGCTTAGGAGGGGTCAGGTTGTTTTTCCACTGCACAAATAAAGGCAAAGCACCTATGTCACACGCAATGAAAAAAATGGCCCTGCTTGGTTTCAGAGCCACATTCAGGTGCGGTTTGTGGCCAGTTTCGGTTTTGTTTTAAGGTTGTTAGAAGTCGTTTCACTTTTCATTACCAATAACCAAATGAAAAAAAGCTCAAAACACGGCTACTGATAATAGGGTTTTTCCCCTTTTTTCTGGCAACAAAACTGAAACCTTTTTTACAAGGATTCATGTCTGCATTAACCACAATGCCTGCAGTCAAAATGCAAACAAAAAACATACTATGCTAATATATGCATTGTCGTCATCTGGTCGAGCACCAATTGGGTCAAGGCTCAAAAGAAAGCCGTCCCTTGGTGTGGACCAATCAGTTTCAAGGACAATGCATATATTATCATAGTATGTTTTTTGTTTGCATTTTTTCCATTTGGACATTCGTGCATGCCAATCAGTGCATTCATTTCTATAATTTGCTGTAAATGGTTGTGGGTTCCTGAATTTCAGAACTGCTGTCAATTATGAAAATGGTCACTGGTTTACCGATCGTGAACAACCCTAGTTCTCACTCAGCTTGGCCAATAGCAAAAAAAAACTCCCATACTGAGGGCCCCGATCTGGTATGGCTCAGATGTGTCAGTGGAAAATAAACGAGTGTCGTGATAGGTTGCATGGCGCGAACAACAAATCTAAATTAAACTGCTAAGCCTGATTGATCGTTGAACATCTAGAGCCTTCAGTTAAAACTCCATTTTGAATAACAAAAGGGCTAATCGTGGATTTTTACATTTCAAAATTGATCATTGTGTAAGAGATTATGCTTTTTAAATCTCAAATTTACAGTTAAAAGTAATCAAATAAAATATGCAGCTGCATTTCAGACAGTACTTCCATTTGCATATCATATATTGCAATGCTATATTGATTGTTGCCTGCACTCTCATACGTAAAACACCATACATTTCATATCCTGCAGAAAATACTTGTTGAACAAAATTATGCTAAATAATTATTCAAAATTGAATGCATTGGGTAACAGGAAACCAGTACCCTTAACATTCCATCCATTCTCCATCATGCTTGTTGTATAATCCCTGCAAATAACTTACATATTGAGGTTTTTCTGATTATACTGTGATGTAACAATTTACAGCCTTCTATCAATTCATTTAGCGGGTTGGTCGTGAGGGTTGACCATACTTCACCATGCTGGTCTTTTTTAATTGATGGGGGGGGGGGGGTTGCTCAGAATAGGTTCAGATGTCACTTGCCACCGGGGTTAGCTGTGCTTTACGGGTTACTGGTTTCAGAGCACAGCACAATCCACTTTATTTGACCTTTTATCAAAACAAGAGTCAAAGATCATTTTAAATATTCTACCGAGATATATAGGGTATTGGACCCGTGATTTCCCTATTCATTCATTTAGGAACATAACTCTTGTGTATTGTCCTATGTCCAAATGAGCGACATCAAGCTACCCGCTGATGAAACTGCAAATGAATATTGTACCATACTGTATATGTAGCACCGAATTGTACTGTAATCAGACTAAAAATATACCCCAGCCAAGCTGATTTATGTATTTTTTTTACTTAAAACTTTCGTGACTGCAGGAATCCATATTAGTTTTTTTCGGTAAAGTCACGTAGATGTTGCGATGTGTAAACCCAATTCACTTGCAGGTATTTTTTCAGCATTGAGATGTTTGTCCAACACCAGTTATATTGTTTTTTTACTTAGCTATTGCAGTAAAATGGAGCACCCAGATGAACCAAATGCATTTACAGGGTGAGAATATGCAAACCTCACAAAAGGCATCTGAGTCAGGAATCTAACCCAGAAAGTTATTGCTGTGAGATAGAAGTATTCCAACTGCATCACCCTGCTGCCCAAATGATAATCCATCAAGCACTAATGCTAAATGGTGTTTTAATTATAGTGCATGGCACAGCTTCAAAACAAATTGAATATCACAAGACAATGTGCTTTAATCAAGACAATGCATGTAATAATAACACGTACACTATATGCACACTCCAGAGATCTCAGACTGGCAAAACCATTTTGCTTTGAAATGTGAAAATCACCATCATACACCGTTATTTAAAAATAAAATGTAACTGTTCAAATAAACTACTGGCCTTTTAAAAGACAATTTTCATACAGAACACCTTACATTTAGATGGGTTGGTTTTTATATTATAATTGTAGGTTCACGAAAAATCTCATTCAACATCACTTCCAAGAGAAATGGCATATAACGAGCAAACAGCACGCACACATCCCGCAACCCCGAAAGGGACAAACATTAAACAGTTATATTGGAATGTCAATGTTGAAAATACCAATGTCAGGAATATATTTCAAGTACTGCAACGACACTGGGGTTAAGGACACATCTACAAAGACAACGAACAATGGTGGAAACACACTGGCAATAATACCATTCAAGCGTCACAAAACTCACAACGAAAAACACCGCAAGGAAACGAGCACCGCGACCATAGCATCATCCTCTTTCAATTTCCTCTGACTTGCTGTCGGAGCAAAACAAATGTCATCAAACTCATCGCATGGCAACTGTCATATCATCACACAAGCGACTATCAGTATACAGACGTGCGCCCCGAAGAGCTGGCCAGCAGCACTCCCTCAGTTTAAAGTTCTGGGGCCAGAGTCGACGATAACATCACTTTGTAACAGTGTCGGTTTACGATAAGATGTGTAATTCCGAGTAAACGAGTGGGCCACTTGTAAGTCAATCACAACTGATCATTATGAAAATTGTAATATCTAGCAATAATTATTTTCATCATTCATATAAGCAACATGATTAAAATACCTTAGCTACAGGCTGGCTTAAAACGCCTGGATGCTTACATGTCTTTCTGACATGATTGGTATGCAAGTTGAACTTGTTTCGCACCGTATGTAGCCAACTGTGATAATGGGGAAGTGCGTAAAAAATCTGGCAGTCGTGGGAGTGATGACATAATCCCAAGCCACCACTCCCACAACAGTTACAATCTCACCATGATACCCACAATTTACTTTGACTTAAGATCCCTTTTCTCCAATGATGTTTATGATCATACGACTCATACCTGCCAGATTTACAGCAAATCTTAATATAATTTTCTTTACTCTGGCCCCCGACCACCTTAGTGTGAAGAACCCATTGTAAGTCTGAATTTAACAATAGCCATGGTGAAGTCTGATTGGACATCGTTGCCAAATGCAAATACAAATTATGATTCCATTCCACCTGGGTGCAAATCGGGCTGCACGTGTTTAATCTCATGTTTGGCACCTTTTCGTCCAAATTCACTCCGCATATACGGTAGCACGAACTAATCTAAGTAAAGCCGTTGCAAGAAACGACAGGACCAGGAGTCAGAATATCAATTTAAAAATGACACGACTGCAGAAATAGCAGCAGCATCAGCCTAAATGCTGTTTCAGGCTCCGAAGAATGACTGGTGAAGGTGACTGAATGCCCAGCAATTCACAATATCGTGTCGAACTATAAAGGACGGTCAGGATGGAAATACAGAACTCAATAAGTATTTTGCACTTAAACCGTTTCAAGAGTCAAGCTCTCTTCATATTTGGCCACATGTTATGAATTGCACGTGTCTACAGATGTAGATGAACTGTCACAAGTTAGTCACAAGTCTAGGATAAATATTTTTTAATGGTCAAAGCTGCAACGAGTGGCTGCAGGGGTCATGTGAATTCATTATAAGACAAATGAAAAACATCGATTCATATGTTTGATCTGTATCATCTATCGTGGGCTTAAGCATTTATTTTAAATATTACATACCTGTGTGCCTCTATGACTATGGATACCTCAGAACCATAGCTTGACATTTGTGACTGTATTAGTAGGGTCACCCATCTAAATGGGACACTTTTGATATTAACATGATGTATGGAAATCAAAAGAAACTAATAAGTATATGCACCAACTTCAAGCAAAGAATCTCTGCCATAGAGAAGGCATCAGCATAAACACAACACACGTGGAAAATTTGGCTACGAACAGCTTCCGGGCAACCTGAAATGGCTGTTGGCAAGTATTGAGTGAACATAGTATACTGCGAATATAATTCTACCTCGTTTTAATATATATTGGTGATAACCAGAATGAAACTGGTGTCATTTTTTTTTACTTTGGGCTCTGGACTCAGACAGAAACGGCTCAAAAAAGATGCAATCCAGGGAACAACAAAATCCACCCTGCCCATTCTGGTGAGTTTACAGCTAACCATGAGCAAAATGTAAGCCTATTCCAAATGTATAGCCACAATATTTATGGTCACGTTCAGACCAGGCCTGTGATAGAATTGCAGCCACATTGCAGCAGTGGAGGGGGGGGGGGGGGGTTAGGGACATCAAATTTTTTTTTCATGTATTGCTCTACTCCAGAACCTCAGAATTTGCTGCTTTATTACCTCAACATGGTAACCAATTCATCATTATGGTTTATATTTTCAGAGATCTCAAGAAACTAAATAGATTTCTGATCGTGATCCCACCCTGAACACTCTCTCTGAAATCATCCCTTTAAAATTAGCATTGAACCATCTTCAACGAACCCAAGGTGTCTAAATTAGATCTACTAAAATTGATCCAGAGGCCTCACGTTATCACTTCTTGAGCAGCTGTTGGAAGCTCTCGTAAACCTCCGGGTTGCTCTTGGCAAAGTGCTCCGCCTTGTTCTGCTCCAGCCAATCAGACGAGTGGATCTGCTTCCGCAACAGACCAATCAAGTCCTCCAGGGAGTCGGAGGGCAGGGCTGAGGAAGCGTTTGGTTGGTCGCCTTTCGATGTTTGGGCAGAGTTGGTAAGCAACTTGAGCTTTGGTAAAGCACTTTCCAGCCTATCCATACCTGCATGCACACAAACACACACAAAGACAAAGATTCTCATTTAGCCGTATGCACTGTAAAGATAAGTGCTGGTCATCATCAGGCAATGATCAAGTCACTGTTGGATGAAAAGCTCCCCAAGCAGTCGCCATCTCTCGATCTTACAATGAATCAATCCAAGCGACGAATGCGCACCAGCTCCATTTCACGATGGAGTGGCAGCCAAAGGAGGGAAGAGTGCTGTTAGTTACCACCTATTATGGTCACATAGCACATGTTGCCTGAATAGGATTTCCTAACTGCAATAGCTACATGTTTAAGGCTAAGGATTTGCTACTCATGGCAAAAATCAAACCCTGATTACTGCATCACTGCACCCCAAAGGCAAATATTTCCCGTTTCGCCGTAACAGACTGTGAGGGCAAGTGCTGTGAGCCAACATCTATGAAGGCCGACACGAGCTATAACAGGGTAGGTGGCCTGCACTCTGCCTGGTCGCCTTTTTTCTCCCGAGCAGCGATGTTTACATACCACACATTGGTACTAATTTGAGGCCGAGTCGACCTAGGGGATGCCCAGGAATCAGTTCAAATAATCGTCACCGGTGTTGGCCACGAGTGGGAATCAAACTCGGGTCGCCGGGTTCGTAGAGCGGTGGCGCAGCGCTAACGACTGCGCCACTGCTCCCAACTGCTCCCCACACGCACGCACACATAGCAGAGATAAACACATTCTCCTGCGGAGGGAGCCGGTAGGAACGTTGGGTTGCTCGGTCAATGGCCAGGGTCAACGGCGGCACCACCACGTGGTGTACTCCGCAAATATGCCCGACTGTGAGGGCGGGCACAAGCCGGCGTGAGTAGGTGAAACGTTGAGTTTTATAAGGGCACCACGGGGTGACCAGCCCCTCCCCACCCAGCCCCACCCCTCCCACCCCCCACTCAGCCCCACCCTCCCCACCCAGCCAAACCCCACCCTCCCCACCGAGCCCCTCCCCACCCTCCCCACCCATGCCCCTCCCCACCCAGCCACCCCCACCGCATCCCTCCCCTCCCCACCCAGCCCCTCCCTTCCCACCCAGCCCCTCCCCAGCCTCACCCCTCCCATTATTGGATGCACGACGGACGGACGGACACAATAATCCCCTGTGGGCTAGTGGTGTAACCAGGAGGTTCCTACCAGTATTACTGAGCAAGGTCTGGTCTAAGTGTCACAAGCAGACCATTAAGGAGAACGATGACAAAGACGTTTGCTCTCACCGGTATCCAATACAGAACTTTTCATATACCAAACTGTGCCCAAATTTCCCAGAGCTGCCAGGACACCGGCATTCTAAAATGTTGTCTCCTTCCAAAAATTAGGTCAACATAGCTCTTAAATGCGTTTTCGGGTTGTTACCGCCTGTTCTTTAGCAGCAGGATGTCCGAACCCGTTTTTCACTCCACGTGCTGGGAGCTTTGACGGTTTCTTCAGGTCGGACATCGCGCTGAACAACAGGTGGCGCAACCCAAAAACAGTGGAGAGCTGTACAGCACAACCGCAGTAATTAAGTCAACATTTTTCCACAATTTTAATCAGCCCTGAGGAATGGTAACTACCAAAAACGTTTAGTCTATCTATATATTGCTAACAGCGATGGAATATTCAGGATCATATGAGAATGGTGTTTTTGGTCTGCGTCTGTATTATACGGGGACTCCGCTACTTACGAACATTCGACTTACGAACTATCAGAGATGCGAATAAACCTGTCCGCGTATCCAGTTGCCTGTTCGTAAGCTCAACCGTCACGCAATAGATGGTGGTGGTGGTTGTTCGGTGTCAAGCACTGGCCCGTTTTGAGTCTCAGGACCCAAACACTGAAAGGTTTACTCAGGTGTTGGCAGCTGTTCACGATGCCATTGCCTGTTACAAGTTGATTTATGAAGAGAAGAAGAGAGCAACTGTGCAGACGTCTCTTGGTAAGTTTTTCAAGAGAGTTGAGACGAAACACGATCACCAAGGGGAATTAGCATCTACATCTGCAGAACATAAAGATCCAGTGGCATCTACAGGAGATTATACAACTTTTAAAGCCATTCCCTGTGTTTAGTGTACAGTAAAACCTTGGATTGCGAGTAACTTGGTCTGCGAATGTTTTGCAAGACGAGCAAAATATTTTATACATTTTAATTTGTTAAACGAGCGAGGTCTTGCAATACGAGTAGTACGTATACGCTTTGCCTGCCGAGCGTCACGTGATCACAACTGATTTACGAGTGCTTTGATATACGAGATCTTTGTATTACAAGCACGTTTCCGGAACGAATTATGCTCGCAATCGTCAAGGTTTTACTGTACATGCCGTACAACACGTTTGGAATCGACAGGCGTAAAGTTGGACTTACGAACAAATCGACTTACGAACAGACCTCTGGAACCTAACTCGTTCGTAACTAGAGGAGTTCCTGCATAGTATTGCTGACACAGTAGTCTCCTGTTCCGTCCGTGACCTGCTGTCAGCGAGCCTTCGACACGAGGCCTGAGAGTGCACCTGGCCTGGCACAGGCGCCGTGGTGACGTCACCGTCACTTGGTGGCGAATGGCGTGTGTTTGTATTGATTGCTGACGCAGTGTTGGATAGCAGCTGCGCTCACCGAGCTTGAGTCGAGTCATGGACTCGGCAAAAACGAGGCGCACCCAGCCGGGCTCGGGGCAGTAGAACGCCTGTCCCGGGCTGATGAGCACTTTGGATTTGATCAGAGCAATCCACATATCCTTCTCCGCCACGAACGTGTCACTTTGCAGGAACTGGGGTGCGCTCGCGGGGGGAAAACGGGCACAGAAAAAAAGAGCACGTTTGTGCCATCGTCTCGAGCAAAAATAACTTGGTGCAAATAACATGATTTCAATTTATTAAAGCGCTAATTTATTTATTATTGAATCATTCAATAATCATAGCAAAATATGGCCAAGAAGGGCATCAGCGATGGAGAAGTGAAAGTTGGATGGCCCGTGATGTCCCGAACAAACGAATTTGCTGAAGACCCGACGCAGGAACACGCTGATTTCAGCCGGCATAGAAGACAGTGAGCAGCGCTTATCCATGTTCGAACAACGCACGGCAGGCGCGGTTACCTCCTGCACGCATGAAGAATTAACAAGTCATCCGATTATGAATGTGATGAAGTACGATCTGTTAGTCTTCGTAACTGACGACCGCCCATTATACACTTCATACAGAAGGTATGAACGCTATGCATCAATAAACTCCTGGTGCCATCGAATGGACCACCAAACTTAACAGTTAATGTTTTGTCAGTTTCTTGTCAAATCCCATAGGGAAGAAGAAGATAGCACACTCAGGATATTTTGTGCTCAGCTTGTTGTCCTTCTCCCGCACACTCCGATTAGCACGGTTTGGCTACATACGGTGGCGAAAGAAGTTCAACGTACATACAACATTGGGTCAAGTTCACTTTTATTATTTTCCACCTTTTCTTGTTTTTGGTATAAAAAAAAAGTGGCCACTGAGCAGCTCTTTACCTGCCGGAAATCAGCCCAGACGTAGAGGCCCGACGCTCGCTCCAAATATGGCACCCCCATTGCTCGGAGGCGGTCCGTCATGTAGCGGTGGGCCTTCCGCAGGCGCTCGTGATTCGTGGGCAGGAACACACGGTCAATCCACTCTGAGGATGCACGTGGGAGTAAGGCATCCATTATTTTATTCATTTATTCTTTCATTTGTTTATTCATTCATTCGAGGTAAATGAGTCTCGCACATTTCAACGAAGCCGACGTGTTCCACTGCTCGATTGATGGCTGGGCGTTGGGTGGCAGGGAGGCACAGTCGTTCAACTAGTGCCTCAGCAAGAAGAGCCTGAGTTTGACTTCTGACCCAAGTACATTTCAGTGGTTATATGTTCGCCCCCCTGGTAGGCATGGGTTCCCCTCTGGCTTCTCCCGTTTCTTCCCAAAGAGAAATACATACATGTACGTAATTGGTTTTGACGAAACATCCAAATGCAGGGCCCTCCAAAAAAGAAGAGTCTAACAACTCAGTGTGGTTATCCTAAGTAAATAAGCATTATTATTATTATAATATCTACTGGCTTCCCTGAGCCTCAATGGACATTCGTGTCCCCAATGGGTTAAGCACCAGTGTGCTCTAAACAAATTATGTAAATACATCAGGTGCGACTCGTTATATTGACCCAGATATATGACGGTGATGATGAACTGGCTCGATCCTGGCTACTAAGAAAATAAAATGCATGAAATTACATTTATGAAAATGCAACAATAACGACAAAATCCATTTTCTAAAACCCAAACCATGACAAATTGTTCTTAGCTGCTTCGTTACAGCATCTTAGGGGTGTGTGAATGTGGCAGCCGTCAGGGTGGTTAACTCTGATGGCCGTTGGCACCTCGGTCCCGGAGAATCTGCGACACGGAGTACTGCAGCGGACCTGGCACGCCATGCACGTATGCCACCTTGCCCAGGGCACGGATCACGTCGCGATTCTCCGTGTAGAGCACGCCCACACGCAGCCCCGATGCGGCAAAGTCCTTTCACGCGCGGGGGGCGAAAAGTGTAGTCACACAGAGCACGCGTTCCACAAGAACCGCTTTGTGTGTTGATTTTTTTGTCCTTTTTCCCGCACCTCCGAATAGCACGGTTGGCTACGTCTCGTGCGAAAGTTCAACATGCATACATCCAGTGAGGGAAAAAAGTATATACTTTGTGGGCCTCACATTAGCGCACACCATTGTACGAGCACCTTGCAATGGCAAAAGTAAATGAGAGGGCTAAAATAAATAAAAAACCTCGTACTCGATTAGTGCGGCTCACACCCATTGACCAATATAATTTCCAGTCCGTTTCACTGTGGTGGGTCTCAATCGAATGAAATAGTTGCAAGTCGTGGGTTCCCTAATCAACCCGAGTTTAAGGCGAATAGCTGGGGGGGAAAAACACACATTTACAGTGAGGGAAAAAAGTATTTGATCCCCTGCTGATTTTGTACGTTTGCCCACTGACAAAGAAATGATCAGTCTATAATTTTAATGGTAGGTTTATTTGAACAGTGAGAGAGAATAACAGCAACAAAAATACGGAAAAACGCATGTCAAAAATGTTATAAATTGATTTGTATTTTAATGAGGGAATTAAGTATTTGACCCCTCTGCAAAACATGACTTAGTACTTGGTGGCAAAACCCTTGTTGGCAATCACAGAGGTCAGACGTTTCTTGTAGTTGGCCACCAGGTTTGCACACATCTCAGGAGGGATTTTGTCCCACTCCTCTTTGCAGATCTTCTCCAAGTCATTAAGGTTTCAAGGCTGACGTTTGGAAACTCGAACCTTCAGCTCCCTCCACAGATTTTCTATGGGATTAAGGTCTGGAGACTGGCTAGGCTACTCCAGGACCTTAATGTGCTTCTTCTTGAGCCACTCCTTTGTTGCCTTGGCCGTGTGTTTTGGGTCATTGTCATGCTGGAATACCCATCCACGACCCATTTTCAATGCCCTGGCTGAAGGAAGGAGGTTCTCACCCAAGATTTGACGGTACATGGCCTCGTCCATCGTCCCTTTGATGCAGTGAAGTTCTCCTGTCCCCTTAGCAGAAAAACACCCCCAAAGCATAATGTTTCCACCTCCATGTTTGACGGAAGGGGATGGTGTTCTTGGGGTCATAGGCAGCATTCTTCCTCCTCCTCCAAACACCGCGAGTTGAGTTGATGCCAAAGAGCTCCATTTTGGTCTCATCTGACCACAACACTTTCACCCAGTTGTCCTCTGAATCATTCAGATGTTCATTGGCAAACTTCAGACGGGCATGTATATGTGTTTTCTTGAGCAGGGGGACCTTGCGGGTGCTGCAGGATTTCAGTCCTTCACGGCGTAGTGTGTTACCAATTGTTTTCTTGGTGACTATGGTCCCAGCTGCCTTGAGATCATTGACAAGATCCTCCCGTGTAGTTATGGGCTGATTCCTCACCATTCTCATGATCATTGCAACTCAACGAGGTGAGATCTTGCATCGAGCCCCGGGCCGAGGGAGATTGACAGTTCTTTTGTGTTTCTTCCATTTGCGAATAATCGCACCAACTGTTGTCACCTTCTCACCAAGCTGCTTGGCAATGGTATTGTAGCCCATTCCAGCCTTGTGTAGGTCTACAATCTTGTCCCTGACATCCTTAGAGAGCTCTTTGGTCTTGGCCATGGTGGAGAGTTTGAAATCTGATTTGATTGATTGCTTCTGTGGATAGGTGCCTTTTATACAGGTAACAAGCTGAGATTAGGAGCACTCCATTTAAGAGTGTGCTCCTAATCTCAGCTCGTTACCTGTATAAAAGACACCTGGGAGCCATAAATCTTTCTGATTGAGAGGGGGGGTCAAATACTTATTTCCCTCCTTAAAATGCAAATCAATTTATAACATTTTTGACATGCGTTTTTCTGGATTTTGTTGTTGTTATTCTGTCTCTCACTGTTCAAATAAACCTACCATTAAAATTATAGACTGATCATTTATTTGTCAGTGGGCAAACGTACAAAATCAGCAGGGGATCAAATACTTTTTTCCCCTCACTGTATATACCGAAGTCTGTAAGTCTTCCCGGTACATTAAAAGTTGCAGTGTTTGTCAGTTGCATGATTAAAATACATCACTTGAGACAATGCAATTACACGCAGTTTTCCCCCTCTTCTGTTATTATCTGATATTCTCAGAGGTGGCAACTCTCATCAATTCTGTAAATGACGAGAAACACCCATCATGACAGAATAATAGTGCGGGCTATAAACCATAAGGTTTAAACAACACGCAGATGTGTGTGAAAAGTACACAGCCTTTGTGCATTATGCAAAAAACATCAGCATTTTCTGAAGTGCATTGTGTTCCTCTTGCCTGAGATCACCATAAAAATAAACCTGAGCAAACATGCTTCTGTCAGTTGGTCATATTTGTTCAAATATATTGTGATGGTGACCTAAGCCAAGAGGACCACAATGCACTTCTTCAGGAAATAGATATTTTTGTTGCATAATGCACAAAGACTGTTTGCTTTTCACAGTGTTGTGTATTGTTTGAAACTGGTGGCAACTCTAATGGTTATCATTGTCATGGAAACCGAATTTAGCTTTTAACATGTTATTAGTGTATTCTTAGTTTTTTCGGTAAAGTCACGTTGAAGGGAAACAACAAAATAATAAAATATATATAAAACAATAAAAAATTCTCAGGACGTTTCGACCATAACTCAAACGGTCGTCTTCAGGTGTGTTGGTTTGCATAAATTTATTTTTAAACGGCGCATTTATTTATAAAAACGTTAGCGCCACGCGCAACGATTTGGCAGTTTATTTAGGACTAGTCCATCTATATTCTGAAAAGAGGAGGGGGAGACGAAATGCAAACCAACACACCTGAAGACGACCGTTTGAGTTATGGTCGAAACGTCGTGAGAATTTTTTATTGTTTTATATATATTTTATTATTTTGTTGTTTCCCTTCAACGTGACTTTACCGAAAAAACTAAGAATATGAATTACTGCAGTCACGAAAGCTTTAAATCAAAATGTTATTAGTGCTCGGAGAGGCCCCTAGTGTTGAGGGAACTACATCAAAATATAATCATTACCATCACCATTAGGGCTGTACAAAGTGTTACGCAAGGTTTAACAAACGTAAGATTTACCTTGCTGAGGCTCCACATCACGTGCGTGCGGTCCGGGTCAGGAAGACTTTCACAAACAGACGACAAAAGGAGTCAATGACACTGTGGCGACGCCTTGGTCAAACTTGTGCATGTATGTCGTGTGTTCCGCTGGGCTACTCACTTGGACTCATAATAGGCACCAGGGTACGTGTACAATCAGGTGCATTCACTGGGCTCCAAGTCAACCGTACAACGATTACAAAATCTCTCTCAAAAATATTAAAACCCACACGTGGCATACTTCTTTGACCTCAAACTGACCTCTGTGAGGTCACTTCCTCTTGCCCTTCTGTCTGCCCTCTCCATGCTAGAAAACACTGTTTATTTTCTCCACCTCAGCATTAATTACTGTGAAGACTTAGCAAAAAACTCCATAATGGTACTCAGTGAGGCTTTTCTGGATACACAAAAGTAATGATAATTTTAAAATATAGATTTATTTTTTTACGTAAGGAGGTTGCTTCTGCTGCTCTAATAGCATGGAATGAGCTGCCCCCGTTATCTCCAATTTGCTAAATGGGCCCGTCTTGTTCCCTATGTATGACAGAAAAACCTTCATTAACTTCACCGATTTAATTCCTTTATAATTAACATTCCATTTGTTATTCAATTGCCCGATTATATTCCATGTTTAAAGCTACTCGTTCCTTGTAACACCCACAAATACACTGCCCTGTTATGACTGCATAATCTGGAGATACATTTGTATGATATAGCAACTGCTACATTACATAAACAAAGCTGCATTGTGTTGCATATGGAGAAAATATCACAAAGCCAACATGGGCACAAACCGGTCAAAGCTGAGGACACTGGTGAACTTGGGTCCCTTGATGAAGATGGTGAGCATGTATATCTCATCCATGATCACATGCAGCTCGTGTCTGCAACAGCACGTGGGCGCTCAGTTCAACGCTAGAATATTTAGCAGTACCTTAATATTTTAGTCCACCCAGCGGGTATAAAATGGCGACACCGCAGTTAGTCGTTCGGCAGGGCCCGTGCGGTGGGGTTTAGTGTGGTGCCCACACACTTAGCCTAGCCCATTTCTGCCAGCACTGGTGTGAGTAAATCGTTTCAGGGCTACACCGTGACCCTGAACAAGTGGCAATAACCGATTGGCTGGAATGCGATCGATGTCGTGAGATCTCTCGGAAGCGAAACAGCGTTCACCCTGGAGAGTGCTCTGATAGGCGACCACCATGCATTAAATATAGAACACATATAAAACCCCTTATTCATTGGCTGAAAACATCTAAATTTATATGCACCTCCGTGTCTGCAGATTGTGCAGCGTCGTGAGATTCAGCTTGCATGAATGACGGAATATAAACAAAGTCGTTATTATAAAACGGGTGTTTTATAGGCTGCTGCAGGGCTAAGTTTTCATTTCATTTTCATTTATTTGGTATAGCCCTGTGAGCCATTAGGCTCTTGAATCGGGTGCAACCGCAACAAACAAAAAACAAAAACATGAACAAGAAAACATCTTAAAGTGACTATGTTACTGTGCAAACAGAAAATCCAGGAAAAAAACAGCAAAATAGTTGTAAACAGGGATACATTTAGCAAACTACATTTTGTACTATACTATGCCTCAACATCTATGCCCCTCCACCTTTGTCAACATCACCCGCATGGCGTGAGGAGGCCCTCATCCAGAAGTGGCTGTACATGAACACATTGTTTTAGAAGTGTATTTTTTTTACATGAAAGCAATCATGTTCTCACAGTGGGTGAAAGTGGCAGTATGGAGTTATCTGAAACGAGTGCAATAAGTAACTCAAACACAGAGGGCCAACCCGTGGGGAAAAAATAAACGCAGAGTCTGCAGCAAGTTCACGCTCTCCAACAGTAAGAGTCCCCCCCCCCCCCCAATGTCATGCACAATCAATCACCCAATCCCCAGCCCAACCCTAGTCGTGCCAAGGAGTATAAAATCATCAAAATAACATTTGCGATCACAGGCTACAAAATGCACATGCCGATGCCCATTATAGAGTTTTACGAGACCCATTCGGAACACGGCGCAGCCAAACGAGCCGAGCCAAACAGCCGCATCTTGGCAAACACTTGCGGCCCCCTTGCAAAAAAAAAAGAGAGATAAGTGAGCAGAACGCACCTCTTGGCAAACTCCAGATAACTGAGCAGAGCGTCGGCCGGGTAGATGTCGCCCAGGGGGTTGTTGGGGTTGATGAGAATAACTGCCCTGATGCGCATGCCCTGCAGGGCAAGTGACGAGAGAAACACGGCCGTTATTTATCAACACGGTCCCAGCCGCCACGCAGTCCCCGTCTGCCGATACAGCCTGATTTCGTTCATAAGACACAATGTCAACTTGTACATCTAAATGAGCTGACCCTTCACGAGACTTTGCTTGAAACTAATAAAGTAATAGCCTAATTGGACAAATCAAACCATGGGATGGTAGAGCAATGAGTGAGGACTCAAGACAGGCGGTTTGCCTCTCAATGAATTGTAAGGCTACTTACTTAAGCCAGTTTATGCCATTTTTTAAATAACATTAAGCGGAGTGGTGATGTCAGAAAGGGGCCGTCAGGCTTGTATATGTACGTATGTTGAACTTCTTTCACACTGTACGTAGCCAACCGTGCTAATCGGAGGTGCGGGGAAGGACAACAAACTAAACACACGCTGCTTTACCACCCTTGCATTATTATAGAACCACCATGCCGTCAATTACTCCATACACATTTTTGAAAGGCGCAAATTTAGGTAATACGCTATTTAGAACTGTCAACATGTGTTGGTTATGTCAAGAAAATATTAATAAACAAAGTACTTGAAAACATTTAAATGAGTGAAGTTAAACACAATGTTATGTTTTTCAAAGCGCATACAATTATCATGGATCTAATATAATACGATATATATTGTAATATCACCATACCACGGCAACCTTACCAGCGCCACACAGCCCCTGCGTGTCGCTGCAGGATAGTTTCTGTCAACTGTACAGTTATTGCTTTATCACTCTCTCCGTGGCTCATCAACTCAGCGCCCACCATTCCATTACCACGTGCCCAGCGCTCAAGCCTAATATGGCTGCTCTGTTATGATCTTGCTGTACGGGGGGGGGGAGCACAGATAGCCATGATGTACGTGGACGAAAATTAAAACAACTTCATCGGTAATAGTAATAGGTTTTAACCCTTTTATCTGGCACCAAAACTGACACCTTTATACAACGGATTATGTTTGCAATAACCACAACACAAGCAGTCAAATTGCAAACAAAAAGAGACAACTCTGATAATGATATGCACTGTCCTTGAAACTTTATCGATACCGAGGCTCCCACAGGGCCATGCGGGAGGGCACCAGCTGTCATAGAATGCGGCCGTTTTGCTACAATTCTCTGTGGTGAGTACAATGTCTTTAAGAACAATGAGGCTATGCCGCTGAATAAAATGAACGCCAACCGCTTGCACGTTCAGAGATTCAACGGTGAACGGGACCCCCACCCTGCAACTTTCAGACGTCTCGGAACGGGAAAGGGTTAACAATGTGGAAGTGGTGGTTGGGCAAAGACGAGGACAATCAGGTAGCAGGAGCTGAATGCAGTCAGAACCAACGGTTGAGGTTTATGTGCCACTGACCTCCTTTTTAGCAGCTTCCAACGCAGTCTCGAGTTTTGGCACCGTGAGCTGGAAGGGATGAGTCTCATCTTCAGACGGCTGGGAGAGAGAGAAAGGTTTTAATTGCGGTAATTTTTTTGTATATTTTACAGATCAGCTGGCACTCACCTCCATCTTCCGAAATGGTGATGCATTCCAGTGATCCATCACTCTGAAAGGTCGGGTTTGTGGATCACCTGAATTTGGAAACTCCCAAACTCGCCAGGCTGTGCGGTCACCAGGAGATGACAATACAGAATGGATTCTGAAATCCATTCTGTGCACACCTTGGTTATCCCCTTGTAAGTTGGGGTTTTCTCTGGGTATTTCAGATTCTTCCCACGTGCCAAATATTATTGGCCAAACATCCCAATTCATGACCAAGGATGGAGAGATGATCTAAGTGAAACATGTTCTCCACTTGTTGCAGAGGTTCACGGTTCGAAACCAGTGGCCACCCCGATTACTCTGAGTATAATAACCATGGCAATAATATGCTGACTGCATCAAAGCGGATGTTCAAGATCCCCTGATGTTATTAGCAAAAGTATTCTATTGTGTGGCAGCGTGAGGGGTCTAAGTGTGCCAAAGTAAAAAATTACCCACAAATTACGCAAATGGGATTGTATATAGCAATCATCACCCCGTACTTGCACACTGATGTGCCAGGTCACTCTTGCATATTAGACTATCCTCGTCTCTCGAATTCTCACCTGACTAAACAAAAAAGAAACCTGAACAAGCAACATGACACTGCAAAAAGAAAGAGTCTTACAACTCACTGAGGTTTTCCCTGCAGAAATAAAGGTTAGTATAAATCTATATTCTTGATTCTTTCGGTAAAGTCATGTATAAGGGAAACAATAAAATAATAAAAATATAAAAGAAAAAAATAGTATAAATCTATTAATAATTAATGGACAATAACCACATGGTGGGTGTAGCAATGACGCAGTGGTTTGTGCACTGCGCCATGAGCCACAGTCACCAGAGTTCGCTTCCTGGCCATTGCTAACACCACTGGTGAACGATATCTGAACCAACCAAATGCTGGGTTGACCAACCCGCACTCATCAGCATGGTCAAGTTTGGTCAAACAACCCCCATGATCGAGAGGTGTTGGGAGGCCTTCATCCATCAGAGGGCTATAAACATGTGCTTTATTTTAATATTGGTTTAACACGTAGGCTTTCGCGACCAATATCATCCATGCTAATGTAGAAATTATAATGTAGAAATCTGCATCCGGCAGTGAGCTGAGAATAGCCGCTCATGATGGTGGTGGTGGTGGTGGTGATGACGATCACGCGGACTCTCAATGGGCTCACCACGCCGCTCAGGGGCACGTGCACAGTCCGGACGCCCGAGTAGTGACGGATGTCTTCATCAATGATGCCGTAGTACGGGGTGGGGATGAGGATGCCGTCTGCATCGTGGCACACAAAACACAAAGATGTAGGCTTAACCTACTGTTTCGGTCAAGTGCTGTTAGCAAACGCCTATGAAAACCAGCACGGCAAACGAGGCGCAGAGTGGCCAGCACCATGCCTGGCCACCTTTGTCTCTCTGTGGCAATGTTTACATATCTCACCAGGTACTCATTTGAGGCTGAGTCAACCTAGAGGAGGCCCAGGACCAGTTCAGATACTGGTGTCGGCCGTGAGCGGGAATCGAACTCGGTTCGCTAGGTTCGTGGCGCAGTGTGATAACGGTTGCACAAGCAGCTCCACATAAAATACGCAATACATGCTGCGCTACACAAAATACACACAGGAGGGACACACACCAGCACATACAATCACTCAAAGCAGTCACATAGCCACTTTTAGCTACCATATTCTTGGTTCTTTCGGTAAAGTCAAATTTTCCTGTTGTGGTTTTCACACCTGATGATGATTGCTTGTGTTGCAGTCGAAACATCGTGATAATTTTATTGTTTTATATTTGTATTCTTTTATTGCTTCCCTTCTACATGACTTTACCGAAAGAACCAAGAATATGAATCCCTGCAGTCACGAAAGCTTCAAATCAAAATTTTAGCTATCAGTCAATAGTCTGAGCATGTCCCAGTTACGACGTTAAACTGCATCCGGTTATGGTGTCAAAACGCTGTTGAGAATGACGAGGGGAAACCACCTCAATCTTCCTTCCCAACCTCGTGCTTAAGAGGTCTCATATTGAGTGCTGTGGTGAAAGAGCGAAGCGGGAGAGTGGAAAAAAGATGGAATGAGCTGTGGACTCGTCCTTGGTCGTAGAAGTTGACAGAGAAAGACACTTACCCAACAACAACAATAATTTAGATTTATACAGCACTGAAATGCAATTATACCCATAGACACAATTAGCAAAACAGTGCAGCCGTGCATAACAAGAAAATAGGAGGTGTGTGTGTGTTTGCGTATATAAATGCGTGGTACGTCTGGCCCTCAGTGAGTGCTTCGGACAGATAGAAAAGTGATTAGGAGAGGTTGCCAAAATAATTAAGAAACTCCTATGACCCTGGGTGAAAGGTCCCCTGGTCCCTCCACCACCAAAGGATGCAGTCACTCCCCTGGTTATCTGGCTCACCTCCAGGGTCACAGAGCACCGCTGATAGAGCAGTGAAGAGAGAACCGCAGCCATTAACCACTACCACCTGAGGAGGGCAGAGCGCAGGCAGATAACAACACAACACGCTCGCAAAGCATTACACTGTTTTTGAGTTGTCACGCGTATTGTTAGGCACGATGTCCGACGTTTCGCTCCACGTGCTGGAAGCTTCTTCAGGATTGAGCCCAGTTCCTAAAGAAGCTCACAGCACATGGAGAGAAATGTCTGGCATCGTGCCGAATCACCCGCGGTACAACCTGAAAAAACATCAGCGTCCTATACAGCACAACCGCGAAAACCCACACAGGCGTAACGACGCATACCGCACCTTAACATCTAACACCCCATAAGTGTGAATGAAGAGCAAGTGTACAATTTTACAAGTTTCATCAAAATCAAAGCTGCAATTACCTTGTTGCAGGAATATCACTACAAAGATCCCCCATATAGCCTTAACAGACTGTAGGGGCAAGTGCTGTTAGCGAGCACCTATGAAGGCCGGAACGGTACACGGAGGGGGTGGGTGGGCAGCACCACGCCCGACCGCCTTTGTCTCCCTAGTGGCGATGTTTACACACCGCACCAGGTACTTATTTGAGGCTGAGTCGACCTAGGGGAGGCCCGGGACCGGTTCAGATAATCGTCACTGGTGTTGGCCGTGAGCGGGAATCGAACCCGGGTCGCCAGGTTCATAGCGCAGCGCGCTAACCGCTACACTATCAGTACACACACACTCACACATGCAAATAATTTGACAAGACTTAACAGAGCCCATGATATCATGTTATATTTTTTACCACGCTGGCGGACACGTGTCACGAAACAAATTTGAATTAACCACAAAATATGAAATTGCCTCTTTCCAAACATTCGGACGACCAATTGACTTATTCTGGGCCACACTGCCATAAGGAATAACTTGGCCAGACAACTGTTGATGATGCAAACAGAAGGAATTTACTCAGCGACTTATTCAGTGTAAAGTACTCACATTTTCTGAGTCAAGGGGCCTGGGTGCCTTGCAGTAATCGGTTAGGAAACGAGCCATTTCTTTCTTCAAACTATTTAAAAAAACACATTTTAACCACAAGTTAACAGCACAGCATAACTCGCCTCACTAACCAGCATTTATTTAAAATTACATCTTGATAAATAGATAAAAGCAAAACTCTTTTTTAAAATAAAAGTTAAGCAAAAACACCAGTTGTTTACATTAACATTTTAGTGTGTACTGTAAATTAAAGTGACGTATCATGCTACGAGACGTAACGCGTGTTAATTCAAATGTTATGTGCATAGCTCTTAGGCATTAAATAATGCATCCGTAAATCATGTATCATTAATTAGTTCGCTTACGATACTTACGCATTGAATCGTGCATGTGTGACAATTATTTCCGCTTCAATGCGAATCACCTGCTGCGACATTTGGTTTACATTTCGTTAACCGGCAGGTCGCATGCGGTGGGGTGACGTGCGGATACCTTTCACCTCTGCCAAGGCTTATCTATCCATCCGGCGTGGAAGAGTCAGCCAAAATACAACACTTGAGAGGGGGCTCTCTAGAACTCCCTCTCGTGGAGGCTCTTCCGCCAGCAGTGGCGTGAGCACGCAATTGCAGAGCTTCACCTTTACCTTTTGCATTTAACGCAACGTGGCGGACTTAACTGGATAAATGAAAACCAATACAAGCGAGCACGGTAAAAAAAAAATGAATTGTAACCAATGCTTGAATCGAATCGTGACCTCGAGTTGTGAAAATAAATCAGATAAATGGAGGGAGAATTAATACTTGGGTTAACAGACGTGAACTCCAGCCAGCCATGGTGATGCTGTGTACCGTGTACGACTGCGGGTGGAACTAAGGACGCGATCGATGGGATAACAACTCACAATGCGTGTCCTCGCCAGTCCCCATAGCACAGCGTCACGGGGTCCACGTGGTACATATCAGGCTGACCCAGCTGCTCGAGAGGCAAACATCACACAACAGCATCATAATGTGCCAGTCGTTCATCCGGGCCACCGGCTTCCCGTGAAACCTGGGATCCGACTATAAATATCTTGCTTCTTCAAAATCTTTCAGGGCCTCCCTCCTCATAATCTTGATTTATTTCGGAGAAATCCGTTGAGCTATGGAACTCTATTTCAAAGATGTCCAGTAATTTTTACAGATGTCCAGTAGTGTCTACTCCGAATAATCACTGAAGTCTCAATGCTCATTAGTTTCCCTTCCACTCCCTTCAATATAAAAAAACATTGTCATTGCACTGCCACACCTGTCCCTTAAATAAAGGTGTTTACACTTCCTCTGCTGACCATAAGGTTTAACAGCAAATGCATTGCTGTATATATTTCATTATCCTGCTATTCATGTCGAAGGACCGATCTCCTTTCTCTCACATGAAAATATATTTTTTACTTTGTTGCTGGATCTGCCTTGACGTGTCATTGTTGCTTGTTAAAGACTCATGAGTATATACAGAACTCTGGGTTTGTTTTAGATATACGTAGATTTATACTATATGGAGGTGTTGGCGTGCATGATAGCCTACCCGTGTGGCCATCAAGTCCACAGACAGCTTGTTTTCGCTTGTTCCCAAATTAATGATTCCCTAGAGAAACATAAACGCCAACAAACGTACATTAATATATGAACATCATCTCGAACAGAGCTGCTGCATAAATTGGGTATAAAAATCATAAATTCAACCTATCCATACATATCCCCCCTGTCCCACTATGCATGGTATGCATGGACATGATACAAGATCTTTAAAAAAACATCCATTAGGGTCACAGCATTTCCCAACGCTAAATGCGCTTGCCACGATTAATGAATAAATTATGCAAAATTTAATGACACCAATGCTTCTGCCAACTCTGGTGGCCGTGATAACGACGCTAATAACAATGAGCAATAACCATCGTAAAACAATTTTTGCGGGCTCTTAACGATTTACTTGCACAACTGCAAAGCCTCGGGGAGGGGGGGGGGATGCGCTATTGTGTAAATTCCCATGACGTTTAAAAAGCCACGGCATTGGTCGTGTCTCCCTGCGGTGGTGCACCACCCCCCCACTTCTTCTCCATCTGAAATCGAGCGTAAAACCCATCATCTCTGCTGGCATTGTTGTGTGGGCAAAGAGGAACACACATGGGTTAGCCTGTGCCCGCTGTCTTCCAGCATACGTGACCGGACATACCAAGCGCACTCAACACACACACAGCGAAACGTCTAATCTTATTCATAATCATCATCATCCTCATCGAACGATCATCAGTACTGACAGGTCCATCTTCAGCCACTCGGCTTTCCGTCACTCCTTCAAGCCTAAATTGACTGTAAACGTTGCGGAGTGAAAGCAAATGCAGCGGGTGACATGACCTGTCCGACATTCACTCGCCACACAAGGCGTGAAATAAATCCGACAATGATGACGATGAGAGATGAACACGTCGTGCGATGGGGGGGAAGGGGGGGGGGGAGAAACACCGAGCCGCCGATGTTGCATTGAATCCGCTCATCACAACCACACGCCCGCTGCACGCATGCACACAATGCACGCCGCATTCACAAGCACGGCCGCCTCTTAATAGCTGCGCCCAATGGATCTTCCTTCATTTCATTCAACGCCTTGGCAACCCTGTAGCAAAGATGGAGTGGCTGGACACGCGCACGTATATTTATCAATACTGTGTGCGTGCGTGCCGCCTATGTTGTGCGGTAGATTTTTTTTTTTTAACAGATGTGCATCGCACCGACATATATCTGTGTTACATTTGTAAGAACCACACATCTCGATGCTGTACTGACAAATGCGACCATGTACACTGCACATCGACAAAAATATTAAGCTCGTTCTCAAAAACATGTCCCTATGCAGATGTGCGTGTGTCTGTGTGTACATGGGAGGTGCATAAGCGGTGCTACATCATCCCGGTACATGCATACATACACACCCACCATTGCACTGTGCGTACAATTGCACTGAAGTACACAGGCACAAACCTTCAGAGTACACACGTGCGTACGTGCACACAGCATTTCTGCATAGTGCTTATGTGTATGCATCTGCACAGAGCATTGCTGTATAAGTACATTCGTGTACATGTATGTGCGCGCAGCAACGGCGCTGTGCAGGACACACACGTGTGAATGCATGTACAGATGAATGTGTACCGCACAGCATTACGCGAACATCACACGTGCAGATCAAACGCATGAGTGGGCCACCTCCGGGTTGCGAGCCTCGTCGAATTTGTTGGCCGAGTACATGGAGAAGCCATCCTGCAGGATGCCCGTGTAGCTCATGATTCTGTGCCCCCTCTCCGACAAGAAGAGACTCCTGCTGCTGCTGCTGCTGCTCCTCCGCGTGCTGCTGCTGTCGCATGGATGATGCCGCGTGGATGCCGCACCACCCGCACGACCTGCTCGCTCCATCGGCCACAGTGGCTGTGGCTGCGAATGTGGGAGAGAGTGAATGTGGGTGTAGCTATCTACGGATGTCACTGTGCGTGTGAATGTTGCTCTGGGTTGTCACTGTGCGTGCGACTGTGAATGCGGTGTAGCCACGGAAGAGAAGGTGGGAGTGAACGTGTTGTTTAGTTATGGATGTGTGCCGTGTGACAACGTAAATTCTGTGGCTGTCAATGTGTGCGCGCGCGAAAGTGAATGTAGGAATAAGTGAATGTGGGCACCACTACGGCTGTCACTGTGCGTGTGAATGGCTATATGGGAGAAAATGTTGTCTATGGATATCAATGTGGGAATATAGGAGTGAATGTGGAAGCAAGTGTTTGTGGGTGTAGATATGATTGTGAATAAAATGTTTTGTTTAGCTATGGATGTAGTTATGAGATTTGAATATAGCGGTCAATGATGTGACTATGAAAGTGGGTACGGGTGCAGCTATGGATGTAGTTATGAGATTTGAATATAGCGGTCAATGATGTGACTATGAAAGTGGGTACGGGTGCAGCTATGGATGTAGTTATGAGATTTGAATAGAGCGGTCAATGATGTGACGAGGAAAGTGGGTACGGGTATAGCTATGGATGTAGTTATGAGATTTGAATAGAGCGGTCAATGATGTGACTATGAAAGTGGGTACGGGTGCAGCTATGGATGTAGTTATGAGATTTGAATAGAGCGGTCAATGATGTGACTATGAACGTGGGTACGGGTGCAGCTATGGATGTAGTTATGAGATTTGAATAGAGCGGTCAATGATGTGACTATGAAAGTGGGTACGGGTGCAGCTATGGATGTAGTTATGAGATTTGAATAGAGCGGTCAATGATGTGACTATGAAAGTGAGTACGGGTGCAGCTATGGATGTAGTTATGAGATTTGAATAGAGCGGTCAATGATGTGACTATGAAAGTGAGTACGGGTGCAGCTATGGATGTAGTTATGAGATTTGAATAGAGCGGTCAATGATGTGACTTTGAAAGTGGGTACGGGTGCAGCTATGGATGTGAATTTGAGCGTGAACGCGAGTAGCTAGAGATTTTATTTTTTGGGTGTGACATTTGGCATATAGCTATTGATGTTAATGTGGGTGTAGCTATTGATGTTAATGTGGGTGTAGCTATTGATGTTAATGTGGGTGTAGCTATTGATGTGAATAGCTATTGATGTGAATGTGGGTGTAGCTATTGATTTGAATGTGGATATAGCTATTGATGTGAATGTGGGTATAGCTATTGATGTGAATGCACAACACGGTATGTGAACGTGTCAATGTGGGTATAGCAGTGGAAATGAATGGTTGCAAACCGTTGCTGTGGATGTGAACGTGTTTACAAATTTAGCTCTGGAAATGTGTACACGCTGTAAATGAGGCTGTGTGAATGCAAGTGTGAATGAGGCTCATGCTGCTAATGCAGCTATGGATGGCAATGCAGGTGACTCAGAGATAAGGCTTTTTGTGTTGATGCAGTGTTAGTCACTGCAGAGAACACAAGCTGTATCTGGGAAAGCAGATGCAGCCAGCCCTTTCGGTTGTGGCTTTATCTGTCTGTGGGTGTCGCTGCACCAATGCCTGTGGACGTGGCTGCTGTCACTGTGGGCTCTCTGTGCCCGCTTGTAGAGATGTTGCCTGTAGGATCAGATGGGACGGACGCACACAGACACATAAGTACAAGGACATGCGCACTGGCAAACTACACTACCACGTGCATACTGGCACATGTCACAAACTGCACAAGCATGTGTAAACTACAGGCAGGTTACAAAATGTGTGCATAGTACGGTTCTAAGAATATCCCACGTATAGCCTTTATGCACCCAACACGTGCATAAACACGTATGTACAAAAAACCAACGTAAACAATAGCCAAAGAATTGTACGCATATATACTGCATATGAACGCCTGTAAACATTGTGAGTACGTATACACGGCTTTAAACACGTGTACACAAACACCCTTGCACTGTACAAACACGTGTACACAAACACCCTTGCACTGTACAAACACGTGTACACAAACACCCCTGCACTGTACAAACACGTGTACACAAACACCCTGCACTGTACAAACACGTGTACACAAACACCCCTGCACTGTACAAACACGTGTACACAAACACCCCTGCACTGTACAAACACGTGTACACAAACACCCTGCACTGTACAAACACGTGTACACAAACACCCTGCACTGTACAAACACGTGTATACAAACACCCTGCACTGTACAAACACGTGTACACAAACACCCTGCACTGTCCAAACACGTGTACACAACAACACGTGTACACAACAACACTTCGACGCTATCATGTACCAACGCAGTCGCCTCGCGCCTATCCGAGCTTACGGCCATGCCGACATCGCAGCGAACGTGATCAACGCAGCACTTGCATCTGTGCATGTACTGTACACGTATCATCCCTGCGACGTTCAGTTGCCATTCGCTTCCGAGTCGGCCACGCAACGGAGACCGGCAGTGAAAGTGGTGGTGTTGTGGGGGGGTGGTGGTGTTGTGGGGGGGTGTTGTGGGGGGTGAGTTTTGTTTGTCCGCCATCAACCACACAAAAACTCTGGGCCCGCTGTCGTTGTGGGTTTAAAAAAACTGGTTCGCAGGCGACGGTCGGGCCAAGCGGGGTTGAGTCGCTCAGTTGAGGTCCGTCATAAACGACGATTCGACGGTGGAGGTGGTGGTCGTGTGATGGTGGTGGGTGGGTGGTGGTGAGTGGTCGGTGGTGATGGTGAGTGGTCGGTGGTGATGGTGGTGGTGGTAGTAGTAGGTGGGTGGTGGTAGTGGGTTGTGGTGGTAGTGGGTTGGGGGTGGTAGTGGGGTTGTGGTGGTGGTAGTGAGTGGGTGGTGGTGGTAGTGGGTTGTGGTGGTGGTAGTGAGTGGGTGGTGGTGAGTGAGTGGGTGGTGGTGGGTTGTGGTGGTGGTAGTGGGTGGGTGGTGGAAGTGGATTGTGGTGGTAGTGGGTTGGGGGTGGTAGTGGGTTGGGGGTGGTAGTGAGTGGGTGGTGGTAGTGGGGTTGTGGTGGTAGTGAGTGGGTGGTGGTAGTGGGGTTGTGGTGGTGGTAGTGAGTGGGTGGTGGTAGTGGGTTGGGGAGGGTAGTGAGTGGGTGGTGGTGATAGTGGTTGGCGGTGGTGATAGTGGGTGGGTGGATGGTGGTGGTGGCGGCGGGGTAACTCAACACGAATCGCAGAGGCTCCTTCACCGGCCGAGTTCGTTCGCTTCCTCCCTCCCCACGCGGCTCCTTTCGTCTCTGGGATCCACGCAGCACCCCCCCCCCACGCCACCCAGTGGCCACCCTGCATCAGTGCGGGCTGCAAGAGCCGGTAGAGGGTTTCCTTGGGGGTATGGCGGTATGCGATCGATCAATCGATGATATCACCCGCGCTCGTCAACGTTAAAAGGCGAACTGCAAAACGGCCACGTGTCTCATCGGGCTCGCTTGTTAAGAGTTTTCTCGTCTTGTACGAATTACAACTAAATAACCCAACAAAACGTCTCCTTCACATATTAATGTCTCTTCCCGTGAAGTGTAAAAGTATTGTTCCAACGCAACACATCAGTTGTGTATTCGTCATCACTACATTCCCTTATCAGTGCTGCCCTTATTATTACAGACCACGTCAGAGACCGTATTGATCATCCCGTGTCCTTATAAATAATTGCACACGTGCAGAACTGTGGAATAGTAGTGTATAATCACGAATATTGCACTTCGTGCTCCTCTCTCGCTTTGGAAGGATGTGACACAGCCCCGTTATGATTGTGATGGAGATTAAGCCAAATGCCATGCTTACTGGTGGCATATACAAATGCATAGGCAGCTATCTGACATTATACAACTTTGCAGGAAATGTGACCATCACAACTTAATTCCATACCTATCAATCCCTTACCAGTGCCCTACCTTATTACAGACGAATTCAGATACCTTATTGGTCACCCCGTGCCCCTTATAAATCTCAACGTTCATCCTACAAAGTCACCATCACAAGGGAGAAACACAAATAGACATAAGTTTCGTTTTTTTGGCTCGTATGGAAACGGCTGTACGCCGCATGGACCTGGAAACTCAACTTCCCTGTACAAGAATACGGAGTAAGGGGCCGTCCATAAATGACGTCACGCGATTTTGGACGATTTTTGACCCCCCCCCCCCCCCTCGTCACACGGCGTCACAAAAAGTCAGACCCTCCCTCAAATATGACGTCACAAAGCTCTGCCCCCCCCCCCCCAAAATAAAACATGCTTCAAATCGCTATTGTCATTGTAGTGCGAATTTAATGTGCCGCTGCACACTGATGTTGTAGGAGAAAACATTTATTAGAAAGTCTATTTAATTAAGCAGAACGTGTTGTCTATATTTATTTACATACTGTACTGAAGAAGCTTGATTCCATCTATCACTCGGCCTTAAGATTTACATTGAACTGCCCATATAGGACTCACCATTGTGATCTCTACATTGGGTCAAACTTAACATCTCTTAATGTTTGACAGCTTGTGCACCAGATCTTATTTATTCACGATGTACTTACAACAAAAAATCCGCAGACTACCTGCTGGATCTCCTCTCTGTTTCAAAGAACAAATTTGACCTCAGGTCTTCGCTCATTTACCAGCTTCACATTCCCTATTGCCGTACAAAAACTGGAAGGGCTTTTGCTATTGATGCCCGCAGGGTCTGGAATGCTATTGCCAATAAACTGCAACTTGAATCGCTACCAATGAGATCTTCTCTCAAAACTGCTCGAGAGGAGTTGTACACCCCTAGCTGCCACTGCTATTCATTGGCGTAAAATAAAATAAAATATTTTTGCTCTGGATGACGCTGCAAAGAATTATCTGTATTTTGATTTAGCGTGCTGATCTTAAACGTGCATTGAAACATTTGATACTCCGACCGATGCTTCTGTTGTTGTGGAGCAACTCATTGCAGCCAGCTGTGGCTCTAGGATTTGGTGTTACATGTTATTTATGTAGTTTATTGTAAAAATTCGGTTACAGTCCCTATGATCACTGTTACGCTGTAATTATGGCTTTATTTTTTGGTGATTTCGAAAAAGTTTTTTTGGTTTGGACATGTTTTGTTGTAGTACGGAGTTAAACTGAAGGCCTTAATTTAAGTTTTCTTGTGGTTGTTGTTGTTTGACTTGCATCCCACTGGGATTTTTTGCACACAGCGTTGGTGTACGGTGCTATTTCAGGAATATTTTGCTGTTTTTTTCATGGATTTTCTGTTTGCACAGTCACAGTCACTTTAAGTTGTTTTCTTGTTCGTGTTTTTGTTTGTTTGTTGTGGTTGCACCCGATTCAAGAGCCGAATGGCTCACAGGGCTATACCAAAATAAACTGAAAACTGAATTTAAAGTTGCGCATTTTGATGTGACGTCACATTTCTCAACCCCCCCTCCCGTCACACATCGTCACAATGTCTGACCCCCCCAGGTGCGTGACGTCATATATGGACGGCCCCTAAACCGTATGGGTTAACAGTATGAATTACCTGACCGATTATCGATTTGATCAGCCCATTGTTTCGGCCAATGAGGTTCGTATCAATTGTGGGGGAGCGGTGGTGTAGGGGTTAGTGCACTGTGCTACGAACCCGGCTATCCAAGTTCTATTCCCGCTCACGGCCACCTGCAGCGACGATTTTATGAACCGGTCCGGAGCCTCCACGAGGTCGACTCAGCCTCGAGTAACCTGGGGAGACAAAGGTGACCGGGCGTGGTTGCTGGCCACCCACTCCCTCGTGTGCCATGCTGGCACACGCCAAAAGTACTTGTCAGAACATTTGTTGAGGCTACACGGGGTATCTTTATATTTGCAGCAAGGCCGTAGCTATGGAGTCAACATTGGGGGGGACCAAATCTACAGGGGGTCTGGGGGTCCCCCCCCACCCCAGAAAAAAATCTAAAATTGAAAACTAATTTCCTGTCTAAAATATTTAAAAAAATTCACGAACACATGGGATGGACTTTATTTTTTACAATGTCTAATAGTGTATTGTATTACATTGCTGATTTTTCTTTTTTTTCCTTTTCTTGTATCATTGTATGTAATGGCAGAGATTAGGGATTCACAAAGTACAACCATAACCACAATCATATAAACAGAAATCTATTTTATAGCAATATATTGGGGGGGGGACATTTTGAGCATCTTTGAATATTGGGGGGAGGGGGATGCTCCCCCCTCCCCCCAAAATCTAATCGAACAGATATCTAATCGAACAGATGTACCCCCCCCCCCCCCCATGTATAATTACGGCCTTGCTTTGCAGTATAAATCGTTCCCACTTGTGCCACTGGACGGGAGGTGGATAAACTAAACTATTTTGTTTTTCACCAGGTAAGGTCCACTGAGCTACATAAATCTGTCAGAACCGACCTGGCCACGAATGATAGCTGAACGAAAGTAGCTTATAATCACGTGGAAATTTATATCAGCCAAATACTCTGAACGAATGTCGATTCTTAAATGTGGAGGAAACCCCCACGCAACCACGGGGACCGCATGTTGCATTGGACATGCGATTAATCGATTACCTGACCGATTATTATCTGTTCGATTAGCCGACGAACGGCCAATACGAAGTTAGCTGGGGGTAGTGGGATTAATATAGTTTCCCACTTGTGACGCAAAAAAGTAGTCTTCTAATTATGTATTGATTAATCAACTTAGTCGTGGGCCACAACTTAGCTGGTCTGGGTCCATGAAAGTTGCGGGGAGCGGTGTTTAGAGGTGACTAACTGGGAGGATTTGTAAGAGTTTTAGACTCTACCCAATTGCAATGCGTAACATTGAATGATCGTGGCAGGAGGGCCCGATGGGGCTTATATAACGGTGGCAGATGACAATACCAAGATCCGGACCTGAGCGACTGATTGGGCTTACTCGTAGCCACATTGATCAGTTTGTGTTGTGAACTCTCACCGCTTGCCATATGGCCCTAACGTGTCGTTGGTTTTTGTAACGTGAGTTACCTTAATAATAATTTCCGCCGAGGAGAGCCCTCATTAAGAGACTGACGGTGGTTCTAGATAGGCCCAAACATTACAGTGGCCCCGGGTGGGTCACACTCCATCAAGTTACATGAATACATCGTCAGCATGCTGGATGGCCTGCACAAGCAGTTACCAATCCATCATTGTCCTGTACACGATCTGATTTAGTGTATTACCATTTTTACATACTTACATAAATAAATACATGAATGATTGTTATTGTTTACAGTGTCAATTATCCAATAATTTATAAAAGAAAATACATCCTTTACCCTCCACAACTTTTCTGAATCTCACGACTCATTTTAAAAAGTGTCCTCTATTGCGATGTTTGGCCAATGCCATTGAGCATTCCGTCTCAGAAATGTTTACTGCAGAACTGGTTGAGAGTTTGAGACAAGTCGTGGAAAGTGACCAGCAACAGTGATGTGCCCATATCTTGAGGTCTTGGTGTGTGGGATGAGGTCATTGCAGGTTGTCGACTGGAGTTCATAGGCAAAAACCGATACCACACACGTCATCCAGATGAGATGGTGCAGATGTAAACACGTTTAGATGAGCATGCACGGCTGTAATCCATCCTCTGCTCAATTGCCATCCAGTAGTGTAATGTATTACAGCACACAGTTGTTTCAAATAGGTCCCAAATTGTAGCATTTTCTTTATTTGAAAGACAAACGCAAAAAAGGACATTCCTTTTTTTCTCAAACTGAAAAATAGAAAAGAAAAAGCCCAAATGTGTTTCAGTAGTGTATATTGTACGAGAAAATGATGACCAAAGGCTTTTATTTAAACATGCATTCTTAAACACGCTGTTTGAAGCACTTTTGGTATTTGCAAGCAACTGCATCTGGCTCAGAAGTGGCAGTCACGGCTGATTCCGTTAAAAAAAAGTACGAATGAACAGCAACATTGTGGCTCGAATTTAGATTAAAAAATTGTCTACAATATTCTGTGCTCTAAGAAAATCTTAAGTTTACATTTTGCTGAACCTTGTGTTTTGGAGGGGTGGAGGAAGCCGGGCATTATTTCCAATTATCTTATACAATATATCAAATTCCAAAAATGTAGAACATAGATAACACAAGCACAGAGAATATAGTATACGCTCTGGATTTTTTTAATATATGTAAGGCTCTCTCTCCACCTTAGAAGTATGGCCAATAAGACAAGAGTAAACTGTGCAACCTTCAAATTAAACCTGTAAGAATTGACTTCTATAAGTGTCACGACACTGTGCATGATTTGCGGTGATCATCATCGGCCATGATGAATCCACTGCTTCTTGAAGGCCTCTCCAAGTCATCGCAGTGATATTCGGGTTTCGCAATTAAACTAGCCTTGTGACAGGTCGCCCCTCACTCTCGTCCAGAAAGAGGGTGCTGAACACGTCATCGAAGAATGAAGGGTGGTACTTGCAGGCTCGGGTGCAGTCGGGATTAAAGTTCACCTCCAGGATCTGAGGTCGCATGATTCGGTCACCTGGAAGTCAGAGCAACGTTTATAATGAGGCATGTGCCGAGATGGGAAAAATATACCCCACCTCCACCTAAATGCTGTAAGAAGAAGAAGCTAAAAGTGCAGCCTTATATTTATTGCCACGACATTGCTGGCAGATAATCCATCCAACTTGAGCTCTAGAGAGCCCCTCTGGAGGGTACTTTGGCCTACTCTTCCACATTGGCCACACATCTTGGAAGAGGTGGGAGTACCCACATCTTAGTCTACCACACACAACCTGCCTGCCAATCGACATTGTGGTGTATCCATTCAGGCTGCCCAGTGTTTTAACATTGATACACAATAACTGTTTTATTGCCAGAAGGAGTAAAACCTATTCTTATATTTTGATACTGGCAAGAGAGGTCTCATTATGCAGCTGCTCACTCCGAGCTCTCATTGTCCTGATAGTGCATTGGCTTTGTGCTGGTCGCCTTTTGGGGTCCTCTGGTCTAACACTGTTTGAGACGAGGCTTCAAAGAAGGCTGTCTCTGGTGTGGACCAATCAATTTCAGAGACAATGCATATACTACCAGACCATGTTTTTTTGTTTGCATGTTCAACACAAGTATATGTGGTTAATGCAAACATGATTTTCCTGCAAAAAGGTTTCTGTTTGGTGTTGCCAACTATCTCTTGCCAACTATTTCTTGCCAACTATTTCAACTGCCGTGTGAAGAAATCGAACCGGTGACCTCTGGACTGCCCGTGAAGCCTGCTGACCATTACACCATGGCAGCATCCCAAAAACCATAGTGAATTCATGTCTGAGAATGTGGCACACGCATTGCTGTGCATGTGCGTGCGTGTGCGTGCGTGTGTGTGCGTGTGTGTGCACGTGCATCACCGTTAGCATCCGTGTCCCACTTCAACATCAAGTCAATGGCATAAAATGCTCGGGATTGTGCGTAGTGTCCAATGCCGTAAGGAGCAGGTTTGATCACAGCTGCTTGAAACAGCTCGACGAAGGCTTTGAAAATATCAGCCTGAAAGAAAAAGAAAAAACACCGACAGCTTATCAGAGGTAATGTTACGCATTGTATGGCAACTCTATGCATATATGAAACACGTTAGGAAAATTCATGAACACACATGAGGTGGTTTCACTTTTGTACGTGCATTTGTATCCAGAAGTGTGAATTAGCGGTATGGAAGCCGACAGGTGGATGTCAGGACAAAATGTGTTTTAATATTTGAAAATAGTCTTTTGAAGTGCTGGTTTGTGTTTCAATAAACCCACATTAGTAAAACCGACTTAACAGGAAAGCTATATAGCAAAAAATACAACACATTCATAAAAAAGACATTGCCTCAAATGGAAACGAATATGATAGGCGATGTTTTGGGCAACAAAGTGCCATGAAGAAGGGCCATTGCCAATTAGTCCCTGACAGCAACAGTTGGTTCATATTGGATCATCTTTACAAGAGAAACAGTGCCCCACTGGGTTCAGAATAGACAGCGCCCATGCATAACCGCTTTAAGCCTCAGTTGGAACACACGAAGAGACTAAAGCTGCTTTTTGAACGGTGGCGGCGAACACTTTACCTGCACCTCAGTCCAGGTGAAAGCGGGGTTCTGGCTCTCAAACAGTGGGATGAACTCGTGGTGATGCACCTGCTTGAGTACCACGCCCGGGGCATAGTTCATCACCGTGAAGTGCTTCTCGTAGTCGTCTAACCGCTCGAGCGAGAAGGGCCTGTCCCAGGTGCGCACCGAAACGCAGAATCAGGATCGTCGATCTCCTCCTCTCACCTCTCGTGGGAAGCAGAGAGGCCGAGGGTAGGAAGCTAGGAACTGTGCATGATGGAGCGTACAGATTCATGCCCATTTGACAGCCAGTACCATGATCACCGTGTACCGCAAAGAAACAGCTGCCACCGGCGGTCCCCCTCGGCGAGACTGTGGCATGGCATTGCAATGGTCGAGATGAAATGTGATGTAAGCTGCTTTGAGTTTCCAAAGCATTTAAGTGCCTTGTACATGCGCATCATTATCCTTACATGTGACTGGTGGCACGAGTGCAGTGGCAGTCACGTCTGCAGATACCAACTTGTTGGAGAAGCGAAGCCAGAAGACGTTGTAGACGTACAAGGAGAGTGGGTTGACGGAGCGGAGCAAGACGATGTAGCGAATGTCAAACTTCACCATCCCCACATCGGCACGCTCAAACAATACCGGGTTTTCGATGTACTTGCACACCACCTTGTGCAGGAGTGGGTGGTGAGAGACAGTAGGAAAGGTGGGTCAACAAGACATTACACACATGGATACAAAAGGCAAGCAAGGAACACCAAATGATGGACAAATAATGCCAATAATAATTGACAAATCTTCATCCGACAGTAGATTGAGTATGACTGATGATGACAGCCAAGAGAGATAACAAACTCATTGGGTTATACCTTGTAAGCAAAGAGGAAATGGAGCAACCTATTTTGGCTATATACGCAACTATGATGAATTGCAACAGTTGAGACAATTGTCAGCATGAAAGAGGATGCATTTTTTCAGCAGTCTGAAGGGAATTGCCAACGAGGTGTTAAATTGCTGTGAATGAACGAGCCTGTCTGTTCATTGTTCAAACTATCCTGCGTGCCCTGCATCAATGACACGAATGCATGGAAGCGGGAATGATTTGTTTTGGGAAAACGTCATCCGTGTAGTTTTAAAATACTATGTCCAAGTAATAAATGAAGCTGTTATCCGTGGATTTTTTTTAACACTGAAATGTTGTTAACGATCACGGGGACCATGGGTCAGGTTGGCGGTGTAGAGGCCCTCACCTTGGGCGTACTCTCGCGCTGCCGGATGATCTGGCTCAGGTTGTTGCTGATGTGCGTATCCAGCCCCCTTGCCAGGTTCCATGGCTTGCAGATCCAGTGGTTGTCCTCACCCCTGAGACAAATGAATGCAGGAGGCTCGATGACCAGATGTAGACACCACCCTCTGCCAAGCCATTACAACTTTCACTCACAATGCGGTTATGAAAAAACATTCTGCGATATTTGCACAAGCTCCAACAGATTGTTAGTAATGGTGCCACGTTATATCATATTTCACGATAAAGTACGATAATTTCACAAAATGACGAATATCACAAAATAAGTATAGCTTAAATTTTGATTTAAAGCTTTCGTGACTGCAGTAATTCATATTCTTAGTTCTTTCGGTAAAGTCACGTTGAAGGGAAACAACAAAATAATAAAATAAGTATAGCTTAAATTTATGACTGTATTTCACATTTTTATTGGCTAGTTATTGTGCTTTGCTGTATGACCAATATAAATAGATTACTTTAACATGCTTAAACTGCAGTTCAGCCTGCCATAAATCGTATAATCATGGTAACTTAACAATCAATAAGGCTTATGACACACATGCTGGCAGTTAAAAAAATAATCAGATCTTATAATCAATATCCTTTCAATTACTCTGGAATGTTTTTTTTTAACAGTACTAAATAAATTCCAATAGCTATTCATTTTCTTGCGATTATCTTTGTCGTTTCAAACATAGTCAGAAAATAAGATATACACATTAAATGAGCAACGGCAATCACAGTATAACAATATTCGTGAAATGAACGATATAATTATCATGGATCTCATGTCGTACACGTATGTGTGCTGAATTTCTTTCGCGCCGTATGTAGCCAACCATGCTAATCAGAGGAACTACACATTTGATATATCATAGCGTCGCCCTAAGCATTGCTTCGGGGGAGGGGGTGGGAGGTCTCTGCCCCCAGGCAGCCACTGACCTGGCCTGACGCTGCTGGAAGCAGCTGACAAACTGCGGCAGCTCCGTCTGCAGGTTGTACGTGGCCGGCAGCCAGGCCGGGTGGCCCGAACAGTCACTCTCGACTCCCGTGGCCGTCCCAGCGGCGCCGGCTGCGATCCGTGCCATCGCTGCCATGCAGTCCTTGACCGTGAGCAGACTTTCAGCGGGGAACTGGCTCAGCATCACGCAGGGCTGCTCCTCGCTGAGCGTGCTGCCAATTGCACCAGGGAAGGGGCGGAAAGACGACACGCGTGACCGTCTAAGCAACAATAGATGATCGTCGTTTTCAGCATTGGACAGGCTTGGTGGTAACCTTAAGGGTCAAAGGGCAGCTCAATCGGTTTGTGTACATGTGTAGTCTTCCCATTTGGAACATACGCTGAAATGTTTAATTTACAAAAGGTTATTGATATTTTTTTTATTTAAAGCTTTCGTGACTGCAGTAATTCATATTCTTAATTCTTTCGGTAAGGTCACGTTGAAGGGAAACAATAAATAATAATATATATAACAAACCGACACACCTGATGACGACCGTTTGTGTTATGGTCGAAACGTCGTTAGAATTTTTATTGTTTTATATATATTATTATTTTATTGTTTCCCTTCAACGTGACTTTACCGAAAGAACTAAGGATATGTTATTGATATTATTACACCTGATGCAACACTTGTAATTAGAATAATGAGATGCAGGAACCAAAAACGTCTCCGTAAATCTCATGAAACCCATACATACGATTGTGTACATGTCACCGCTCATATATATGAGGGTGATGCAGTGGTGAGATGTTAACTACCTCGCCTGGTATACAGGAGGTCGTGAGTTCGATCTCGCCTGTATATTTAGAGTTTGCCTGTTCTCCCTATGGTTGTGTGGATTTTTCTCTGGGTCCACCGGTTTTTCCCTCCACATTAAATATCAACATGCATTTTGAGTATTTCGCTTCTATATATGTAGTTGTATCCTTTATTTAACCACGATATGAAATAAACCCAATGAGACACAATGCCTCTGTTGCAAGGGCAAACTGGGAAAATTGGCTTTGCAAATTTACCTTTTTTTAATGGTTCTGCATAGAAATGGAAGTATGATAGTGAATGGTAGTTGAAGATGTTATTTGTTTCCTATAACTCCGAATCGGATAATGACCAATGGGTTAGTGTCGTACTTGTTTTGCTGAACATTCTTACCGGAAATCCTTGTAGTGCGTAAACAGGTATAGGATGTCAGCTGCTTCAGGGCCCTCTTCCAGCGTGAACCGTGGATGATGCAGATTGTCCCGCACCTGGGCGTGCTCCGCAAACACCCTGCGCTCACACACGCAGAGTGCACACGCAAACGCACATCATGCACACACGCACACAGCACACCGGTGTACGTGCGCATATGTCCGCACGCGCATTTACACAAGCACCCATGCGTCGTCACACAACCAAGTTATTTTCCCTGTTATGCAATGTGTATGAAAGAAATAGGTACAATAAATATATTGGACCAACTGCATAGTTAAAGTATACAATATCATAGACAGCGCTATTATATACAGATATTTATTTTATGGCAGCCAAATAATTTGGCAGTCATTTAAAAATTGCCCACCAAAGCTGACAGATCAATTTTGTGATAGCCAAACCTGAAATATCATGATCAATACATGCATTAAAAAAATACAACCCTTTGTCAAGGCCTACCATGCAGTATCAGAGGTGGGAGTTTTTGGTCATACACTGCCATGTTGGTCAGTATGGGTTGGTGGAGGGGAGGTGCCAAGAACAAGTTAAGAGATCACTCAACACTGATGTTAGCCGTGACCAAGAGGAAACCTCAGGACCTTGCTCCACCTCACACACATAAATTAATACTACAAATGTAACGATTTACAAAAAAAAATCCGAATTTTCATGTTCTTGTGACAAGTCTACTGAGTTAAAATGGTTATGTGGCTGCATGTTTGTATCTCGGACTTGTCTACAGACAGAATACTGAATTACCATGCTGACATAATATTGAGGTTTGTGAAGAGGAAAGGTCTGATTCTTAATTTTATATCGTAACATCTATTTGTTGTGCTACAAAAAAAATAATTTTCACGAACTCACTTAAAAACTTTGTCCTTGGGGTACACGGCTGGCTCAATAGGCAGTGGAAGGCTTTCCTTTGTTTCCTTGAAAATGACCTAAGATTAAAAAGGAAAATCATATTTTTTATTTCATAATTGCACATGCAGAATGGTGGAATAGCAGTATAATCACGAATATTGCACTTCATGCTCCTCTTTCCGCCTTTGAAAGATATGACAAAGCCCCATTATGATTGTGATGCAGATTAAGCCATGTGCCATGCTTACTGGTGACCTATGCAAATGCATTGGCAGCTATAACGCTTTCTGACATTATACAACTTTGCAGCAAATGTGACCATCACAACTAATTCCATATCTGTTAACCCCTTATCAGTGCCGACCTTATTACAGACCAATTCAGACCTTATTGGTCACCACGTGCCCTTAAATATCTCAACGTTCATCCTACAAAGTCCCATCACAAGGGAGAAACACAAAGACAAAAACAATTTGCCCGTATTAAAACGGCCGTACACCGCAAGGAAAATTCAATTTCCCTGTACAAGAATGCGTGTAACCCGTATGGGTTGACAGGTATGTAATTCTAACTATTATATACTAGCTTTCTTGCCCGTCCAAGGACGAGTGTATATCGCAGTAAATCTGAAATATTCAATAGACAAATTGTTCAGCTCATGATTATAAATGTGGGGGGTTGCCTCATGTGTAGTGACGTCACACGCGGGACACACACATTCTTGGCTTACTATAGTAGTTATTGTATTTTTTGTTACCTTTAATATTTGATCAAAGATAATTGACATGCATTTCATATTGCTACTTTAATTATAAATTAGTAATTTTGGCACCAGCCACATCATCAATTATTATGCTCATGATTCAAGTATGTTCTACATTTAAAAAATATGTTGAAAAGTTTATGTATAGGTTCTGTCCATCTCAAAGATGATCCGATATGAACCAAGGTGTGTAATATAATTGTCTGGCATTCAGGTACTTGCCATACTGAAAACCAGATCAATCCATAAAACGGTTGGGCAAATGTTGCCAACGGACTATTTGCAAATATGTTTTACTTTTACAGCTACATGTCAGCTTTCGTACTGCTAATTAAATATTGCTGACAACACATGTTGAAAAGCAAAATAATCCATATAGGTGCATGCATATTCTAAATGTATTAATTCAATTGACTTGTTAAGAAGGTGGTGCTTGCGCTGCTGGAGATGGGGGGCAGCAATTCTATGGAGCGGGGCAAAAGAAAAGTTGGATGGCGCAGCTGGAACTATTGCTGACGAGCAACGCGCCACATCGGAGCGAGGAGGGCTACCGTCACCTCGAAGGACCGCGGCGGAGGCACGAGCACGTGCGTGGGTACGTGCGTCAGGTCAGCCCATCTCCACGGCAACAGGCGGCAGGTGCGCACGAGCGGGTCACGCTCGCCGTAGGCAAAGTCCCGCGTCACCTCGTCTGCACACGAGCCACGGACATGCGAGGGTTAACGGCGGCGTGAACGCTATTGTTCTGCCGTCAGCTGCTATCGGCAACTGACCTCTTCTGTTTGAAGTTGTACACTGCAATAGTCAAATAGAGCTTCATTGATCTTGTCAGAAGAATAACTGTGAAATATGTACAGCCTGGTCTATGCCGAGATCACCCGCGATTGTACCAGATCTTGTCAGATCTTTAAAGCTGAGCAAAATTGAGCCTGGATAGTGCTTGATTGGGTGACTACTATGGACAACGACTCTTATAGGCGTCTGCAGAGGTACGTGGTGAGCAGCAGATGGCAGTGCAGCTAAATACATTGTTGTGATGTACTTCTATGCTCCCACATCTATACTTGCCCCCCTTTGCCGACTTGCACTGACCAACGTGATGTATGGTCAAATAAAATAACCCTTCCAAACTGCAGCGGCATGAGGAGGCCATCATCCAGTCTTAGAATGACAAAGGACTGTACACATATACATACAACTTTATACCAATATTTTATTAAATGCAACCATGCACTGAAGTTTAGCATAGGTCTCTAAAAAACTAAGATATTTCCACTTTCATAATGCACTGTCTGACAACGGTGACATGCTAAACAGTAGATTTTAAAGGTGAATGAGCAATGAATTGTACAACGGTGTTGGAAATGGACGAGCGACAATGGCTGTAAAAGTAGTGTGGTTAAATCCTCTCAGCCGGTAGCATCACCTCCTTTTTCCAGGTCTACGACAGGCCAGAGGAGTGTGTAAGTCAGCTGCTCTGGCAGGTAGCAGAGAGGCGCCGTGCAGAACGTTGGCTGGTCCGAGTGCTGGATTCGTGAGCCGAACTCATCCATGATGTACCACACAGGCACCTTCTCCTCTGCCGACTGCCTCCTCCAAAGGAAGTCAAATACAAGCCAGTCTGAGGCCTTTGAGCATATACAAATGCATTAAATCCCTAACATCTACTTCAACATGGCCTGTCAATGCATTTGGCAATATCATTGCCATAAACTAAGGTTGTGTGGAGCGGTGATGCAGTGGTTTGCGCATTTCACTACGGACCAGGCGAGCCGAGTTTGAGTCCTGGCTAAGGCTAACACCGGTGGCAAGTGATATCTGAGGCCGTTCTGGGACCCCAGCCACCCCTGCCCTGCCTTCACCAACCCACATTGATCAGCATTGTTAAGTATGGTATAACAAAAATAACCTATGACCAATAAAGCTTGGGAAGGCTTTCATCCAACACTGGGTTATCAAAGGACTGAATATATATTTGTTATATTTGTGAATTAAAATAACATTTAAAGATAATTACTGCCTGCCACATAGTTCATACCTGCAACACTGCAAGATAAATAAATATAAGTTCCAAGGCCATACTTGAAAAGCAGAAGAGAGGATTTTGTTTTTCCTGATGCAGCCAATATCCTTCTATTATACAAAGAGGCATATCGTTTCTTGAACCCTTGACGGATTGACAATGAACAAGATCAAGCATTGTCTGGAATGTAACTCCTTCTCTACATTTTTCAGTCACGCGTTCAACATTTCCCCAAACACAAGCTGGTTCAAACAACTTCCACAGCTACTGTTCAATAAACAACGCAAAGAAAGTTATGCGCCAGCTACAAGTAATCTGGCTGTGCACGTCATTGTCCGTGCTACTGTGGCCTGCGCCTCCCCCCCATTGTGACGTGTGAGCGGTGTGTGGACGAGCCTCACCCCGTGGGCCAGACTGTAGGTCTGGCTGTACCGCCAGAGCTGTGCCAGCACGTCGTCCACAGTGTCGTCGTCCGGGACCTCGCCGTGGAAGTCGAGCCCCATGAGCTGCGCCATGCGGTGCACAAGCCCCGGAACCTCCAGCAGCTGAGTCCGCGCCACGTCGGCACGGAACGTCCACGCGTGGTCGATCAGAAAGATGCTGCACACAAAACAGAGGACGTGTGTTTATCATTGGTCCATTAAAATTTGTCATTTCACTCCCAATGCGTGCGTCAAAATTGTGCAAGCTGGACAAACTTGGTCTGGAAGGCCAATAGGCTGATGGGCTAAAACTATATTTTTTAATTTAGATGTGGAGACAGAACGGAGTACCAATTATATATGATTTTAACCATAATTCTCCACAATAATGCAGAAGTTTCTCTGCAATGTTGCTTTTTGTGTTGCACAGGGGCCCATCGTTAAGATTTAGTGCTTTGGCCAATCGGATCTGGAAACCCAGTAACATTTAACAAACATAGATTTGAAGCTTTCGTGACTGCAAGGATTCATACTCTTTGGTTTTTTCGGTAAAGTCACGTAGGTAAAATAAAATAAATGAAAACTAAATTAAATCACGACGTTTCGGAGGCAACAGAAGCTTCCGTCTTCAGGTGGAACAGACACAGCAAAATTAGCTGTATCAAAGGGGGGGGGGGGGAGGAGCCAGGAAGGAACGTGAGTGGGGAGGGGGGCTAAGTTAAGCCGCCTTTTGTTATTCTCCCTCCCCCCAGAGCTGTTCTCTTGATACAGCTAATTTTGCTCTGTCTGTTCCACCTGAAGACGGAAGCTTGTGTTGCCTCCGAAACGTCGTGATTTAATTTAGTTGTTTTCATTTATTTTATTTTACCTACGTGACTTTACCGAAAAAAACAAATATATTTAACAAACCTGTTAATGAAACCCATGCGGTGGAAACCCATCTAATTTGATTGCTAAAACAAACGTTGCCGAAAATTGGTCTGGAAAGTCAAAGAGACCAATGGACTAAACACTATTTTTATTTACATGTAGATAAATAGAAGAGAGTTATGTTTATAATTAATTTCATAGGAATAATCAATTTACACAAGTTTGATGCAATTTAGGCTCATTGCAGCAAGAAGTACCAACAAGACAATTAAACGATGCTTAATTAAAACCGTAACCCTCAATTATAACAATTCACAGAATCTCTGGAGGAATTAAAAATACATTCCTATCATCTTGGCCAAGATGTTCAAAAAGAGCAATCGTAAGCGTAAAAACCACAGAAATATATCGACAGTACTGTAGCAACGACATTTAACAAACGGGCAGTCATTCTCACAGCACGTGCTCTAAATTGTATTTGAAACGCTTAATGGCTCGGGTTGTATCCCACCTATTGGAGTCAGAAGCAGAGAGGCCGTCTTCCCGTGTTACAATCACTTTGTAGCTTGGAGGGTCCCCGGGATTTGTATGTTTACTCTCCTCCGAGTCTCCGTCATCTCCATCGCCTTCCTCCACCACCAGCATGACTCCAAACACCTCGCCCGCATCGAACACCTATCACACACGGATTGAACAGATGACCCCATAAGCATCACTAGTCCACAAGTATCCAGAATTTAATTTTAAAATGGCAATTGGTTTTGGTGGTGTCAATAATTAATCACCTGATGTTTACAAATGAGAATGGATATGCTTAGCTCTTTCGGGAAAGTCACGTTGAAGGGAAACAATAAAATAATAAAATATATATAACAATAAAAATTCTCACGACGTTTCGACCATAACACAAACGGTCGTCATCAGGTGTGTCGGTTTGCATTAATTTATTTATTTTTTACGGTGTATTTATTTATAAAAAAAGGTTCCTGTACCTGACACTATCGCAATCATTGAAGACTTGGTTCATCAAGGACTAAACACTGAGGTACCCCCCCCTGGTGAGACACTGCTTAACCAATACATACTTCACTTGGAAAGGAACCTTCTACAAACTGAGGGCACCCCAATGGGCTCCCCCCTATCTCCGGTTGTAGCCAACATTTTCATGGAGAAATTTGAGACTGACGCCATCCAGACTGCCACTGCGCCCAACCTTATGGAAGAGGTACGTGGATGACACTTTTGTCATCTGGCCACATGGCCGGCCTGCTCTAGACCAATTCTTCGACCACATCAATTCCATACACCCAGCCATCAGATTTACCATGGAAGTCGAAAAAGATGGCAAGCTACCTTTTTTGGATGTCCTAATTAAAAAGAGACCTGATGGTTCAATGAGCCACTCTGTCTACAGGAAAGCTACCCATACGGATGCTTATCTGAAACCGGATTCCCACCACCATCCATCACAGAAGAATTCTCTCATCAAGACTCTGTATCATAGAGCCCAATGCATATCCGACCAGAAACACATAGGCAGTGAACTCAAGCACGTACACCAAGCTCTTAAGGCTAATGGTTACTCCGACTATACAATCCGCAAAGCTATCACTCAAACCATGAAGAAGGACCCTCTTGAGGAGCCTTTCAAAACCATCACTTTACCCTACATTGCGGGGATCGCAAAAAAGACCTGCAAAATCTTGAACAAACACAAGATCCATGTCCGTTTCAACACATTACATAAAATCCGTGATCTGGTTCCGTCTGTAAAAGATGTGATGCTGGACATACAGTAACCTGGTGTCTACAAACTAAGTTGCCTCTGTGGTAGTACATTGGAGAAACCAAACGCCATGTCTCGGACCGCATTCGTCAACACAAAGCAGACCTTAAACACGGTAGGACCAACACCTCGGCTGTGGCAGATCATTGTTCTAATTCAGTAGGCTCACATGACATTGACTTTTCCAAGACAGAGGTTCTTTGTAAGCCATCTGGCTACCATGAGAGATTCGTTCATGAGGCTATCCACATATACAAGCATAGAGACAATTTCAACCGAGAAGATGGATTCTGGCTTAGCAATCATTGGAAAGATTTGATTAACCATTTCAGGTCTTAATTGATTGTTCATGCTTACAGTGGCTTTCAGACAGCATACATTAATTTTTCGTCTCCCCCCTCCTCTTTTCAGAACTTAGATGGACTAGACCTTCTAAATAAACTGTCAAATTGCTGCGTGTGGCGCTTACGTTTTTTATAAATAAATAAATACACCGTTTAAAACTAAATAAATGCAAACCGACACACCTGATGACGACCGTTTGTGTTATGGTCGAAACGTCGTGAGAATTTTTATTGTTTTATATATTTTATTTTATTGTTTCCCTTCAACGTGACTTTACCGAAAGAGCTAAGAATATGAATTACTGCAGTCACGAAAGCTTTAAATCAAAATGAGAATGGCTTTCATTGTCAATGACAAATCTGACGGGGAAGCAATTATGGTGATTGTGTATGGTGCTAATGAACATACTAATTACACTAATTATCATGGCAACGATTCATTTTCATGTGCACCATGATGTTTTTGATATTCTTAACGTGATAGTTCACATATTGGTGCCATTAACTATGACCATACCTACTATAATCACCCCGGAATGTCTGTACTTAACGCTCGTGACGTCACTCAACAACGACCAGCCCCCTCATTAATATTCATGAGCAGGAGACTTCCTCCAAATGGACCCCCCCCACCCTCCTCATTAATAATCATGAGCGGGTGACGTCGCTCAATATGGAGTACCCCCCCTAATAATCATGTGACATCATTCCACATGGAACAGCCCCCCTCATTAATAATAATGAACAGGTGACGTCCCCCACATGGACCCCCCCCTCATTAATAATCATGAGCAGGTGACATCATGCTACATCGACCAGCCCCCCCCCTCATTAATATTCATGAGCAGGTAACGTCCTCCAAATGGACACGCCCCTCCATTCATAATTAGCGGGTGACGTCACTCCACATGGGGGGGGCGAGGCGCCTCCTCCCCCCCTCCTCGGCGTCAACTCACAACCCTCACTACAAAGGCAGAACCCTCACGTCATCACGTGATCTCCGTGACGCTGTTGTTGAGACATCAAAGTAAAAAGGACGTCATGATGAACAAGGGATTATAACCTTTAAACATGTTTGTGTCACAAGTTGCACACGCATTGATACAATGAATATATGACGTCGCGGTCTGCTGTTCGCTTCCAAGTTTCAGGTTTACTGCAATAAACCCGTCCTTGGGCGGGCAAAAGGCTATTTAGTTATTAATAATTACACGTGCTCACCCGGGAAAGCCTCACCTAGCCTTCCCAACTGATTCAAGGCGGGTCTCGTCAGGTATCCTCGGTTAGGGAGCGATGTTTCTCAACCAAATTGGGTGCAGTAGTTCACAGGCAAAGTGCAGAGTATTATTTAGTATTGGGATGTTGGGCGTAAATCGATCACGTTTGTTTTTGCATGATGGCAATGCCAATGACCCTGCTGGTGATGTCATTCACGATTATAATTATCATCACAACAGTCGGGGTCAATGGCAATGACCATAATGAATATTTATTAAAATAGCGATGTTGACGTGGTTTCGGCGCACCTAGCTATGAATCTGACAAGTTCGATCCAGTGGCGAGGGATATCTTAAGGCGTGGTGAGGCCTTAACAAAAGAGCCGATTAATTTGTTAAACCCCATTAATTATACAGAGCCGGTGGACTCCAGCGGCTTCTACGCATCCGACCAAAAAAAGTTCCCCAGTAAACGCCCAACGTTGGGCCAACGTTTTGCGTGCGGACTGGACGCGGCTGAAAAGTGCTGAACCGACGTTGCCGAGGGCCCAACGTTCCCCAGGGTCCAACGTTCCCCGAGGGCCCAACGTTCCCCGAGGGCCCAACGTTCCCCAGGGCCCAACGTTCCCCAGGGCCCAACGTTCCCCGAGGGCCCAACGTTCCCCGAGGGCCCAACGTTCCCCGAGGGCCCAACGTTCCCCAGGGCCCAACGTTCCCCACGTCCACAGCGTCGGCGGCCCTCGGTCAATAAACGACGGCGAGACGCCGCCAAAAGCCAGGCAGACAGTCAGCCAGGTCAGACAGGCAGGCAGGGCCACCTCATGGCTCAGCTTGTGGTGCAGGCGCGGCCACAGCTGCCGCGGAACGCCGGACGAGACGAGCGCTGGGCCGTGCAGGGCCACGAAGCGCTCCAACTGCGCGTCCGCGCGCTCCTCGCCGCCTCCTGCCACGTGCGCGGCTACGGGCGCGGCCATGAGCGGCTTGGGGCCGCAGCTGCCGCAGCCCGCTTCAGGCCCCTCGCTCTGTCAGGCAGGGAAGAAGCCTCCACCAACACGGGTGTCTATGGGGGGCGGAGACGGTGGGAGGAGGGGGTAGGCATAGGGAGGGGAGGGGTGGGGGGAGGTGTGGGGGGGAGCGGTGTGGGGGAGGGGTGGGGGGAGGGAGCAGGGGGGGGAGGTTGGGGGAGGGAGTGGGAAGGCTATAGCAGTGACGTAATCGATAAGTCCCTATGCGATGCTTAGCCAATGGGTGCGCTCCCCTACGTAAGATGGCTGCTCTACTATAGTTATTTTAATGAAAAAAAATTCCTATTAAATTGAGCTATAAACGATTGCTTTATTTGACCAGATAAGGCCTACTGAGAGCCATAAAGCTCTTTTTTTTTAAGCGACCAGGCCGCAAGTGATCGCTCTACGAAGTGGCTTATCAATTGGATGTGTTTCCCTACGCAAGATGGGTGCACTACTATTTTAAAATAATAAAACTATTAAACTAAACGACACTGTTTTTATTTTACCAGGTAAGGCTCACTCAGCTATATACCTATTATACCTCTTCTAGATTTGAAGCTTCCGTGACTGCAAGGATCCATACTCTTTGGTTCTATTCGGTAAAGTCACGTAGGTGACCTACGTGACTTTACCGAATAGAACCAAAGAGTATATATCTCTTTCTGAAGCGACCAGGCCGCAAATGATCGCTCTACGAAGTGGCTTATCAGCACGTGGACATCATGTATCGCACATGCCTGTCAACCCCTTATCAGTGCCTCCCTTATTAGAGACCAATTCAGATACACGTGCCCCTTATAAATCTCAACGTTCATCCTACAAAGTCCCATCACAAGAGAGAAACACAAACAAATAGGCAAAAATAATGTTTTTGGTTTGCCAGTATTGAAACGGCTGCTCACCGTGTGGACCTGAAAACTCAATTTCTCTGTAGAAGAATACGGTGGTAAACCGTATTGGTTGACAGCTGTGATATCAGCCATCATACTCCAAGCGCATGGAGATTCTACACGTGCAGGAAAACCCCTGGAGAAGAATCCACTCGACCACGGGGAGAGAGAAAATAAAAATAAATTAAAAGGAAATAAGATAAAAAATAAAAAAAATAGAGAGAGACACCGCAAACTCCAAATACACAGCAGGCGTCAGGGTCGGGATCAAACCCACGACCTCCTGTATACCAGGCGAGGTAGTTAACATCTCCTAGCCACAATGATGATGAGACAGAAACTCCAAATACACAGCAGGTGTCAAGAGTCGGGATAGGACCCACGACCTCCTGTAGACCAGGCGAGGTAGTTAACATCTCCTAGCCACAGTGATGATGAGACAGAAACTCCAAATACACAGCAGGTGTCAGAGTCGGGATAGGACCCACGACCTCCTGTAGACCAGGCGAGTAGTATGGAATTAAGTTGTGATGATCGCAGTTGCTGCAAAGTTGTATAATGTCAGAAAGCGCTATAGTTGCCAATGGATTTTCATAGGTCACCAGTAAGCATGGCACTTGGCCTCATCTGCATCACAATCGTAAAGGGGCTTTTCACATCATTCCAAAGCAAAGAGAAGCTGTCATGTTCCCATCCTACCACCTTCCGATGTTAGTTGTCATTTTCGGATCTCTGATTTCACATTATCAGGTGAAATTTCCCACACTAACACAGCCACCTCGCTCGCCGAGCTCCACGTTGCTGCTCTGCGAACTCCCATTAACATGCTCATCTCTCACATTAACATGCTCATCTCTCACATTAACATGCTCATCTGTCACATTAACATGCTCATCCCTCACATTAACATGCTCATCTCTCACATTAACATGTTCATCTCTCACATTAACATGCTCATCTCTCACATTAACATGCTCATCCCTCACATTAACATGCTCATCTCTCACATTAACATGCTCATCTCTCACATTAACATAGCCACCTCCACACCCTCGTCGTGGACATCGGTCTCCGATCTCACATTAACATGCTCATCTCTCACACTCACATGCTCATCTCTCACATTAACATGTTCATCTCTCACATTAACATAGCTACCTCCACACCCTCGTCGTCGACATCGGTCTCCGATCTCACATTAACATGCTAATCTCTCACATTAACATAGCCACCTCCACACCCTCGTTGTGGACATCGGTCTCCGATCTTACATTAACATGCTAATTTCTTGACGTAAAGCTTTCGTGACTGCAGGAGTTCATTTTCTTCGTTCATGGCCCTTGGGCTACACCCATTTAAAACCTTTAAAAACAGTCTGCCTCAGCAGCTTTCCCCCTATTTTTTGCCTCCTGATGACAATTGCTTATGTTGTGATCGAAACGTCGTACTTTTTTGTTATTTCTTTGAACCTATCTACGTGACTTTACCGAAAGACCCAAAGAATATTGTATATAACACTTTTAAAGCATTCCTGCTCTTTAAAAATAACATTCGTATAATATGTGATTTATTTGGCCTTGGATGTAATGTAATACCATGGTGTGTATTTTTTTTACTTGTCGTGCTCATTTGGGTCATTTTTGCTAGATAATTGTTAAACTTTAGGAGCAATAAAATACAGTGGACATAGCTTCAGTTTTTACCTCTCTGGGATAATCATTTTGCAAAAAATTTGCATGTCCGATTGTGGTCTAAACCGCAACAATGCAGCAGGTCGCATATCCGATTCGCTGGGTGGGTGCTGAAAATAACAAGTTATACCAAACACAAACACGATACTGAATGTCGGCGGTTAATTGGTCACGGTCGGATATGCGATGTTGTACCAGATATGTTTTAATTGTGACCCAAAATGCAGAAATAAAATACCCAGCATTGAGCGAGCCTCAGTCACCTCTGCGGTGTTCTGCAGTGTGTCCTGATGTGCGCGTAACAACAACAAACGCTATTCGCCACTAAGTGGGCGCTTGTGCCAGGCCACGTGAAGTGTCGAAGGCTCGCTGGCAAAACGTCACGGGACAGTCCCAGGTGGCATGGATGAACCGAGATGACTGGCAGAGATGACTGAGATGACTGGCGAATGACGACTGACGCACACACAGCTGGGTGTGGTGATGATAAGTGCGTCGATTACAGAACAAATTATCATACGAACAACAAAACAAGCTGAATCATTTTGCGGGACAAACATATATTGACAACGCAAAGCAAATAAATATTTTTTTTTATTTGGCTGTGGGCGATACACTGTGGGCAGCAGAGTATATAAGAGGAACAGAACTGGCGATACATTGGGGCAGTGGTTCCAGACTTTTTTTTACTTCATTACCCCCCTACGAGACCAATCGACTGTGTTTAGTACCATGACCAAAGTATAATTGAAAATGTACACTTACATGTCATTAGCGCTGAAGACATTCACCATGCCACTGTACAGTTTTAACTGAGTTGCTTCCCATCACCAATGATGGACAGAGGGGTGGGTGGAGGGGTGGACAAATGTTCTGATGGTCTTGAATAACTTATTTTGTGAACATGTTTTCAACATACCTGTGACACACACACACACACAAGCAGTACTGGCAGCGGTACCATGAGCACCTGCATGACGTAGAGTTTACACCTGTCCGGGTTTGACCAAGACAGTCCGGGAATTGGCATTTGTGTTTGAGTGATAAGAATTGATTCACGATCCGGTGGCATTGTATTGGACGTTATTACCATATACTGCATATGTTTGATAGACCTGGGTTGACTGAAAAATACGTGTGGGATCTCGTCTGTTAAGTAGGTGGCAACCCTACCAATACATGATATCATGTGTAATTACATTCGGCAATTACCCAAATATTTGTATGGCATTAATATTGGATAATGAGGGTGAGCCCTCTGACGCATAGTTAAAGCTCTGCAAAAGCAATGTTTTCACATTTCAACCACTTGAATTGAGCTGGAGGGCACAGATTCCTGTGTATGACAATCGCATCATAAATGTCTTGTGTCTGCATAATAAGCCTTTGGTGGCAGCTTCAAATCATCAGGTATCTTCTGGGGATGAGGGAAGGGTTCAGGATATGACTTTTGGAGGCTGATGTCATAAGTGGCAGGTGATTTGTTTGTGGTTCCGAATTTAAATTTTACGGGGGTTTAGAAACAGCAGACATCGTGGTAGATTGACGTGGTAGATTGGACCAAATTTGGTATGTGGTCCGACTCGTTGGACCAATGTTGGGCCAACTTTGATGATACTAGGCTGTATTTGAATGCCAGCTGGTAAATGAACTAAGCCCCGTTAGCCCACGCAACTCGCCACCTTTGAGTGAGATATTGGCCATGGGAAGGATGCGTATGAAATAGTATTGGTGCTGATGAAATGCGTGGAATTTGGTGTACTAGATGTCTGCTGCCTGTCCAATCATCAGTACTAACATGGCTGTCTTCCAAAACCACTTTATTCACAGCCCACAATTGTTTTCACATTCTCTATCCAAGTGCAAGCCAGCCTGACCTAGGGTCATATTAAAAGTAGGGCTACAGAATATCGTCATTCTACCACGTTGGCATTCTGTAGGCCACCTTTTAAATGTTGCATGCGATGGTGCAATGTCCCAACACACCTTCAACATGCGTTGATGCATTTATCTCGGCTCAGAGTTCTCTGACATCAAAAATTGTGATGACCACATGACAGCGAATTTGGAGTAGAAATAGGTTACCCGCATGTACGCAAAATCGCACAAACGGAGCCCGCATGAGCGAGGGAAACCCGTACTCAGCGTGGACTATGAATAGCTCCAACCTTAATGGTCTGTGGTATTTTCTTCTCAGCCCATAGTATTTTTTCTTCTGAATTCGTAAGGCAACAGCGCATTGCAGTATAGCAAGTTTTTCAAACACGTAGTTCTAAATAGAGTACATAAAGTTAACGAAAAGGTTAGTTAATAATTGACACGATTGGCCTTTTGAACCACACCTTAACAACGTGACGCTAGTTACATTGTTTGCAATGGGATTGAATTTTTCTGAAAGACATCAATCACGTGGCTAAGCAGTGAGTCATGTGATGCATTGGTTCGTTCCCATAGAAAATATTCTGCAGCATTCAGTGTTTTCTGACACTGTGAATTCATAGTAGTGCTACAATTCAAAATCAAATTGATTTCCTGCTTCAATGTGCTAAGGAGCTGATCATCTCCTGCTAAAAGCCCTGAAATTCCACGTTACTTTGGTATGGTTGAGCCAGTTTACATGACATCCACTGTTTACTTCCCCCGAAAAGTGGTACTCATTTTGATGATGAACTGAGTCAACCCCCAGCCAGGATGTGAACGCACAACCTTAAGATTGTGGTCCACTCCCTCTACTCCTGAGCCACCTGGTTTGATGCACAACACAAATAGATAGACATTCCTCCTCGTGACGTTCATAGTTGCATGCTGGTAGACTTGCATCACCACTTCCTTGAGTGATTTCAGGAAATGATGTACAGCCTACACACTGAGCGTGCGTATCATTTCGCGTCAAACTTGTGACGCCTCTACAATGTATATAGGGGCAGGTGTGACATGTTCAAGAGAATCAAGACGGTAAACTCTCGGCCTCGCCACTGTTGGTGCATTTAACATTTCGGAGCGCCTGAGTTCGGTGGCGAAGAGATACTTGGGTGAGAATTCAGTATGCAACATGAGTTTGTTATAATGCTCACGCCTCTCACGTTTTAATTAAGGAGTGTTCTACCATTTCTTATATCTATTGTTTAATGTTTGCATGTGCCGATGTTTATTTTTTTATGCAAAATCGTGAGGCTATATGTCCTATGTATAATAGCAACTATCCTTTCAACTCAATGTGTTTCAAAGACCGATCTTAAATGTATACGTTTTATATTTCAAACTGTCCTTTCATTTAAATGTGTTTCAAAGACCGATCTTAAATGTATACTTTTATATTAAAAACAAAATACAATCATGCTTTCTGCAGTTATCGAAGAATATAATTCACTATCCATCATGCAGAGAGGTTTTGTAGAAAACTAGCGGAGCCGTGTAACTTTAACATGTTGAAGATTAACATTCCATATTAGGAATTAAATACGTGTTTACTATTGAAATGGTGTCCATTTTATTCAAAGTACTATACATCCTTGCTGCGTTTTCATGACCATTAGAAAGCAGTTTCTAATTAGTTATAAGAAGTATGTGAACATTTTTCGTTACCAAAAGTGGAATTAGTGTTGTTTTTGTTGAGTACTTGACTTGCAGTAAGTGCGTAATCTTGATTCCTAAATGCGTTGAAAAATGCAGTGCTCTTAAGAATCTTAAATCTAGCAATGATTCTGTGTTGACAGTGGTGCCATTAAGAAGGGCCATTTCCTAAAACGTCGTCTAATATCTGTTCAACCTGAATGTCCTGATATTTTCTGGACGAAATAATCTCGTTGCTCTTTATTTGAGAGAGTACTGAGTACTGTACGAGAATATGATAATGGTTAACTGACACTGCTGATAATGTTACCTAATGCGATGTAACGCACTCACAATTCTTGATTATTCACAGCGACAATTGGAGCATTATTCACGCTCGTGTGAGTGCTCAGAGAAACGTTTGAAACCCAACTTCCCAGGAAGCAGAAGACACATTATCAGACATGGTAATATTTTCCAGCACTAAACATAAGATACAAACTAGATTAACTGCTACTCGTAAAAAATGTTACGCGTGGATTAATCCCAAACTCCGTAACATGTAGCGTTCTAATAGAGTGTATACATGCACCGTTCTCTTTCCCTTCCTCATTGTTGGAATTAGTCTAAAATAATCATCTCTGCATGTATATGGCACTTGCCTAAAATGCCTCAACAACTCAAAGCACATTACTTCACATTTCATCTCAAACATTCAAAGGGGACCTCCAGTGGCAACTGTCTCTGTGCAGCACAAGGTGGCTCAGCACTGGCTTGCAGGTGGGCATTCACCTGCTGGTTCGGGGGCGATAATTGCTATGTGTAACCCCAATCGAGTAATTTGTGGGGACATTTTTTTAATTTGGTCAATGACGCCAGTAGGCAATGGCTTACTCTATTTGGAATGGTTTTGCAGGATCATTTACGTCCGCTCCTAAGCCGACGACGCATATTGTGAGGTGAATACACCCGCAGTATTAACCAGGGTGGCCTATCCGATTCGAACCGCGGTATTCGTCATCAAGTGGCAACAGGTGCCAGGGGTTTTAATCTGTAGTGAGGCCTCTCTGGCAGTGTTTGACTAAACTACTGCCACTGTGATTCCACACGTTACTGCACTGGTCAAATAACCTACAATGAGGGCACACTGATACATTTTACCGACTTTAAATGGTGCGTATATTCTGTGTAGGCGAACAGGACCTCAAGAACAACCGGGATCGCCTTGTGCATTAAATTCTTGTGCAATACACCTGGTAAGAACCCATAGAGTTAAAAGAGTGTTTACAATTTAAACGTAATTTCAAATGTATAAATGGTCAAATTATAGAAGACAGTTTAATCACAGTACTGCGCGTCCTCTCTTTCATGCACCCCACAGGTTGCCCTCATCTCCACGAAGATAACCCTTTTCGTTGGCAAATTCAGATGGATGGACAGTGGGCAAATCTTGAGCCCAACCAAGAAATAGAACGAGCCTTCAGCAAGCCACACATTCACAGCTACCGGCTCGCAAAGCCCAAATGGTAATCGAGGAGGAGAAATGTGTGTTTGCATTATTCAAGATGAAACTTAGGCTTAAGGGTTAAGGTTTCAGATTAAAGTGGTATGTTTGGTAAAAAAAAATTGCTATGGCGATAGGCAATGTTTGTTCACAATTATAGTTGGGGTTGAGATCGGGATTGAATGAGGGCTATAGTTAATATTATAGTTAAATCGATGTCCTTCAAAAATTGTAGGCACCAATGCTATAGTGGTGGAATGTTAGTGCAGAATAATTTAAAGAGGCATTTAGCTTGGACCGCAATCCAAAAAATGTCCACGAGTCAGCGCTACGTGATCTATCGGCTTGGTGTGGTGGCTGTGGACACCTGTAATCCATTTCTTAAAACCAGTGGTGGAGATTCCACTTTCCTATATTGATGAACGATTTCTACCCGTGACATTCACTGTGTATACATTAATTAGTTACTTTTGCATTTACTTGGATCGTATTTTGCACCAATCACAGCACAGGCAGCTGCCCATTGTAGCCTAAGCATTCGCTCTTTGTGTGACACTCGTGAAGTGGAATGCATGATCACTCATTGCTATATTTTCAAGCAAGTAAGAGATCCCTTTATGATAGTTATAACTAGTTATCATTATAATTTTCCAATAGTATTTGTATCATATGTATTAATTTATGATATGTACTGAATACTATTTCTGATAGCTATACAAATCGGTGATGATGATTTTGCTGGATGTGATGATGGTGTTGGGTGTGACAATGACGATTATGATGAAATCACACACATTGCCTGTTATGCCTGCTCCTGTTTAGTGATTCGCTCATCGGGTATCTGGACTTCAACACCATGACGTGCTACGGTCCACAGACCAGGCCCGTCCGTCGCCTGTCAGTGCCATCAGTAGACCGCTGGGTGTGGTATTACAGGGATAGATATGACGAATGGATCGAATTTGGAGAAGAGGTATAGTGTAGACCTTACTTTGTTTTTATTTAACTTTCAATAATCCATATTTCTCCTTCTCAGTTCACAAATGTATCTATTAACTACTATGAACATATCGCAACGTGGGTTTTCGCAGCCACTTGTAATCCAAGCGTGGTCTGGTGGGTTAGGCCATGTTGTGTGGGTAGTCTTAGTCTTGGGGGTATGCTTTTTTTTATCAATTGTAAAACCTCCTCACATCTCAGGTTCATAGATCTCACCAGCAGGATACAGGCTCAGAATATAGTTACATAATACCTCGACTCATAACAAGAACAACTCAAGCACCAAGACACTTCTCATCTTCGTATTCTATTGACCTCAGAGTACCAACCAATATGTACAAATAACACTCAGCACCACACTTGTTAAAGCAATTCAACATGATTAAACACAACCAGCCCGAACAACGTATCACGCACAGCATACACGCGATATAGGCAAGATACAGGGTCTTATTTTGCCAGATACAGGTTCTTATTTTGCAAGCGGCATACTCGGAGCTTGCCTTTCTGCAAAGCTGACGTGTGCGCCTAGAGGTAGAGCTTAAATAGGAATGTTGGCCTCGCCCTCCTAGAACTATTAACCTTTGACCTTTCCTGGTCCCAATATCAGGCCTTATGGTTACTCCTTGTCTCGATAAAAAAAAACCCTCTGAAGGTTAACTGGAGGTGAATCCACCGGACATGGTCACCACGTATAGTTGTTAATAGCGGATGCCCAAACCTCATGGCCACTCCTTGCCACAGCGAATAACCGTGAGGTTACACGGATGGTGAATTTAGCAAATGCATACTTCAAAGAATATTCGAATAGACAACCATCACTAAACGAATACAGTACATGTTAAAGGTATAATACAACAGCCACGTGTTGAGCATTATTTTTCTTCAGCTTTTACCACACACTACTGTGGGCATCTTCAGGAAGACAGGAATTCACTTCCACTCCTGAAGATGCCCGCAGGAGTGCATGGCCAAAGCTCAAGAGAAGGAATGCTCAATGCACGGCCTAACCCAGAAACCCACACTTAGATCATGACGAAAATATTCATGTTGGTTGACTGCAAGATAATTTCTACCAAGATGCATTGTGATAAAGTTTCCAAACATTACATAATGACAACCAATGGTTTAATTAGTGTTTCTGTGTGTTTGAATATATTGTGGATATGTCCAAACAAATAATGAAGCCAAAAGCTGTATTAATTTGTTTTAAAGGGCAGTGAGAAGCAACGTGTTATTTATTAATTCATGATTGATTATCATTATCATCAAGCATGGTTAATCCACTTCTGGATGAAGGCAATGTAAGCCACTGCTATCTCTCACAATCCTGTGATGTATTTTCTCCAGATAAATTGGTCATTCTAAAAAAAAATCATACAAAATTTAAATTGTGATCATCGACTTTGGGAGATAATTATTACAAAATGTAATGATGCAATGTGAGAGTAAACCATTTAAAATCACACGTGATGTTTACATGCCCCATGGTGTTGTATTTTAGAATTCATGGGGCAAAAAAAGCAACCCCGACAGCGCTACAATTGAGGAATCCTACATGTCGGATCCTAGATGTCGGATCTTATATAACGAGTGTCAGATCGACTTCGAAGGTCAGTTGCAACTTTCCATTCCCTATTCACATTTCTGAATGGGGGGGGGGGGGGGGGGGGGGGGGGGGTGTATAAACAGTATTACTCAATATCCAGGTCACTCTTGCAAATGAGATTATCCCGGTCTCTTTGAGCTCTCACCAGCGAGGAATCACCCCAAGTGAGGAGCTCGCATCTGGCTCCAATTCCCAATGGCTCACCTGGTGAAGCCTAAACAGACTGAGAGTGGGTTTCTGCAGGTGCAACTCTCTCATGAAATCGTGAGGGGGCTTCTACACAACGGACCAATGTGAAAATATCTTATAGGGCGGAGAGGAGACGTTCGATGAAGACTTGTTTAAACAAGTAAACTTGATCTTCTTGGTTCTTTCGGTAAAGTCACGTAGAAAATAAAATTCTCACGACGTTTCGGCCACAACACAAGTAGGCTACTATGTTTTATTATTATTATTTTATTTCCATTCTACGTGACTTTACCGAAAGAACCAAGAAGATGAATCCCTGCAGTCACGAAAGCTTTAAATCGAAAAAAAGCAAACTTGACTTTAATGATATTAAGTCTTAACTTAGTATCATTAATTATCCATGTACAGCCCTTTTGCCAATCCACTGTTGGGTTTCCCCGTGCCATGCATGTCACGTGGGTAATCCGATCATAGTTCACCATGCTGGTGAGTGCGGAATTGATAAAGATGGGGAGCATTTAAGTACAGCACAACAAAGTGTGTTTCTCTGGCGATCTCCGCTGCCCACAACGTAGCCTGGCTGCAACCTCTACAGCAGCCTGTTTTATGAATATGGTGGGTGCTCATCCAAGCACTAATCGAGCTATACTCTGCTTAGCTTCTGGCATCTGATGAGATTGGGCACATGCTGGATAATTTGGCCATCGGAACCATTGCATATAAAAGTGCGTTTTGTTTCCTCAACTTTACAATGACTGTTTCAATATTTAGTGAGTACCTGCACAGACATGGGCATGTAAGTACCCCCCCTCCCAACCTCACCGCCTCTGTCCACCCAGCAGTTTAGTCGATTGGCAAGTTGCTTGTGGCGGGGTAAAGTGTGGGTAGCTCCCACTTCTTCTAAGATGCCTGGCCAGTGTGGAAGAGTAGGCCAAAGCACCCGCTCGAGGGGCTCCCTTGAAATGCCTGTAGTCGAGGCCCTTCCTCCAGCAGTGGCGTGAGCAGGCAATTGCAGGGCTGCACCTTTACTGCCTTAACCACCTTCACACACATGCAAGCAGAAGCCTCTGATTCGTGCGCTCTCTCTTCGAGGTGGAGAGTACACCGTGCGGCGGCGTTACAAGTTAAAGTCATCATCATTAATTATGCAAATAAGCTTTTCTTCGATCTTCAACCACCGACCCCAAACCTTCCGCTACTCCCCGCTTTTATTCCCTTTTCCGAGGCTAAGCCCCGCCTTTGGCCACGCCCCTCTAAGAACCTTCGAGAACATTCCAGAGGCTTCCATGCTAGCTCCGCCCATTAACCTTTCCCCCAGATAGAACCCCACCACTGATAAGGCATGGACTGTCTGACAGTATATAAAGTGTCACCCCTCAATTATGCAGGAGATGTGCTCGCTTATTACAAATGCAAGTATGAGTGTGTACTGGATATGTGAACAAAAACTGGTTGGTTGTCTTCTGTCCGCAGAAATGTGTCAGTCGGTAAGATACAACACTCGACCGATCCGGCGCCGACCCCAATTTCAGACAAGGGCAGACGGTTCATGGGTCAGAGTGCGCAGGTACCTCCACACAAACAGAATAATCTTGTTCAACAGGGATCACTAGGGCAGAAAGTAGAACGTGGATAAAACTCCTGATGCCGTCGAGCATCATACGGGCGTAAGCATATATGCACAAAAACTTGGTTCAGTGGTAGAGTGGCTCACAATCAGATGGTTGCAAGTTCAAATCCTGGTTGGGGGTTATCCCAGCCAATCAATCCCTCTGGGGTTGATATAATAGGTAACACTTTGTCAAGAAGTCATCAGCCAGTGTCCTATGGAGCGACGTGCCCCCCACCCCTCTCCCCGTTCCCCACCATAGAAATGTGGAATTTTCACCACTGGCTCTGCGCTGGAAACAAGAGACCAGCACTGCCCCAATGCTCATTTGAGCAGGAAAGCACTTTGACTTTTCGAGCACTGTTCTGTATCTCCACATATAAATAATGATACACAAAAATGTTAGGAAATCGGTCAAATGGGACCGTAAACGTGGAAAAAAATCTTAAATCTGGGAATGTGTCAATGGGTTTTTTTTTATATATATATGGGACTTTGAACATGGGATGTTATACACGGGAAAGCTCGCAGAGTGGAAATGTTAGACCGACATTTCATCGTATTTCTAAAATCTTTCTGTCACTGCACAGGCCATTGGCGGAGCACAGCAGTGAACTGTTCAAAATCAACTATGAGAATGACTACACGGTGAGTTGTTGCTCTGATAAAAATATATATAGTTTAAAAGTTACCTCTGAACCTTCTTAAATAATCTCACTGATCTCAATACACTTGCTCTGGATTGATATTGCAGCAGTGAGCAGGCTTTACAATCAGAAGGTTGTGAGTTCAAATCCTGACTGGGGTTTGACTCAGCCCATGAGCTGACTCGTCCCCAACATAGGAATGTGGAATTTCAATCACTGTCTCGGAGCTGTAAACGGGAGATTAGCACTGCCTCGGTGCTCATTGGAGCTGGAAATAACTTTAACTTTTATTTTAACAGACTTCCTTTTTGCGAGCGGGCCACTTTGAGTACCAAAATATTGCTAAAATGTTCAATGCAACGATGGCCAGCTTCCAGATCACAAGCATCGTGAGAGTCAACAATCCTCTTCTCTGGGACATGTATCAAAGGTGAGAAATGCACGTGATTATTGGGATTTATATAATTTCCAATTTAATATGTTACCTCCAGGGCTTAATCATAGCTTAGATGCCACTGGTTCGTCATGTTCTGCAGAAGTAGATGCCACTGGTTCTTCATGTTCTGCAGCTGTAGATGCCACTGGTTCTTCATGTTCTGCATATGTAGATGCCACTGGTTCTTCATGTTCTGCAGAAGTAGATGCCACTGGTCCTTTATGTTCTGCAGATGTAGATGCCACTGGTTCTTTTCTGCAGAAGTAGATGCAACTGGTTCTTCATGTTCTGCACATGTAGATGTAACTGGTTCTTCATGTTCTGCACATGTAGATGCCAGCGATTCTTTATGTTCTGCAGATGTAGATGCTAATTTCTTTCAGTGCTCGTGTTTCCTCTCTACTGTCTTGAAAAACATACCAAGAGATGTCTGCACAGTTGCTCTCTTCTTCTCTTCATAAATCAACTTGTAACAGCCAATGGCATCGTGTTCATGGAAAGCACAGAGACCGTCGTAGTGAACCGCACAGCGATAACACAACAGCAGACAATGGTGGTGGCCCAGGCAGAAATGCTGGGAATGCTGGGTAATGACACTGAACATGCCTCTCAGCCAGAACAGGCAACTGGACATACGGACAGGTTTTTTCGTATCTCTGAAAGTATATAAGTCAAATGTTTGTAAGTAGAGGAGTTCCTGTATGCACTTTACATTTAATCTTTAAGTTATGCATTTGAATAGCTCTGTTAAAAAATTTTCAAAATCATTCTTATTTCAGATTAATTCTGTTTGTTTCATTTTTCGATTTAAAGCTTTCGTGACTGCAAGGATTCATCTTCTTTGGTTCTTTCGGTAAAGTCACGTAGAATGAGAATAAAATAATAAGTTGATAAAATAAAATAACACACTTGAGAATGTTAAGTAAGTTTTAAACAACACACAAATGTGCACGCAGCCTCTGTGCATTGTGGGAAAAACCCATCAGAATTTCCTGCAGAAGGGCATCGTGGTCCTCATGTCTTAGCTCACCTTCAAATAAATGTGATACATTAATTTGAAACATTAGGTAAAGTAACAAGGTTGTATGCATGCAGCTTATTCAACAAACTTGCCCTCTTACATTCCAAAGAACGGAATTTAGTTTCTTTATGTTAGCAAATTAGGTTAAGAAATATCACGCAGCTCACTCTCAGGGTTTTAAGTATTACAATTTTTTTTTATATTTACAGAAAAAAAGAGCAAATGGTAAGAGACAACGGCAAAGAGAACGTGAATGAACGGCGGCTGTTTCACGTCACGAGGACAAACGTACAAAATTCCATCTGCCGCAAGAACTTTGACTTCCGATATGCAGGTCCCAAACTCAGGAACGGAAGAGGTAATTTTTGGATGTTTTCTACTCTTAATGTCTGCCACGTTTTGAGTCAAAGAAAAGGCAGACGTGTGTTGTTGTTGTTGTTGTTGTCGTTTGTCAGGGTATCTGCTTAAAGGAAGAAAAACAAACCGTAAAGTTTATTTCTGCTCAAATGAGCATTGAGGTGATTCTCATCTCCTGCTTACAGCTCTGAGCCAGTGGTGGAAGTTTAACATTCCTTTGAGCAGGGGCGAGTCCGACCTTAGTACAACCACTGTTGACTTGCCCACAAATGTGCACTCATTTTATCGACCCCGGAGTGATAATATGCTGAATCAACCGTCAACCAAGATTTGAACTCACAACCTTCTGATTGTGAGCCGCTTGCTCTACAGCTGAGCCTGTAGGCCGGGTTTATTATACTGTACAATGGCAAAGCTAAAAATTGTATATACTTCTAAATAATAATTAGCGTCATTGTGGAGAATATAAATCACAAAATAAATAAGCAATGTGTCTCCTTTACATATCCATCTCTCCACATGGAAAACAATATAGCATTTCTTGCACAACCCATCAGCAGCATTGATTCGAGACAGAGCAAACTGTGGACCGGTTTTGACGCGCATCGTCTCATCAGCAGGATCAGGGCTCGCTCGAATCGATGTTGGCAAATTGCCGATCTTACGGGTGACTAGCCCTCTCTCTCATCACGATGCGGGGCTCCCAGTGCGATGACGATACACAACTAAAAAATACAAGGGCCTTGCGGCTGACGTGTTGCGTAGGAAAATACTTTTTTTATATATATATATTTCACTGTGGAGAGACGGATAATACCACGTGAAGGAGACGTATTGCTTGTGGGGTTTTTAAATTGTTTTGTTGTGATTTATAACAACCACGATCGATGTCCTTTCTCTCCGCGTCCGCAGGCTCTTATTTCTCTTCAAACGCTAAATACGCACACGTTCACTTTGAAGAGCACCGCATCAATGCGGGGGACGAGACCTGCGCGTTCCTGGCGCGGGTTCTCGTGGGGGTGAGCTGCCCAAACGGGATGGTGAAAGCGACTTCCCTCCTTCCCCCAGCCAAGGGTGGCTCTCTGGAGAACCTGTACGACAGTGTGGTCAACAGCCTGGAACAGCCGTTTAGCTTCAGCATCTTTTACCCCAGTCAGATCTACCCAGAATACATCATAAAGTACACATCGTGATCCACTGCAGGGCTGCTTGCTCACGCCACTGCTGGCTTCAGAGACCACCACCACCACCCCCCCCCCGCTCCCCCCGCCTCTACAGGGTGGTAAAACCTAATACATTTTAAAAGTAAAATCGATTCAAAACAGAAATGAATATTACGATGGGAAAAAAATTGTTCGGGGTTAATTTAACTGGGTTCACAAGACATCTGGACCACCGTGTATCAACACAACGCCTTCATACTGGCCCGACGTAACATTTAGAGGTATAAGTACCCACACTTTACCCCACTACACACTAACCTGCCTTTCAAAGAAGGCCTACTCATTTATCTTACTTGGTGGACAAACATGCGGGAGGGTGGGGGGGAATATAAATACTGTATATATACATTTACTTGCCCATTATATGTAGATTGCTCGAAATGTTGTACTGTACGATTCAGAACCCCCTCCCCCACTGCCACCACGCTCAACTAACCCCTTCTCCAGGCCAGCACGAGCGCACGACTCCCTCCGACACGTTCAGGTCAAGGTTCACCTCCCCATCCACCTTGGACATAGGGCCCACTGCATCACACCGCGGCAGAGTTGCATCGCAATGGAGTCAAGTGCTGCCTTCCAAAATGTCACCACTCAAAATGAGAACACATGGACAACTCGGAACGAACCCTTTGTTAAGTTACTTGCTAGATGGCCTCCCCGTGCCACGTCAGTCATGTTTTGATCATTCGTCTTTTGTATAATAAATATCCAACCGTGGCAATTGGAGTTGCAGGGGAAGGACAACAAACTAAACACAAAAAGCAGTTCTGAAGAAATTACAATGTTAACCGTTGCTGGGAATCAAACTCAGGTCGCCCAGTTAATAGAGCAGTGCGTCAAAAACTGTGCCATGGCTCAACCCCCAAAAACTTAGAAATGCAGACGATGATTTTTACATATTCTATGAGTGAAAGAGATGATGGGAGAACATGTTAATTTTTTTTCTGAGATTGAAAAATCTTGTAAATAATGAGATGTATTTAGTCGTTAACAATTGTATTATTAAACGGTATACATTTGATGAATTTGTACTTTCAAACTTTAATCAAAATGTTGACTTCAAATTATTTTAAATGTACCATAGCAGAAAAATTAATACATGTATTGCTGAAAAAATGTTTTACCTTTCTTTTATAAATGTGCCATTCATATTACATATATAAAGTATTAATCTTGTCCGATTGTGGTTTAATCTGCAATAGTCTCGTTTAATTAAACACTAAATGGAAGATTACTCATTGTTTTTTTAGGTAAAGTCACGTATGTAGAAATACAATAAAATTATATTAAAACAAAAAACAATCACGACGTTTCGATCACAATGCAAGCGATCTTCATCAGGTGTCAAGAACAAATCACGGAGGTAAGTACAACAAAAAGATGAGAGACGAGAATTCAACAAACCTGAAAAAACATTATGTGAAGCACATCCAGTCAGGCCAACAACACAGTTAGACACTTCCTGGCGGACCACGAATTTCAGAAGAGTGTTAAATTTCGTGTTCAACCTTTGGATTGCACATACCAGCATAGATAGAATGAAAAATACGAGGTACATGGTCAGTAGAAATACATATACAAGTCCACCAAGAGGTAAGGAGGGAGGAAAGACGGACAGGGCGGCAGAGAGAGAGAGAGGGGGCAGCTCAAAAAAGGACCACCTCTTGTAAATACAAAACGGCAGCTCAAAAAAGAGCACATCTTACACATAATTACAACGGTAACTTCCCCGTAGAAGTGTGATAATAAAGTATTAAAGCTTTCGTGATTGCATAAAATTACTCATTGTTTTTTTCGGTAAAGTCACGTATGTAGAAATACAATAAAATTATATTAAAACAAAAAACAATCACGACGTTTCGATCACAACGCAAGCGATCTTCATCAGGAAGAAGATCGCTTGCATTGTGATCGAAACATCATCATCAGGAAGAAGATCGCTTGCGTTGTGATTGAAACGTTGTGATTGTTTTTTGTTTTAATATAATTTTATTGTATTTCTACATACGTGACTTTACCGAAAAAAACAATGAGTAATTTTATGCAGTCACGAAAGCTTTAACTTTATTATTAAATGGAAGACTCTGGTGGAGGTGGACAAGCAGCTCAGGGTCAGAGTGTGTAAGATCAGAGCATGGAGGTCAGATTGTAGAGGTCAGAGCGTGGAGGTCAGTGTGTGGAGGTCAGATTGTAGAGGTCAGCGTGGAGGTCAGAGCGTGGAGGTCAGTGTGTGGAGGCCAGATTGTGGAGGTCAGAGCGTGGAGGTCAGATTGTAGAGGTCAGCGTGGAGCTGGACCCACTGAGATCCCAATTTTAAATCCAGGTTACAGCTACCCAATGTTAACCCAGGGCTTCAAGTAAAGGGAGTTCATGGTCTTTGCATGGTCACGAATGATTGTACAAGCAATTCATGTTAAATTTGGTTCTGCGTTAAATTAGGATAATTTCCAGCTGCGAGAATTACAAATATTGTATTGTATGTATGTTGAACTTCTTCCGCACCGTACCTCGCCAACCGTGCTCAAACACAAAAAGCAATTCTATAGCAATGAATTTGCGACGGACATGTCCCAGGAGCAGTGCTGCCTCCCACTGTGTGGATCAGAGGTGACTGGAAGGGATCTCAGAATTAGTTCTGTGATATCAGCTTTCGTAGACGTGGAGGGAGGGGAGTTGCACGGCTCTATTGAGAGTTCTGAATTGATAATTCATCTTCTGACGTGACATCAACAGCACAGTTCAGATAAATAGAAAAGGATTTTTTTGTTACTCTTTGGTTCTTTCGGTAAAGTCACGTAGAAAGAGAAAATAATAATTTTATATCATACGAAGTTTCGATTGCAACACAAGCAATCATCATCAGGTACGAATGAAAGAGAAAACCTAGTAAACTTAGAAATATAACGCAATACAACACAGATTGTCGGCTAACACAACAGTCAACACCCTACCTGGCTGATTAACGTTCTTCCAAAGATTGCTACATTTTCAAGAGAGAGACAAAACACACAACCGGAGACACAGACAGACACATAAGCAGAGAGAGAGATATAACACAGAGACACACAGAGAGAGACACATAGGCACACAGAGAGAAACGTCGTATGCTATTATTAAATTATTATTTTCTCTTTCTACGTGACTGTACCGAAAGAACCAAAGAGTAATCCCTGCAGTCACGAAATCGCCGAATCTAGTTTGCATTTTTTGTTGCTGATGATTTGGACACAGTATCGTGCAGACCTCGTTAACGTGTTGATCTGCTGAAAATGTTCGCCTGCACAGCTAATGGACACAGCAGACAGGTGTGAGCATGGGAAGAAGCTCGCTGTTTATTTACATATTGAGTTTTCACATGAACAGGTCACAATGCTTTGGAAACAAATCTGCTAAAGATTGTACAGCTGGTAATCGTGAAACAATAATTCGTTGACCATTATCGGTCCAACATCAACAGATTGGGTTATAACAAATCACAGTACTTGTAGTACTCACAGCAACAACATCACAGCAGCACCCATGTCATTGCCAAGAATATAAAAACCGACTCAGTTTTTAAACGGACTCTTGAGGCTGTTTTATCGATGGTACAGGAAGTTCTGCCACTTCGCATCTAGCACTGGGCTCGCTGAACAGCCCATGGGACAGATCGACTTACTCATCACCCATGAAGCGCATGCAAGTTATAGGACAACTTTGGCACACAATCCCACTTACCCGTGCACCAATTACAAAGTGCATATTTGTTTGGCGTTAAGTTAAATTATGTAGATAATGCTTTTGATGACATCTTTGTTCAGATATGCTCTCGTATTATAGCACTTTCATTGTCAGCCAAGTTCTATCCACTGCTGGATGATGGCCCTCTCCACGCCATCGCCATGCTGTAAGGTAACACGTTTTACGAGGTCTTTGTTCGGACTCCACATATTGACGCGCTCACAGTCGCAAGCACCGATTCGATCGCAAAGCATTAGCAGGCACTTCTATTTTGCACTTTGGTTTGCAGAAAAAGACAACAGACTGCCAAATACGACTAAATTGTGACTCGACTTTTGGAACCTGAATCACAGTTACGTTTGTTCCCAGAGAATATCGTTTCATAAGGCCTGGTGCCTACCACGTATTGCGTTGGCGAAAATCACACCTCAATTTTAAATACTGTTAAATAAAAGAGCACCTTAATTACCGTACAGTGTTTTGTTCGGCTTTACCAGTCAAACTTGGCTCTCTAAAATATAATTAACAAAGCATCTATTTTTATTTTTTCAGAGACTATGTTGTGCGTTGATTGTTTTACTATTATTTATTCTACTGTTAACGTCAGAGTCGTGCAAGAGGCTTACAAAAAGTTGGCTGTTTTAAAAGTGTAAAATTGGTCAGGCCCATTTGTGTAAACGTTTGTGCGGGTACGTCGAACCGTAACGTAGCCAACGGTGCTACTTGGAGGTGCGATCCAATGCACGTGGCCGTGCACATCGACTAAAAACACCGTCGGCCCTAAAAGCGTGTCAAATAAAACATTCCGTTCACAGTCAGGGGCCGAGCTACCACCACAAGTTCACCATTGAAAACCTCAAAACCACACATGCATACCACGCCGTTGCATGGTGGAATAGCATCCCTTGCGAAATGTACAACCTATGACTTGTCTAAAGAGTAGTTCTATACCTAAAACGGAAACAGAAGGTAACGGAGTAAACATTGCCTCAAATAAGAAAGATCATGAAAACGGGACTTTGAAACAAACAAAACGTTTCCCGGGAAATCTACAGTTTAGAAGTGTATTGCACATCACAGATACTGTGTGATCAAGTCGCCACACAACCGAGGCCATGAACCTAAAAACTCGAAGCTGCCCAACACATGAGGCACGCGCGTTTCTCATTGGTCCAGTCGCTGCGCCACACTCAATGCCACAGAACAATCGGATGCACGCGGGCAACGATGCATTGCCGGAAGTTTGTGTCCCAATTCTACAGCACAGACAAATGCATAAGCATCAATATGCAGCACTGCGCTGAGAATAAAACACGTGAGGGGTCGGCTCAGCGAGTGGAACGTTGTGAGGTATTAAAACTTCACAAGGCCACAAGCATCCAACAGGATGACCATTCGCTTGCTGAATATGAAGCTTAGGTTGCAATCGGTTAAAGTTTAGTATTAATGGGTCAGCAGTAGCTAAGGGGTCAAGGGCACTGTGCCAACAATGCTGAGACCCGAGGTTTGAACCCGTGTGTAGCCACCTGTGATTAAACTGTGGTCTCAAGTGTAGAAGGTTGATGTTCTCAACCCGAGCACCAATAACTGCATAGGAGAAAAGCCTCTTCAATGTTAGTCGTCACATAACTTGGAAAAATTCCAGCTCTTAGACTGAAAAAATAATTGTTTTGATTGCTAAGCGATGAGCATTTCCTCATAGCAGGAGGTTCTGGGAAAGTACAATGCCCCTAGTGGTTACTTAAGTTCACTTATCTTATGTATTGGTATTGTGAACTATGTGAACTCTCCTTGTGTGCAATGGCAGAGCCAGAATTTTCAGGTAGGTTAGTAAGTAAGGAGTTGTCCCTGGCTTTTTATTCGACGCGTGTGCGGCGATGGCGCAGCCATCGATCGAAGGTCGAATTCGAACCGCGTGGTGTGATCGGCATCGCGCTCGCTGAAGGTGAATGCCTTCAGGGAAGTCGTGGACTGTATACGCAACTGCGCACAATTCTGTGAGTCACTTATAACTGCTTTACCATTACTTATTGCCAATTATGGACTCAGACTATTGTCATATCATCTCATAGAGTCCCTGGCACGTAATGATATTCTACACAGTGGCAGTGGGGGTCGCAAAATGCCGATTTATTACTAATAAACCCCAATGATCCGATCGAAATTAGGGACATCGATTGGATCATTGGGGGGGCACGTGCCACCTCCCCCCCCCCCCAATGGCTCCGCCAGTGCTTGTGTGGGCTGTTCTATAACACAGGGTGATGCTGCACGACTCAGTTTCTAAAATGAATGTCTTCATCTCATCACATGACACAGACATCACAGTTAAAATAAAATTGAAGAAAATTCCCTCCCAAAAAACCGAACAAATCAATAGCCAGCATAGACGTTCGAAGCAAACATGGTGGCATTGAGCCTGCAACGAACGCAAATGCCGCCAGGGTGTCCTCTAATATTCCGAGGCCGCTAACTAAAGTTTCGGACTCATGATAAGAGCTCACCAGCGTGTCTCCTAACGCCGCCGAGGCAAACGGCTAAAGTCTCGGACTCGCCGTAAGGCCACAAAACGCTCAGTCTTCCTCGTCGCTCGATTCCTCCTCCTCCTCCTCCTCGGCGGTTATGAAGCTCACGGTTCGACCACCGCGCTCTTCCTCCTCCTCCTCCTCCTCGCAGCACTCGTGAGTGCAGAGGAACTCGTCACCGCACAGCGTGATCGCGCTCTGCGAGGAGCCCAGAGCACGGAACCAGCAGAAGAGGTCGGCCATGGAGGAGGCCAGGGCCAGGCTCGGGCTCCGGCCCAGCGCGGGTGCACTCACCGACTTGCGAAGGTCGCGCCGGTGCACGAACTTGCAGCTGCAGACAATTAGAAGAAGCACATGTTCATATATATGTATGTTATCAGTTCAGTTATCGCAAGACTGCAACAGAAGGCCACATCTCCACGCACAAAGTAGAGGCGATGATTGCTCCCGTGCTCTAGGCATTGCACGAGAGACGACGCTCATCGCCCAGGCATTTGGGATTTTCGCCGCCCGTCCACGATTTTGATCAATTTCCTGCAACTCCGATTAGCACCGTTGGCTACGTACGGTACGAAAGAAGTTCAACATACTGTACGCACATACAATTGCCACAACTCACCGTCACGGTTCAAATCGATTTAATGTTTTTTGTAACATCTGTGCTGTCCATCTCACCAGTACTGCCTGCCTGGTCTGTCCTGCCTGCCTGGTCTGTACTGCCTGCCTGGTCTGTCCTGCCTGCCTGGTCTGTACTGCCTGCCTCGTCTGTACTGCCTGCCTGGTCTGTCCTGCCTGCCTCGTCTGTACTGCCTGCCTGGTCTGTCCTGCCTGGTCTGTACTGCCTGCCTGGTCTGTACTGCCTGCCTGGTCTGTACTGCCTGCCTGGTCTGTACTGCCTGCCTGGTCTGTACTGCCTGCCTGGTCTGTACTGTCTTTGCCATTTGTTCTGTCTCTACTGTCGCTGTCGTGTTGGTCTCGTTTGTGCTGAGCGTGCCGCTCGTCTCACGTGTTATTTCCGTCTTGTTGCAAGGTCTCATTTGTTCGGCCTCATTCCTTCCAACGATTGGCCGGAATAATAGATTTGCATCAAAATGCACGAATAGAAGATAATAGATTAATCCTACAGACATTTCAATTCGCCTATCATGAGCCAAGTAATTAATTTTAATGATTCAATACATACATGTCGATTAAAAGAGTATCTCAATAGAATAAGGATGCATGTGCAGGAATGGAAACCCAAATATTATTGTGCACAATGCAAGTACCAGAGAAAATGTAAGATTAGAGACATCACATTGACTGTTAAGAACAATGAGTATTCCCACATACCTACCCACCTACCTGCGCACCCACATTCCTAGCGGGGTGCACATTCGCCGCTTGCTGCAGACGTTGATGGTTCGAATCCAGCGGCCGTCCTGATTAATACTGCGTTGTGTGCATTAACCGTAAAAATACGTGCAGTCTGCTTCACAGTAGAGGTTAAAGATCCCGTGAAGTCATTCTAAAGAGCAGGGCTCTGTGTACCGGCGCCATGCTCCAAATAGAAAAAAAAAAGTACCCGCAAATTACTCGATTGGAAAACACATTGCAGACATTGCCCCTGCAACTGCAAAAAAAAACCTGGCAGAACTCTCCGGTAAAGGAGCCATGAGAGTCAGTGAGGCTTGCGGGGTAAACAGCCACAATAATAATAATAATTAATAATAATTATTATTATTATTATACCCAGCCGACCCACGCCCCTCCTGGACATCTGTGAAAAAGAGCTTCACGGCTCACCGGATTTTTCCAGTCTAAATAAAAGATTCGAATTCTGACCTACAGGTGTGCCGACACGATTTGGGGCAGTGCTCCGGGTGGCGATGCCCTCCACGCCGCGTTGCCGGGAGTGTCGGTGCTACCTGCGAGCGAGGCTGCGAGACGCTTGCCGGCACAGGTACCGCACCACCAACAGGGCCTGCTGCGACATCCAGCGCACGTCATCCGGCACGTCCGGCAGCCACTCCAGCAGCCTGGTCACACCAAGAAAAAACCACAATGATCCCGCGTATAGCCTGTAACAAACTGTTGGGGGCAAGTGCTGTTAGCGAGCAACCTATGAAGGCTGGCACGGCACACAAGGGGGTGGGTGGCCAGCACCACGCCCGACCGCCTTTGTCTCCCCAGTGGCAATGTTTTACACACTGCACCAGGTACTCATTTGAGGCCGAGTCGACCTGGGCGAGGCCCAGGACCAGCTCAGATAATCGTCACTGGTGTTGGCCGTGAGCAGGAATTGAACTCGGGTCGCCAGGTTCGTAGGGCAGCATGCGAACCGCTACACACACACAAACAACAGTCTCACACGAGTCCACTCTTTGTGAGCGGTGTGTGTGAGCAGTGTGTGTGAGCCTGTGTGTGAGTGGAGCGTTGTGTGAGTGGTGTGCGCGAGTGGTGTGTGCGAGCGGCTTGTGTGTGAGTGAAGCGTTGTGTGAGTGAAGCGTTGTGTGAGTGGTGTGTGTGTGAGTGGTGTGTGTGTGTGAGTGGTGTGTGTGTGTGAGTGGTGTGTGTGTGTGAGTAATGCGGGCTCAGCGTGCACGGTCGCAGGGCCCCCTCCTCACCGCACAGTGAGCGAGACGGCCGACTCCACGGGCAGCGTGCATGGCAGCATGAGGTAGGACGCGAGCCGCACGGGGTACAGGCTGCGCAGGTAGGCCACCACCCCCGCCTTCTCCATGCACGCATTCTTCAGGGCTGCAAGCAGCGCGACACAGACGGCCTTTCGTTAAACCCGTCCGGCCCGGCGAGCCATTCACGCGAGGCTCACAAATCACAACAGGTCGCAAGTTCGAATTCCGGTCAGGGATTCGCTCGGCGTGTTATTCTCCTCCACGGCGGTGCACAGCGCCGTTTTTGTCAATCAACCGCTGGGTGAGGGCACTCCCCACATCGTGTGCTGGGTCGCGCGGGGGTAATTTAACGGTGCGTCATCACGCTCGTCGGCGAGGGACGCCGTCGGCGGGCTACGCAGATGTGCAAGCACAGGCGTAGAGGACAGTCGATTTTAGTGCACCGCCCTCTGGTGCCCACTACGTGGCCATGCACAACCGGTTGTGCATGGCGGTCACAGTTCCAAAACGCTATCAAGGCTCAACCCCGCTTCGCTTGAGAGACCTGGTGAGATCACTATCCAGACTTAACCCTGCTTAGCTTCAGAGACCTGGTGAGATCACTATCCAGACTTAACCCTGCTTCGCTTCAGAGACCTGGTGAGATCACTATCCAGACTCAACCCCGCTTAGCTTCAGAGACCTGGTGAGATCACTATCCAGACTCAACCCCGCTTAGCTTCAGAGACCTGGTGAGGTCACTATCCAGACTTAACCCCACTTAGCTTCAGAGACCTGGTGAGATCACTATCCAGACATAACCCTGCTTCGCTTCAGAGACCTGGTGAGATCACTATCCAGACTCAGCCCGCTTAGCTTCAGAGATCTGGTGAGATCACTATCCAGACTTAACCCCGCTTAGCTTCAGAGACCTGGTGAGATCACTATCCAGACTCAACCCCGCTTAGCTTCAGAGACCTGGTGAGATCACTATCCAGACTCAACCCCGCTTAGCTTCAGAGACCTGGTGAGATCACTATCCAGACTCAACCCCGCTTAGCTTCAGAGACCTGGTGAGATCACTATCCAGACTTAACCCTGCTTAGCTTCAGAGACCTGGTGAGATCACTATCCAGACTCAACCCTGCTTAGCTTCAGAGACCTGGTGAGATCACTATCCAGACTTAACCCCGCTTAGCTTCAGAGACCTGGTGAGATCACTATCCAGACTCAACCCCGCTAAGCTTCAGAGACCTGGTGAGATCACTATCCAGACTCAACCCCGCTTAGCTTCAGAGACCTGGTGAGATCACTATCCAGACTCAACCCCGCTTAGCTTCAGAGACCTGGTGAGATCACTATCCAGACTTAACCCTGCTTAGCTTCAGAGACCTGGTGAGATCACTATCCAGACTCAACCTTGCTTAGCTTCAGAGACCTGGTGAGATCACTATCCAGACTCAACCCCGCTTAGCTTCAGAGACCTGGTGAGATCACTATCCAGACTCAACCCTGCTTAGCTTCAGAGACCTGGTGAGATCACTATCCAGACTTAACCTTGCTTAGCTTCAGAGACCTGGTGAGATCACTATCCAGACTCAACCCCGCTTACCTTCTGGGACCTGGTGAGTAGCACTACGCAGCTTCTGGGCGACTGGGTAACGGGGCGTTACAGCAGAGCGGCAACCGAGGGCGTGCGTGCGTCGCCACACGTACCCACGCGGATCGGCAGCGGCAGGTTCTCCCACAGCTTCTCCTCCAGGGCCCAAAGGGGCGAGGCCTCATCTGGGACGGGCGACTTCTGCTCCCCGCCGCTCTGCGCAAGCGGAGGAGGGAGGCTTTTCTCCGTGGGGCCCGACCGCTCGGGACCGGACAACTCGCGGGCGGACGGCTCGGAGGTCGACGACTTGCAGGGGCTCATGATCGTAGTGGGCGGTTCGGCCGTGGGGGTGCGGAGCCCCGCGCTGGGCGCGTTCGGGATCAGCAGGTCTAGCACGGACGAGAGAACGGATGCAATTGAAATATTTGCATTTCATCGCCCCAATTTTATCCCAATCGTCCTATCCATTTAGAAATCTCTCAAAAGCGACAGAGAAGGCCCCCACAGATGCGGATATCACAGACCTACCTCCGAGGTCCCATCAGGTGACCTCCGATCCTAGCGGCAGGGGGCAGCAATTTCTCACCCGCTCAGCCGCAGAGGGCACTGTTCGTTGGACGATGGTCAGACCGACGCGTCTCCTCCTCCTAACTCTCAGAGCTGGAATGTATCCATGGTAGGTGCAGGAGAAATGTTCACACGATAGAGGCAGGGGTGGCGGCAGTTGCACTCACTGTTCTCACGGAGGAAGCGGAGGGCGTCGTTGTAGCCCTGCTGACACATTTTACTCAGCACCTGCAGTGGAGGAGCATGGAGGGGGCGGTGGGGGCTCTATCAGACGACAGTAGCAACGACAGCAACAACAAGCCAATGGCTCCCCAGATCTACGTCTCTCGCAGCTGTCCCAGTGATGCTGATGAATTTGACAGCACTGCAATAGCTGTCGACAGCTGAGATTTTTTTAACCCCTTTTTTTTCGCCAAGCGCTGTTTACTAGTCAAGGGGGTGCACGGTGGCACTTCGTTACGAACCCAGAGACCAAAGTTCGATTCCTGGAAATGAGTAATCATCAGCGGAGAATGATATCTGCAGCGGGGTCCTGACCCCCAAACCCGTGGTGAAGTAAGGTCAAAGAAACCCCACGTGACCACTGCCCGCCACGGCGGTGGCGACGCGCGCACCTGCGGCTCGGGAGGGAAGAGGGCGCGTGACAGGCGGTAGATGTTGTCCAGGTTGCACTGGATGCTCGTGTTCTTGAGCCGCAGCTCCAGGAAGCTGGGGCTGCTGTCGCGAGGGCAGATGTCGCTCTCGCCGCAGAACGGTGACACCGTGATGGTCGTCTTGAGCTCGTAGGACGGCACGTTGTCGCTGATGCCTCCGTCCACGTAGCGCTGCGAAGACGGCCCAGCGGACACAACCGGGTCAGTCGGTGGGATTGAGCGGATAAGTGAGCGCGGCATAGCCTGGATTACGACGACTCGGTTGTTGTGAAAACCGGATGGGATGATTGGCACGCACGGCGAACGTTCTACTATTGAGCCTCGCGATCCAAGCGCAGTGTCAGTTTAACACGAAGGCTTTCGCGACCAAGATCATCCATAATAGAGGTTTTTTTTAGGTTAGATATAACCCAAAAAAACCTCTATTATGCAAGCGCAGTGTGCTATAAGGGAGTGCTAATGATCCTACTCCAGAGTGGTGGGACCATATTTTCCAGATCATAAGATGCTCCAGAATAATAAATACAAAGCCCGAAATTGTGCCCGATGTAAATTAAGCTAGACAAATCTGGTCACACATCGAGTTCAACACACACTCGCAGAACTTTTTCTTGAAAATAAACGGGAAAAGAGTGTGCCTTATCATCTGCAAAATATGGTATTAACATCCAGGGACAACCTAAATATCTGCTGGGGTTGTGCAGTTCTGAAACGGCCTTTCTTTATGTTTACGAGACTAATAATGGAGTGGCAGCCAAAGGAGGCATCAATTCATGTGTCCAAACGGAATTGGACAAAAACCATTCTGTCAAGCAGAGTTCTTTCCCTGCCCACAACTGCTTTGTATAATTAAGGCGGCAGATTGACCGACGCGTCACGACATCGCAAGTGACGCAGTGACCGCTTGTGGGGGGAAAGAAAGGAGGCCTTCTGCCAGCAGTGGATAGAACATGGCAGTCCTTGATGAACGCATGGAAACAAAACGGTAACATCAGTATGCACCAAAAGGCGTCACCTGAACCAGCGGCACAAACTTCCACAGGGGGTATTTCCGGGCACACACACACACACGTGCACTGCATATACAACTTACAGGGCGGCACATTGTGCACGCACGCACTCTGAGCTCGATCACCCCACTATTTAAATCAGTGGCGCGTCTGTCAAACAAACTTTACCCCAGATCCGGGCCGCTGGATGGCGGAGGTTACTCCAGTGCAGAGCCGGAGATAAAGAACTGAGCGTGTGTGACCCTCTCAACTGATTATTCCTCTTCCACAGTAAACGGCCGTGGGTTACACAGTCCACCAGCCCACACACGGGGGCATAATAATGTATGTAGATATTCACACCGTACGTAGCCAGGCATGGGCAGTGCTCAGATACTGCAACTCAGCGCTTGCAAAAAAAATCCCACACTGTGCAATTCTCACTTGGATTTGCATTTCCACGTCAAATAAAAGAGCATATTCACAGCAGTTAATAATTGTGTTTTTGGTCACATCACGCAAGTAAAATATTGTGTCGCAAACCCCATTCCAGGTCAATGAATAAAGTTGTCGCGTGATGAAGAATACGTGGCAAGTTATTCCTGCTTCAGTAACCCCCCCACCCCCAAACCGCCGCATGTTGTTGTTTGAGAGCGATCCACACACCGCGTTTCATAATTGGGGGATGACGTTTCGCTGGCAGCTACAGCCAGCACCATCAGGTTACTGCTCCATGCTAGCCGATTAACAAAATCGAATCGACACAAACGTCCCAAACTGCTGCCCTTTGTGCCAAGCAACGCCAGAAGACGTCTCCCATTTTCTCAGTTGCCCAAAACGCGGACCAAAAATTAAATCGATCGATCTCTGGCTAAACCCTTCCAAAGTTGCGACACAACGCCACCTATAAACAGAAAGTGCGAGGAAAACAACAACAATAACAACCATCGGGCAGTTGCCAGAAATGTGGAGTAGGGTTTACGACACGCGTTTGTTTTCTTTGCTCTCATGCGGTCCGGCAAAAAAATGTAAATTATGCATGTTGAACTTCTTTCGCGCCGTACGTAGCCAACCGTGCTAGTCGGAGGTGCGGGGAAGGACAACAAACTAAAAATCAAAATAATTACGAACACCAGCGTGTAAAAAAGAAAGACGAGCATATTTCAGCACTCTCCTATCGTCGTCTGTAGGAGAATACGAGCGCTGGAGAAACGCATACGCGTGTTTGTGTGTGTGTATGTATGTATGTGTGTACGTGTGTGTGTGCATGTGTGTGCATGTATGGGGAGCAGTAGTGTAGGGGTTAGCGCGCAGTGCGACGATCCTGAAGACCCGGGTTCGATTCCCGCTCACGTCCAATACCGGTGACGATTATCTGAACCGGTCCTGGGCCTCCCCTAGGTAAACTCAGCCTCAAATGACTACCTGGTGCGATATATAAACATCTCCACGAGGGAGACAAAGGCGGCCGGGTGAGGTGTTGGCCACCCACCCCCTCGTGTGCCGTGCGAGCCTTCAAAGGTGCTCGCTAACAGCACTTTCCGCAATAGTCGGTTTAGGCTCTACGGGGGGGTCTTTGTGTGTCCGTGCGTGTGCGTGCGTGTGCGTACGTGTGCGTGCGTGCGTGTGCGTGTTCTCCACCTGCGACATCCGGCGAGGTTCTGGCTCAGTTGCGACGCCTTGCGCGTTACTGCAGATGACCTCGCCATCATTGCCGCTTTACACAGCATCGAGGTTTCAGCTGAACTCGGTGAGTAAGGGGTCCGAGTTCAGGACACGATGCATCTCTGGCTTATCGATGCAATTTATCATTCATGAATAGAACGAATAAGGCCTCCTGACACCTATCAGTCAGTCATCTATGTTGAACTTCTTTCGCACCATATGTAGCCAAACGTGCTAATTGGAGGTGTGGGGAAAGGACGCCAAACGAAACACAAAAAACTGTTCTAAAGAAACGAGTTTGAAATCTAGATGATTTAAAAGTGCATAGCTCCAGTGGCTTCCTAATATCCGAAGGGAGAGACGGCCACAGAAGCGCATCTGAAAGCGCGCGATGCTGTGACCGTCTGTGTTCGCTGGCCAGCCAAAAAGCTGCTGCTGCTGTTTCACCATCATGGTCAGTGTGGGTTGGCTGACCATGCTTCACCATCATGGTCAGTGTGGGTTGGCTGACCATGTTTCACCATCATGGTCAGTGTGGGTTGGCTGACAATGCTTCACCATCATGGCCAGTGTGGGTTGGCTGACAATGCTTCACCATCATGGTCAGTGTGGGTTGGCTGACCATGCTCACCATCATGGTCAGTGTGGGTTGGTTGACGTTTGGCAGGGAGGTGGGAGGGGGGAAGAAGGCAGTGTCCAGGTCCAGTTCTGATATCACTCATTACACGGCAGGGAATCCAACTAAGGTGGCAAAGCTCGTGGTGCAGTGTGCTAAAAACATCGTGCCACCCTGCCACTCACCTAGTCTGCTTATTAAATATTATTTGAAAAACATAGGTACAGAATTGTATTCAGCCGATAAACATTAATTTACTACAAAACAAACAGTGTTATCCAACCTCTGTTCGTAAACCATGATAATCGAAGTATCTCACAGTTTCATCATTTACAAAACCCTATCTTATAATATTTCGAAATGAACATCAAACATGCATTCCTAACGACTGCCAAAACCACCATTGTTGTTGTTTTCTCAATACGCATGAAATGTAATCAATTATTCGAATTTTTTGTTCAAAATAGCAATTGCAACATATTTCACCCAGTGCTCAGATAATAAGCAATGGCAGTAAGATTTCCCACCCCGCGCGCATTTGTGCTGTGATGCAACAGGGTCGAGGGGAAAAATACTCCTCCCCGCCCCCCCGTCGGACAACGGGTTGGCCACCAAACACTGATGCCACAGAGGTCAATAGCAGAGGAAACGCACGGCTTTTGCCCAAGTTGGCCTGAGAACACAAAAGGGGGCAAAAGACCATGCAGCTCGCCGCGGCCGACCGCCTCGAAGACGCGAACATACGTGGGCAGGTCATGTCGCCGTGAGGGATTTACAAGACTTGGTAACAGAGTGTCAAGCCAAAGGAAGGAACGCCCCTGAGAGGCCAACCACCGCGGAGACGAAGCGATGAGATCAGCTCATGGGCAGCAGAGGTGTGGATTTGTGGCATTGCGGGGTCACGGAGGATGGCAACAATGTGGCGAGACATTCGTCCGGCAGTGGACAGAATATTAAAATATTTTGATCTCTCTACATCTCTTAATTTCGCACATTCTGACCACCCTCGCAATTATTATTAAGAGATGTATTGTCCGGTCATGAACAGGAGTGCAAAAAACGCATTCATTTAACAAAGTTGCTGTGGCCTATCACAGTCTGCATGGGCCCATGGACTAAAGAATGAAACGCGGCCCCCTGTCCAATTTCCACACAACCCCTTCGTAGCCCGGCACCTGGGCCCTCCCGGCCCACGCACCTCAGGTGCAGCTGCACCACTCACAACAAAATACGACAGCAGTGGCACTGCGAGATTGTAAACTATAAAAAAGAAAACTATTTTTTTTATTTTACCAGGTAAAGCCCACTGAATTACATAGCTTTTTCAGAAGCGACCTGGCCACAAATGACAGCTCAACGAAGTGAGTTATCATGTGGAAATATATAGCAGCCAAATACTATAAACGCATGTTGCTAAATGTGGAGGGAGAAACCGGAGGAGCCGGAGAAAAACCTGCATGACCACGGGAAGAACATGCAAACTCCAAATATACAGGGTCGGGATCAAACCCACGACTTCCTGTATACAAGGTGAGGTAGTTAACATCTCACCACCGAGGTGCAATAATTGGCCGGTGCCGACGAGGGCAACAACTGAAACGCGATAAGGAGCGTGGCAGAGAAACCGGCGCTTCAACGCAGTAATTTCCACGAGAGCGCAGACCCACATTGCCACCGCTCCTCTAAGGCGTCACATGAGTGTCTGGTGATCACGGGGGAGCCAATCGCAGCTCGCTCGAAACAGCGCGCGAGAGCGATAGCCTCTTCCCCCCCCACCCCCCCCCCCCCGTGGAATGATGCCAAGTTCCAGTTGCAACCCTGACCACTCGCCCCTGGCACAATTTGTAGGTGGTGTTGATTACTTTACAGCACCAAATCAGCCGCACTTTGCTCCACAGATGCCGATCACATCTCTGCACGTTCGCCAAAGAGGGCGGGAAGATTTCTCAAAATGTTCCCTGTAGCTAACTCTTGCCACGCTATGCCCTTTTCCTGTTCAATCCGACTTGTTTAGATTTTCTGTTGCACGAATGCTAAGATTAGCTTGAGCACAGATGCATCAGGGTTAATATACTATATCCTCAATGCCTCAAATTACTGAACCCATAATGAATGAATTAGCCTAATAGCTGCACTAATAATTTAAATGTATGTATAGGCCTTTGGCAATCTACTTTTGGCTGAAGGCCTCCTGACACCGTCTTGGTAAAGGAGGTTATCTGACAATATTTCACCATGCTGGTCAGTTCTGGTCTGTGAAGAGGGCATTCAGGACCGGTTCAGATTTAACCCCATGCTGACGCTAGCCACGAACGAAAATCAAACTCACGATGCCAGATTCTCTGTACCACCGCCACTCCACTTGGACGTATGCTCACCAAATAAATAAATGAGTGCGGTACGCAAAATACGCAAATATGTTAATTCAGCAATATTTTTATGCCCCCGATTTTTTTTACTCAACCCTTCACCACTTCGGGGTTGATAAAACGAATACGCACCACACTGTGGGACAACAGTGGCTGCCCTATCAATGAACTCGCCCACTCCAGAGGAATGTAGTAATTTCCACCACTGACTCGGAGCTGCGAACAGGACATGAGCACCGCCCCATGCTAATATGCGTGGCAAACCCGCCTGGAATATATCCTCACGCTCTTTTTGCGCATGCACTAGAGGAAGCGAAAAAGGAAAACATTTTTAATAAGACATGGGGCGCATCCCAAGGCTGTGGCGATGCATTTCCAGAGAGTCCAGTGTTGAGGGGGAGTGAGGGCAGGGCCTTACCACTCCGCGGAAGGTGGGCGGGATGATGCCGCAGTAAATGGGCACAAACGAGCTGCAGATGAGCGCCTACGGAGACAGCACAGGGCAGGGATAAGAACGCCTTAGTCAGGGTTGCTCCACCGCATGCTTAGCTTTGCCAGGAGACAAATGCCAAGAGATGAGGGCACTCCTCACAGTGCAGCGGAACATAGGGAGCCATCGAGCTATGGCTCATCATGTCGCAATGGGCTGTGGATGCCCGACGATGGCTGTAGTTAGCTATGGAATGCTATGGTCGGGTATTACCTTCGCACACTGTGTACGCAAGGATCCGGAGTAACTCGTAAGTTAAAGCATATCACATTGAGCTGCTATGGAGCGGCGCTTTGAAAAGGACAGCAAGAAGAACACGTGAGAGTAGTTTTTCCCGTAATTGTAGATTTTGTAATACAACATTTTGAGCCGCTCTACGCAACTGGTTACAAAACCACATGTTTGCTGAAACTTTACACAATGAAATGCAGCGAACAGCAATTTTGCAACGTGATGTCATGCGGAAATAATTATAAATAATGACACAATAATTAATTAGGGTGGCATGTGCTCACAACTCACTGTCATGCCACTCTGACAATTGGGTTGCGTACACAATGTGTACCGTCCTTGGAGCACAATATATTACAAATGACACGAGGTTACACTTATAATTTCAAATGCTATGGTTGAGATGTGGCAAACGTGCAACCATGACCGTCATTTAGTTGACAACTTTCATGCAAGGACAAACACCGTACCAAGCCAAGGCTCAGTAAAAGAGCAATCCAGCGAGTGGCTATCGAGCCACAGTGATAACCGACCAATCAACACTGGCTAAGCAGGCAGTTATTGACTGATAAGCTGACCACAATGAATTGGCCCATCCTTGGCTGAGCGAGCGATTACCAACCAAGTAACCAAACCTTTGACTGAATCGTTAGTGGCCAAGCGAGCAACTGTTCCCCGAGCGGCCGACCAACTGCCCTAAACCTCCACCGGCCGAGTGAGTGAAGACCGAAAAATCAACCGGCCGACAACTGACCCACTGACCGACCCGTCACCGGCTGAATGAGCGCGCGATCTCCGGCCGAGCGAACGAGCGAGCGAGTGAGCGAGCGCACGAGGCGAGCCACCTGAACGAGCTCCTCCTTGGAGGCGAAGTCCGAAACGAGAACGTTGTGGCCGTCGGAGACGCGGGTCAGCGAGATGCAGAGGCGGCCGGCGGCGCGCAGGTGGGCGTCTTCGGGGAGCACGCGCCGTAGTCCCGCGCGGATGATCTTCACGATGTGGAAGGCCGGGTGCAGCGGACCCAGGGTCGAGCGCCGTGCCAAGCGAGCGAGCTCCATCACGTCCGCGCAGCATTCGCCTGCTCGAGACGGCGGGGGGTGGTACAGAGGCAAATAAAACAACCGACCAGCGTTGTCGTTGTTCGTTTGCTCCAAGACCCATCCGTCAGCTGCTATGCCCGATCTCATCAAATATATAGCTCAGCGGGCCTTACCTGGTGAAACTAAAAATAGTTTAGTATACTTTAGTTTGATCAGATCGCACAAGCTAAGCCTGAATGGTGCTTGCTTGGGTGACTGCTACGTGTAAACCAGGTTGTACCAGGGATTGCAGGGCAGCAAAGGGCAATGCTCTAAAACCCATTGTTGTGCGGTTCTTAGATGCTCCCAATGTGCTCTACAGCTTCAATCCCCACTGGTAATTGGTGGGTGCCCAAAAGTACATACGAAGCAAAAACAAGGTAAATTAATAAATCACACGAACGGAAATTATATTTTAAGGCAAAGTACATACCGTATGAACAGGCGTGCTGTCAACCAGACACGTTTGGCCTTACAGAATGCTGAGGCATGTGTTTTTACCAAGCACATCCAATGAGGTTGGACACGGGACACGAAATACAAAGAGGTGGCGTGACTGACACCGCGCAACAACCACGCATCCATCTTTGTCTCACCAGAGCTAACGTTGGGCACTGCAGCAGGCCCCTCGCTTTAAGATGTGGCAACATCGAAGAGGCCCAAGCAAGGCATCGACGATCCTAGCAACGTTGTGCAGGGCTCGGGATCAAACCCTGGTCACCGAGATGTTAGTGTTGTGCTAACCGATAGGCACATGCGTAAACATAAACATTTAAATATGAACGCGATCATTTAGAAGCTGTCCCTGCTTAATTATTTGAATATCACCACGTGTTGCTTGTGCACAAAGTGCCATGACCTCTAGGCATTGTGGTCGTGAAGCTGTGGTTACTGCACTCATTACATTAAACATGAAATGACTAGAATACAAACACTGGTGAGTTGACCACACTGGCTGCCAAGACATTTAATCAATGTGCTTGCAAGACCCAATTTAAGTCTCATCATGCCAACTCATATGTTTGCCCCCTCAATTGTATTCTGCGCGAGCTATCGGTGCCATGTCACATGATGAGATTCCACCACTGCGGTGTAATGCCACCTAATGTCAGTGAACTGTGCCAAAATATTATCACAGAACTCCTCTTGAAATTCACACACGTTTTATATTCCGTACAAAGATCGCTTGGCAATCAAACTAATATATATTTATCAGTGGTGGAATAAGCCAAATGTATTATGTTGGCTATTTTGTGCGATCAATGAGAACTGGACTAAGAATATATAACCAGCTGCACTTTAGAAGCCGCTTTTTATGAATGTATGGGCAGCTCAGAAATCTGGGTTGGCACCAAGTCTAATTCCATTCCAGTCGTGTCAGCATTGTGATGAAAACAGTAACTTAGAGGAAGCTTGATTAGGTGCTTTCGTGACTGCAGGAATTACTCTTTGGTTTTTTCGGTAAAGTCACGTAGAAATAATAAAAAATAAAATTATATAATAGCATACGACGTTTCGATTGCAACAGAATCAATCATCATCAAGTACAGAATTAACACAGACACATCAGGGGACTCAGAGAGAGGCGGAGGAGCACACTAAATCAAACAGAGTTTAGCAAAAATTATGAAACTATATAAAGCAACACAGACGGTCGGTTAAAACACAATTAACGCATGGTCGGGTTGATTACGCTATTTCAAAGATTGCTAAATTGTAAGTTAAGTGTGAAATTTAAGAGAAGTGATAGAACACAGATCGTGAAGAGACATATGGTGAGAGACACGCACACAGAGAGACACGCACACAGTGCATCTATGTGCCGAAGCCTTATATAGACAGAAACGGCGGAGCTGGGACTCAGAGACAATGGGACACAAATTAGCATGAGGAGAGCACATATCAAAGGAAGGTGCGGGTGCACACGCGTGGTCACATACACAGGCAGACGGTGCGGGTGCACACGCGTGGTCACATACACAGGCAGAGACAACAAAGTGATACAGACCCAAGTCAAGACACAAAGGCAGATACACCAGCAGAGACAACACAAGACACAAACTTCATACCTCCCCGTAGAGATGATTCGAACTTGATTAGGTGCTTTCGTGACTGAAGTGTGCGATGCTGCATCAATAACAACAACAACCGCCATTCGCCACTAAGTGGTGGTGACATCACCACGGCACTTGTGCCAGGCTAGGTGCATGTTAAGGCCATGTGAAGTGTCGAACGCCCGCTAGCAGGAGGTCACGGGGGGCAGACTCAGGTGCCACGGGTCGACTGACTGAGACGACTGGCTGATGCACCACCTGTGCCCCCTACTGTGCCAACTTGCTGTGTTTTAGCTGCCCGGCGCTTCGTTCGTTGTTGTGAGCGTCGCTCCTCCGCCCTCCGTTGTTGTTGGAGGGCGACTGCCTCCAACTGCCCAGTAGCAGCGTCCTTCACGAGCCTCCTCCACAGAGGCCGATCTTGACACCGCTGGTACCAGTCATCGGCAAGTCCACTCAGCTCCACATCCTCTTGTACCACATCACTCCATCTCTTCTCTAGCCCGTGCCGTGCCCATTTAGCCCCCTCTATCCGGCCGAACAAAATCTGTTTAGGCATGCTGTGGGTGGCCATGCGGGATACATGACCCAGCAAACTGCTGAATCGGACAATGGTACACAAACACGAATAACAAAAACTTAAAACGTTCATCAATGGCACTGCTCGAAGAAGGAAAACGTTGATAACAGCTGACGCTTCAGACAATGGCCCTTATTCATAGCAGGGAGTTCAACATTAAATATGGTAAATAGGTTGGTAAACATGAAAAGCTGGACATCGAGGGGTCATGAAGGCTGGGCCGTAACCTATAAAGGGAGTATCTCAGACACAGAGCCCACACACATGTAGAGTGTTGCATGAAAGTTATTTGAACTCCTAATAAAATATGTAAATGTTGATTTAAAAAAAAATAAACCCTCATCATGACAGAATAATAATGCAAGGCCCCAAAACTACAAGTTTCCAACAACACGCAAAATTGTGTAAAAAAAAAAACCCCACAAAGCATTATGCAGCAACTATCATCGGTTCCTCAAGAAGTGCATTGTGTCTTAAGGTCACCATCAAAATAAATTGGAGTAAACTAGACGCCGAATGACAGCGGCTGTGGCTGCTTAAACTGTTGATTTACATCTCACACGACCACATGTAGTTTGGAAGGGCGCCCCTGCGGGTCGAGCGCGACCATGGTGCGACTCGACGACGCGTCGCAATAAACCAGCCAAGAACACGCTGTTCCCCAGGTTCCAATGAAATTGGACCTCCATTGATATGCTAAACGCTATCAGCCTGTATTGGTTAGTTGAGTGTCAAATTAAAAGTTCAACAATTGACCTTCATGCTCACGGGGCTCGTTGGCAAATACTTCAGCATTGTATCCCTTATTTATATTCAGTAGATGTGCAAGCTCAAAATTCACCCTCACCCCCCCTCCCCATCCCACAATTCAACTCAAGATTTATTTATTTTTATATTGTGGTGAATCTAGCGTCCTATGGCAGCTGCAGAAGTGAAATTATCCCGTTGCATCGAACGTGTACGAGACATAAATGATGATATATTACATGCACGATTCAGTGAACATACCGTGAGCTTAAGAAGCAATATTCATTGATGCACCTCGATTATCATATTTGGAGAATCACCCTGAATCCAAAGATGCCTAACAGACGCTTGCTGCTGAAAGACGGAGCAGAACATGGGACACAATGGGAGGCATTATATACTCAGAGCTCCAGTATGGAGGTTATTATAATCTTTGGCAAGCTACCAGTAATCTACTACGGTCTGGATCAGTCTGAGGGTGATGCTGTATTGACAGTGGTGCAAACGCCCAATTAACATTTGTCAATCACGCTGCCTTCATAAAATATATGAGGCGACGTTTTGGGCAATGGCCCTACTTCATTGCAAGGACATTGTTTTTGTTACATGTTTTCGATTTTTTTCATTTAATGAAAATTTATATTTATTCAGTTAATGGCTTTGAAGAAGAGCCATTGCCTGAAATGTTGCCTATGATTTTTCTCTCAAGGCCACAGTGTTATACTACACTATAATAGCAGACCACCAACATTACGAACACCACATAGAGAAAGAAGACATTCGCCAGCCTCTTATCTTGCTAGCGGCGAATAAGGAAACATAGAATGTGGCCGTCCAAAAGGTGTCTCTGTCCGTGTCCTTTTGAAATCCCTGGCAGAGAAGTAATGTTAATTCGCTTAAACAATGTTGAAGTCTAATGAGAGACCTCTCTGTAGAATTATGACAGCGATGACGAAAATAGCAACCGTGGCAAGTACAACTGCCAGATTGGTCCAAGGAAAATGTTTATATCGTGCCACTTGCCAGCAGCAGTGTCTTGATCGAGCCACCCAGTGCCGGATTTAGCTAGTACGGGGCCGGTAGCATGTTGTAAAGGGGCCCAAAATAAAAAAAAACCCCACACATAAATATAAACATTTGTAACTTGTATAGTAAAGTAATTGTATTTTTTCATTTGCTATACAGCCAGATAATACAACAAATCGCTAACCTTAAACACCCAGTCGTTCATAAAAGTTGAAGGCGGTATAGTACTATAGTAATAGAGCAAGTGCAGAATCACTGAACCGGAATCGATAGCTCGAAAGAATTTAGCGCGTGGGGGCCCTTGAAAGTGCGGGGCCCGTAGCTACTACATATGTAGCTACATCATGGGACCTCCTTTGCCAGTACCAAAATATGCGAGTAGGTTTTCCCCTTTTTTCTGGCAACAAAACAGGTGTTAAGATGTTAAAACACCAAACTGAAACCTTTTACAAGGAATCATGTCTGCATTAACTACAATACTTGTGGTCAGAATGCCTTTTGGCGTTCTCTGGCCTAACACCGTTTTGAGACGAGGCTCAAAAGAAAGCTGTCTCTGGTGTGGACCAATCAGTTTCCAGGACAATACATCATATTATCAGAGGATGTTTTTTTGTTTGCATTCTGACCACAAGTATTGTGGTTAATGCAGACATGATTCCTTGCAAAAGTTTTCAGTTTGGTGTTTTAACATCTTAACACACCTGTTTTGTTGCCAGGAAAAAAAAATGGGAAAATCTATTCCTCACACGTAGCTACTTTTGCTCCGAGGATAATCCGGCACTTGAGCCATGGTCACGGTGGCAGAAAGACGCCCCACCAGCCCCTTACCAAAGGGGGTGGTCTGTGTGCCGGTGTTGGTTTGTGGTGCCCTTTAACCTCCTCCCACATGGCCGACAGTAACCCCTCGCCCCGCAGTAAACCCCGCCCCCACCCACCAGGGCAAGTGCGGCGGAGCAACCGCCACCCCACCCCGCCCACTCGCCACATTCCACCAATCACGGCGCACCTTGGCAGCGAGCCATCGCGTGTGGGGGGCGGGGCTATGCAAATCGGGAGCTCACGCGGGTGACCTTTCACCTTTGTGTTCGCCGACGCCGATCCACATTCCTCGCTTCGCCAAGCGGGACGGGGGGATTGAATGCCCCCTCTCATCGGAAGGCGATCTCCAAAGACGTCGCGATCGCAGTGGGCCAGAGTGATCGCGACACAAGAAGCGCCCCTGTCCAAGTGTAACAACGCACAGCCGTTGTCCCACCCCTCAAAAGCGAGAGGTCCTCGCAAGAAGTCCACCTTCAGCAAAGACGCCACGCGCTGTTGTTTAATTGTGCATGACCGCAATGTAAAAATAGCATTGTCCCTGGCCTCTAAAGTCGTCGTGTTCCCTAATGTAAAAAATAGCAGTGTCCCTGGCCTCTAAAGTCGTCGTGTTCCCTAATGTAAAAAATAGCAGTGTCCCTGGCCTCTAAAGTCGTCGTGTTCCCTAAGGGCACATTAAGAGCACTTTTGTCAATGTGGATGCGAGCCATCACCATACTGTGTGGTTCATGGAGGCTATTTGACGTTTACTTCATTCACAGCACTTTGTTCATCCACTGCTGGATGAATCCTCCCCCACGCCACATTGGGTATGTACTTTTGGGCGCCACGGTAGCGAGATGTTAACTCCGTCGCCTGGTATACAGGAGGAGGTCGTGAGTACGATCCCGACCCTGACGCCTGCTGTATATTTGGAGTTTGCGGTGTCTCTCATCATCATCACGGTGGCTAGGAGATGTTAACTCCGTCGCCTGGTGTACAGGAGGTCGTGAGTACGATCCCGACCCTGACGCCTGCTGCTGTATATTTGGAGTTTGCGTGTTTCCACGTGGTCGCGTGGATTTTTCTCCGGGTCCTCTGGTTTTCCCCTCAACATTTAGAAGCATGCCTTTAGAGCATTTGGTTGCTATACATTTCCACATGATAAGCCACACCTGGTCAACATCCCTTGGCTTTGAAACCAGGAGACATGCAACTGAGAAAAAGTACCCCCCCTCTCTCTCTGCAAGGAGAAACCACCGTATAACCCGGCTAGTTCAGTAATGTTAATTTAGAATATTCTCAGCGAGGTGTCATTTGTTGGAGACACGTTAGCAATTGTTAATTAACATTCTAGAATCACACAATGCTGTCCGCAAAAACACTGGCATTATATGCCTCAAAAATTAAAACAAAACTCTCATAACACCGAATGTTGTGTTAGAGCAGTTGAGCACACAAATGCCTGGAACACTTTATGCAGGGGATTAGTCCTGAGATTGCTTAGGAACTAGGATGGGAATCGTGATGAATGGGTGACCAAAAATAAAACGTGCCTGAGAGTACCATCACCACGAAGATGGAGCGGTGAGATCAGCTCATGTGCAGGAGAGCGACGGATTTTGGCATCGCAGGACCATGTGGAATGGCGACTGCGTGCAGAGACCTTCATCCAGCAGTGGATACACAGTGGATGACGATGATGAGGCTATAAAAAAGTTGAACAATGCCAACATGTGCTCATCGTGTGCAACCCTTTAACACAAAGGAGAGACCCCCACGTTCATCATTTCCAGCACTGTCATCGTCACCCTACATCGTCATCATCATATCAACCATTCGGCACAACAATCATCACATCCACCACCATCACACCCAGCTCAACCACCTTCACAACCAGCATCATCACCACCAGCATCATCACCACACCCAGCACCATCATCATCACACTCAACACCATCATCAACCACCTCAACCATCACCCCACCCAGCACCATCATCACCATCACACCCAGCACCACTATCATCACCACACTCAGCACCATCATCAACCACCTCAACCATCACCCCACCCAGCACCCCACCCAGCACCATCACCACAATCAGCACTACCACCACCATCATCACCACACCCACCATCATCATCACACTCAAGACCATCATCAACCACCTCAACCATCACCCCACCCAGCACCATCATCATCACCACACTCAGCACTACCACCACCATCCTCACCACACCCAGCACCATCATCATCATCACACTCAACACCATCATCAACCACCTCAACCATCACCCCACCCAGCACCATCATCACCACACTCAGCACCACCACCACCATCATCATCACACGCGCACAACCACCATCACACCAACCACCCCAGCACCGTGACCGATGGGGCCCACCTCGCGACCCCGTGTTTCTCACCACCGAGCGGCCACCGCCCACCCAAACTCACCGAGGCATGCGCCTCCAAGCAGCGACGCCGCCGTGAGCGCCCCGGCCGAAGCTCCGTAGACCCGAGTGGCCCCGCTGATGACGTGTGGGGCCCTCTGCTGCAGGCAGCTCGCCACGCCGATGTGATAGACCCCCAGGAAGCCGCATCCCGCGAACGAAAAGTTCCAGCCGGAGTCCTGGGTCAGCATCGCGACGCTTGATCGAGACCTTGAAGTGGTGTTGATGGTGGCGCTACTTCTGAATTTCGAGTGAATGCCCGACCGCCTCTTGTCGGTGACCCCAGTTACGTTTCATGCACAACATATAACGTAGGCTGTAGAGGCACACGCACAGAAGATGTGTATACTGGCGGGTGCGAATGTATATATTTTCTGCTGTGTCAAGGGGATTGCAGCGGTGCTTGTCTATTAACGTAATAAATTCGACTTTAACGGCCCTGGCCGGTTTAAAACAAAAAAAAATCCACGCCGACGCCACACACACACACAACCACGTGCGAAACAGCAGGGAGCCCCGAGCAGATGATTATGCCTCCTCGCCGCCTTGTTGTGTAAGTCGGTGATGTATATGCACCGGCGTGTGTGGGTGTGTGAATGTAGAGCGTATATCTTACACTCGAATATTATATTGTGTAGGTGGAGAACCCCAAAACGCTGATGTGTCTGTGTGAGCGCGTGTTGTCTGTCTGTGTGTGCGCGTGTGTGTCTGCGCAGAGGGAGGTGGAATGCTGAGTGTCTCTAAGACACCCGCAATGTGAACTCTTAACAGCCGAAATCAGCTTCCCCACACTCTCCCACCCCGAGAGTGGCGTCACGCGTGCCTCCACCTCTTCAGCTGTGTGGGTGGTGCCGCCACTCCACACCACCACCACCACCACGCCCTCTGTGCCCCCCACACACACCCCCCCCCCCCAACACAAGCGGATCTCTTCCAACACAAAGGGATGTGTCTTTCCGCTCACACCGAGAAAGCCATCAACAGCAGCCAGCAACAGCCAGCAACAGCCAGCAGCAGCAGGCATTTGCATAAATGGGCCACTCTCATTGCTTATGAGCTGGAGAGAAGGCGAAGCCAACTGGGGAAATTAGAAAACATTCCACTCAAATCTAAAATCCTTGCTGGAAAAAAAACACGAGCACAGTCACTTCCATACAGTCTAGGCTGTTGGACATGTGTTATATATTTGTTTGTTATATGTTACATGATCATCATAATCGGCCATGGTTAATCCACTGCTGGATGAAGCCCCCCCACCCCACAAGACGTCACAATCTCTCACGATCCTGCAATTGTAATACAATTCACCTTTATAGCCCGCACACGCGCTGATCGGCATCGCTCCATCTCCTATGGAACGCGTTCCATTCACTGCGAGGAGGAGTGGTATGGAAATGCAGCCATGCACCACCAATCTCCCAGTGACTTGATGACGAATGATCAGCATCAGAAAATGTATTTATACTGGAGGAATGCGATGAGCTATAAAGCTCTTCTCCACAGATGCCCAGTTATTCATCACTGTGATCATTATGTGCCATGAGGATGGGACATTACCCGAAACGTCGCCGATCATATATCTGTGTTCTTTTTAAGACTGCTATTGACGAATGTGTTGAATGTTTTTTGGGTTGTTGTTGATGGATTACCTACCTTGTGTAGTGAGCAATTGCTTTGTTTAATTAGCAGGGTGTTTTAAATTCGCCCTATCCGAATAAAACGACGGTTAAAAAAAGAAACGGTTTGTCACACATAGAAAACAAAAATTATAGCAACAAAACCTTTCTAACTGTGAAATCAAGATAGCCGTGGTGCAATGGTCATAATACTGAAATTGCAATCGATAAGTCACCAATTCTATCCTACCTCCTGGCGCGGGAGTTGAACCGCTGGGGAGTCTTTTTTAAAATTCTTCCCGGCCTCTGTCCATACAGCAGTGTCCTGTGATGCGTGGAAGATGTCCCCTGGAACTCTCGAAGGGGAGACTCTTCCGCTAGCAGTGCCACGAGCAAGCCATTGGAGGGCCGCGCCTTTATCCTTCCACTGAGAAACGAGGACATGTCCGTAGGCCACCGTGCGGTTTGTAGGTTCGCGGGTTTCCATATGGTGCATTCCTTGCTTTTAAAAAAAAATATATATTCCACTGGAAACGGGTTAGCGGTTTCTGACTTTCGGAGCCGGTAATCAAATTCTTTAAAGCGGTTACAACCCGCGTTTTAAGGCATTGAGATGCCCCCCCCCCACACACACAAACGCGGAAATCATCGTGAAGGAAAGTCGACGTGTGTGTGGAAGGGACCCCACGTGACCTGTGGGGCTTCAGATAAGGCGAGAGAGCGGCGGGCATGGGGTTTGGGAAAACCCAAGGGAAATTGCCCAAGGTGTCTTTTGAAATGGAACCGACACCACACACACTGTCTCCGACCAAAATAAAATATATCCTTGGCGACGTTTCGAGCGACGGCCCTTATTCATAGCACATACATTATCTATGTGCTATCAAGAAGGGCCATTGCCCGAAACGTCCATTGACGCATGTGTTGATTTATCGTTGTTGTTGCTGCTGCTGCTGCTTGTGCATCACTGGCAATGCAGCAGCATCGCAGAGTAATTTGTTGTAATTTGTTGAGCGTGAGAGTTGACGCAAGTTCAGGAAGGCAAATCGACCAAATCTTAAGCCTACATTATTTTCGCGTGCAGATCAGAGAACGCAAGGCCTGCGTAGCAAAATGTTTATTACATAAAATGCTTAGGCAACATGGCATGCCGTGCTACTTAAGTGTAAAAATGTTCGTTATGTTTGCGGGTGATGCAGCGGTAGGGGACATCCATACTCTGGTTCGTTCGGTAAGGAAACCAGAGTATGGATTCCTGCAGTCACGAACGCTTCAAATCAAGATTGGGGCCATCCATTGAGTAGGTTACGCAAAAATCTGTCAAAACCTGACCCCTCTCTGTCGGCACGCGGACTTTTAACACTACCTGCGTACATACGCCTGACGCACTACCCCCCAAATCCTATATAGATAGGCCGATATTTAATCCACGCAGAAACGATCAAGGATTCATAATATTTACGTGTTTAAGCAAATAGATAGTCCACCGCCGGATTATCTAACTTATTCGAAGGCCAATGTAGACAAATGATCGAGGCTACACCCCCCCCCCCCACCGTTTCCTATGCGTACGTACTAAATCGATGGTCCCGTAGTGCATTGAACCGGTCCTGCCACTTCGTCCATGAGTTATCCATTAGTCGATTGGCAAAGGACTGAAAATAATAATTGACGATTATATAACGAAATGTGTGACGCCATCTCATGAGACAGAGTTTTCGAATGAAGCTCTATCCTGTGGACCCTTTGGGATAACGTTTTTTTTCACTTACCCTTTTAAATTGAACTACGACCCAAATCTAAGAAGGGTAGGGAACTTTGTATACGGACGTCGAGGAGTTCGCCGGCATCCCCAGAAGTCTTCACCGTTGGCGAGACGCTGAATGTCAAAATCCCGTCCAGAGTTTTGCTGCGTGGAGCCCAATGCTGCGAAGCTGCATCCCCCCAGAAGGCAGTGTGGCCCACGGGATGTGTCAAAAGCACGTTGTACAATTTAAGTGGAGAGACACAGATGGGAAGGAGGCGCCATGGATACTTGTTTACTGTCCGCTGGAAGTTGATTAACAGTTCACGCTTCAGGGTTTCGACTTAACGTGAAGAACATGCCCAGGCACGCCGAACGGTAAACGATTTTATGTATGTTTTTTACATTTTCAAGTTGTTGCAATTAAGTCGCCTACAAGTACGCATCTTTCCCGCAATTGTGCACGCAAATTTTTTTTTTGTAACTTGGCAAGCTTTACCAAACATGTTACTTCCAGGACCTGAGCAGTACCTGTTCATGAACGACAAGAGGAACCTAAGAGAAAACAAACCTCAATGAACTCTCACCTAGTTTTACAAGACAGCATTTTTCTGTGTATAGCAACAGTGGAGCAAGCCAATCGTGTATCAAAGCGTTGTTGTTTTTCTGAGGCGAAAGGCGGTGGCAATGGGCTTGCCGGTAGCACAGGACTGGGGGTACACCGAATTCCAGCAACTGAATACCGATTGTGTTTTTAATAGTATTTGTATTCAACAGGCTTGTAGGGAGAATGACAAGGACACTTTGTATCACTGCAAGCTGGGATGTTGCATAACCACCACAGTTCGTGTTGCGAGCAGGGAGAGCGCAGGGGACACAGCAGCAGCTGTGACAAAACCCCACAGGAGCACGTGGTGTGGTGATCGAGACAAAGCCGAAGGGAAGAGACGCCAAGGAAAACAGAAGTAGGAGAGGTAAAACAGAGATAAGAGGGGAAACACACTTGCACGTTTGTTGAAAAAAATACTCTTTGGTCATTTACCCAAGAACAGGACTCAATATTTTTCCCAACAGTAAAAAGTGCCGATTGGTACTCCACTGTGGTTGTATGGATGTTTATCTTGCCATTTATACGAAATGGGCTTTGGCCGATTTTGTACAATTTGAAACAGCCGTGTGTTTACATTTGGTCAGCTTTACACAAGGCTGTCATGACCGTTTGGGTAATCACGGAGCTGTTGCCTCCCACGGGTGAGAAAATGGGCAGCGAAGTAGCCATGCGGCTGGCTAAAAGCCACTCCACTCACATTGTTGATGTTTCCACCAAGGTTATCAATGTCACGAACGCAGAGAGCGAACGCCAACAATCCTTACGTGAACCCTGAATGGCTAAGACTAAGCTGGTATGACATACACACCTGATGATGATTGTTTGTGTTGTAGTCGAAACGTCGTGATAATTTTGTTTTATATTTTTATTGTTTCCTTTCTACGTGACTTTACCGAAAGAACCAAGAATATACACACACACGTGTTCAAATGAACTCAAGATGCCGATCATTCATGTGACTTAGAGATGGGTGGATATATAAACTGTTCTGCCGACCTATACTTTAACTGTGGAAGCATGGCTCGGCAACTGAAAATCACATTCTTTTGACTTGTACGAATAATGCAGGGAAGTTGATGTTTCCGTCATTATTGTTTGAATAGAATTATACACCACGATGAAGGTTTATTTCACACTTTTATTTTGATGTTATTCGGGGTGGCAGACATGCATGTGGTATCTAGTCAAACAGCCCAAAACCCATGTCATCTTCAGATTCATCGGACTCTTCTTTCTTCTCTTCCTTCTTCACTTCAGCAGCTGCGCAAGACATGGGAAACAGATCCATTAGACACATTTACTACAACGCAAAAATAAACGGGAAAATAGAGGCTTTGAGCACAATCGCCTTTGGTCATAATCGTAAGTTAGCAACCCCACCTGGGCATTGCCAAAACTGCAATTACTCAGGGATGGGATAAACATTCAACGGGAGTTTTTTTTTTACTTTATGCTGCATCTGTACTGGCGAATACTAACCATGTCTAGTTTCAGTTGCCCAGCCTAATTATAGTTCTCCCTGACATAATTACAGCTTGTGCGAACACAAAAGCCTGAAAATTACATGTTTGAAGGTCAGACATTTAAATAATTTTACTGGAGTGGACAATGCAAGTCTGTAGTGATAGACTGATGGAGAACAACTAAGTACTGAGATGGAAATGTATCAATAAAAAACTAAACCAATGACCAGGAAAGATTCCACAAGGAACCCCACATTTTTTGGAATGCATAATGTAATTGTTCCAGCATCTTGCCACCATCCACATACCACGTCTTCACCATACAAAGCAATTCCAACACGTAACATCGATATTGCACAACATTCTGGCAACTGCTGCGTCAGATTAAGGAGAGTCGATCGAAAAAATCCAAATG